ACCTCAAGCACCACCCATTCGCAATCATGAAGCGGACATGGCTCGCCGATTAACTTCACCTTCCACCGGGGAAGCCATCGCAGAAGGAGGTATGCGAGTCCCAACGTCACAACACACAGAAGAACATATGTAGTGTAGCCAGGTTTACTCGTACGAAAGCCAGCTATTACAATGGTGAGATCCTCGTTGACCATGTGTAGTTTCTGGCTGACTCGGCTGTAACCTCGACCACTAGCATCCGTCACGCCACTATCTGTTCGGAGAAGTCTGGCATGAACAGAACTTCTCGATTGGGTTGAAGATCTCCTTCGCATAGAATAATCATCGTACGAGTTACCATTCTCGAGACCGACTCCTGAACTGGTTTCTTCGTCTTCCTCTTCGAAGTCAAGCGGCATCTCGTCGATGTCGAATGGTACAGCACCGTCTTCGCCATACATGAACCCAGGTTCTGCTTCGTCCTCCTCTTCGTTGTAGTACGCGAAGCTCGCTATCGAATCCGCGCGTTGACGACGATGAGAAAAGGCCGAAAGGCTTGTAGGAAAGCTTTCTGCCATAGGACCAGAGAATAACTAAAGCAATCAAAACTTAGAATAAACGATCTTAGTGTTAAACAACGCAATTAGCCTACCTCATCGTGTGCCATCTCCACATCCTCAAACACGCTTGAGCTGCTCTGATTAGAGTTAAGCCCATACATGGCTACAGGACCGCTGCGCTTTGACCGCGCATCATCATTAGGTTCGTCCATAACTATCCAATATACCGTGACCACAATAGAGATCGTATATGTCTTTGCTTAATCGGCGACGTGACCGAGGCGTATACGAAGGGGGCCGATATAACCCGAAATTAGAGAAGCGCCTTTGCGGTCTTGCAACTATGACTATCGATCCGGCCGGGTAATGATTAGAATATTAGAGCACATGCTGAATAGTTCATCGAGGTATCGAAGCGCGACAGATCCTCGGGGACCAACGGGAACACTTGTATATCTACGAGTTCAGGTTCGAGCTCAATCCATTATTGAGCCACACCGTTTAGAACTGCGAAGATGGAAGATAACGCTATGCATAATAATAACCCTAGGATAATTAATTCCTTAACGGCTTGAAAGATCCACCACGAGATCGAGGCAAATGCGAAGGACAATGATAGCGATAGCAACGATGGCAACGATAATAGTAAGGATAACGATAACGATAACGATAAGAGAATGTGCGATAACGATAAGGGAAGAAAGGAAAGTTTAGGTAACGACTGAGCGGAAGCATTCAACTATTTTCTATTTCTACCATTAAAGTTTCGTATTGCCCAATTAGGCAAGGCGAAATACCTAATCTAGCTTCCACCATCTTTAAGGTACTACTTATATCTAGGTACATGTATATGCGTATGCAGCATACCTAACATACCTAGGTGCACTACCTCTACATGAGTTGACGTGGCTACCTACGTACGGCGCGTCGTAGAGGTCGTAGAAGGCATCTAGTATATCCAATGCATACGTTTATAGTGTATTAGTTGAAAAACTATTGGCTTGACCCGAGAAACGGTGTATGGATACCTAGACTACGAGATGTACCTAGGTATGTAATTCTTTAAGTCGATCTACCTACGTGCATCCTACATCTGTAGGTACAATATGTACACCGCTTTCGATCAAGTTTAGGCCTTGTCTGTCTACCCACATTAGGCTAGGTAGGCATTCTTAGAAGTTGTATGCTTGTATATACAGGACCTGAACTGATTATATCAGATTACATTCGATATCCCGCCATTCAATATGTCCATATGTAAGTCGTTGTATAAGGGCATAGGTAGGTACCTAGGTAGGCATACAATAGGTAACAATGACACCTTGTATACTTACTACCTAATACATTTTTATTAGGTCGGTTTGTACCTAGGTAGGTAGGTAGTCTTAGGTATCAAATGTTTGCTTCCGGACATAATAGCGTTTCCATTGGCTGCAGGCTAAAAAACCATAGGCGTAGGCAGGCGAATTGTTACGTGTAAGTGCCCTGGAGAAAAAAAAATTTAGGGAAAAAAAATTATTTGAGGACGGCAGCGGCACCCAACAACTTCTTTTTTTTTTATTACTTACAACCTTTGGAGGGGACAGTGACAGGGTTGCCGCCTTCCCCCACTTCGCCTCTCCCACCAGACCAGACCAGTCTTCTTGCCCTCTCTCATCAAATTCCCCATCGCTGTGAACTAACTACTTCACTACTACAACTTTCTCTTTCACCTTCCTCCTCACAGTTGGACTTGAATCAAAGTTCAACTTTCGCGTTTCATCAATCAAATTCGTCACCTCATCCGCCCACCCGTTATACTTTAACACATTGTGTGCGGGTTCTTCGAGTCCATTACTTGTGACTTCACCTTTCAACTGGATACACAATAACTTCATCATACTTCTAATCTCTACTCGCATTTTTTCTTTGTCGCCTCCATTCTAATTATTTCCTTGTGGGCTGCCAAGTGCTTTGACCCAACATCGACATATTCGCTTGCGAATTTAATCATAGCCTACATCATCGGCGACGGAATCATCGGCGACGGAACCATCAACAATGGCGGAACCTATTAAAAATCGACGTGCTGAGGTCCCTGCTCCGTATGTAGAGCCCGCCTTTCAGCTATAATGTTTTTTTTTTCTCCGAGACACTGACTCTTGATTTTCTCTCCGCAGTACTCCGCAGAATACACCTGCGAGCAATGCCCCCATCTCTTCTCATGCCCAACAACCGGGCGTTGCTAGCATCAAGGAAGGTATGTTAATCCGTAACCCCGCCGGAACTACTTCCGCGGGTTTCTCGTTGCTAATTTTGTCTGCGCTATAGAGGACCTCGATCGCGCTGCAGCCGCTTCTATCTTTGCCCAGAACCCTAAGTTGGTTCAAATGATTCAAGGCCGACTTGGCTCTCTAGTCGGTCGATCTTCCGGTTACATAGAGTCTCTGCCTAGCGTCGTTCGTCGTCGTGTTGCCGGCTTAAAGGGCATTCAGAAAGATCACTCGAAGCTAGAGGCCGAGTTTCAGGAAGAAGTTCTCCAGCTGGAGAAGAAGTACTTCGCCAAATTCACCCCTCTCTACGAGAAGCGTGCTGCCATCGTCAACGGCAAAGATGAACCTACTGACGAGCAGATCAAAGCTGGTGAAGACGGGGAGGAGGAGAAGGACGAAGCTGAAGCTGAAGCCGAAAAGGGAGAAGAGAAGGCGACTTCCGAGACTGCTGAGGCCGTTAAGGGAATCCCAGAATTCTGGCTGTCCGCCATGAAGAACCAGATTTCTCTTGCTGAGATGATAACCGACCGTGATGAGGCTGCCCTCCGCTATCTTACTGATATTCGAATGGAGTATCTCGACAAGCCGGGATTCCGCCTCATCTTCGAATTTGCCGAGAACGAGTTCTTCACTAACAAGACTATCACTAAGACGTATTTCTACCAGAACGAAAGTGGCTATGGTGGCGATTTCATTTACGACCATGCCGAGGGTGACAAGATCGAGTGGAAGGAGGGTCGCGACCTTACTGTCCGCATTGAGAGCAAGAAGCAGCGAAACAAGAGTAAGCCGCCATAAAGCTAATCTACTAATATAATTCGCTAACCCAGACAGACACGAAGCAAACTCGTATTGTCAAGAAGACGGTTCCCACCGAGTCATTCTTCAACTTCTTCTCGCCCCCTAAGGCCCCCACCGACGATGATGACAACGACGCTGCCTCGGACATTGAGGAGCGTTTGGAGTTGGACTACCAACTCGGTGAGGACATCAAAGAGAAGCTGATCCCCCGTGCTATCGACTGGTTTACCGGCGAGGCTCTGGCTTTTGAGGAGCTTGATGACCTTGACGACCAGGAGTTCGACGAGGACGACGATGAAGATGACCTCAGCGAAGATCGTGATGACGAGGAGGAAGAATCTGATGACGATGTTTGTCCACCATTCCTTATAGATTATTATGATAGGAATACTGAGCTAATATTTGACATAGGATGATGGCGCGAAGCCAAAGCAGGAGGCGCAAGAGTGCAAGCAAAGCTAAATCTTGCCCCTTTCTTCTAACGCTCTCTACTTAATTCATGTCGCGGATCCTAGTCGGAAAGGAGAGAAGGTAGTAAAAGGCTGTTGAGGCTATCTTATCCTTTCTAACTCAAACCCTTCTATTGTTCTATCGACCAAGACAGATTTAATATTGCGAATTTGTCGACGCTCTGCAGAGGTCACCCAGAAAATGGTCGTGAAATCACGTGCAAAATAGACTGGCCACCCCCATTAGGTTCTAGGCTGCTTTCGGAATCTCGTTCTGTACTGCTTGGTAGTTCTCTTCGTTTTCTTCCAGTATGAGGCTGGTCTGGAGTAGTCGGTTGGCCGGAAGGGTGGTCGCATTTTACGAACAGTGGCATTGGAGGTGGACCCTAAATAGGCATACTCTTCAGGCTGACACGAGGGGAGGAAAAGGTCAAGTTGCTTGGCTCGTCAATAATGCATTCAACTAAAGAATCCATATGAAAGTTGACGGAAGTTTGTGTCTTGCATATATGTACATCGGATGTTCCACATGGAGTTGATTTGCTCTCCTCTTGCGTATTGTGTCGTTACTCCACGTGCTGCCCACACGAATTTGTGAAATAAACGCCCCCCCTTTTTTAATATTTCCCGAGTGTTTACCTACCTAGGTACATGTCCTTTACAACTTGTTATTTTTCCAAGTTCAACAACAAGTCCCATTGATATATTAAACAATTTCCGAGGTAATCGATGACCGATAAAAAAAAACATTCAAGACTAGGAATTTTTCAGAAGCAAATTTAACTAGTATCGAGGTTCAACCACTTTGTTTAAAGAAGACATGATGAAGAAGACAATAGTAGATGGGTTCCCTATACTACAACTTACTCGTGACTCACGGATCTCACGGATTTGATAATGACGTCCGATGACGGGATCTAAATTACGGGGAGTTAGAATTTAAACTAGGTATCTTATTTTCTTATTTTCTATTACTTTAACAAAAGTCGACGAAAAAAAAAGTTGGGTCTCGTGGCATATTACGTGAAGCGATAGGATGCGATAGGATGCGCTAAGCCATAAATTGTGGTACATAGGTTAGGTTAGGTAGGTATCCTCGACGCTCTAACTTTTAACTATAACCGTTTCTCAAAACTTTTCCCGATTCTGAGTCAAACCGCACCTGCTTCTGGCTATACTGGCTATAAGTAACTAGCCATTCTTCGTTATTTCCTACCTAACGTTTGCATTCTATATTCTCAAATAAAACGATTACAAAATCATGACGCAAGCACAGAACATCTTCAAGGCTCCCGAGTCCGAACTGTCGGTCTCACCATCAGCTGCCACATTTCACTCCCCGCTATCCAGCTTCGGCGGGGCATTTCCCCAGCGAGCTCAGCCGAAGCAGCTTAAGCCCTTTAACACTCAAGATATTAAAATCCTCTTGCTTGAGAATGTCAATCAGAGCGGTAGAGATATTTTGACTGGTCAGGGTTACCAAGTCGAATTCCACAAGAGCTCATTGCCTGAAGATCAGCTCATTGAGAAGATCCGGTGAGTTTTGTTACTTTAAATTGTATAAGAGAAGTAGTAAGTAGTAAGTAGTATGGCTCTAACAGAAACTACCAGGGATGTTCATGTCGTTGGCATTCGCTCAAAAACCAAGTTAAACGAGAAAGTCCTTCGCGAGGCCAAGAACCTCTTAGTTATTGGCTGTTTCTGCATCGGTACGAACCAGGTAGACTTGGAGTATGCCGCTCACCATGGCATTGCCGTCTTCAATTCGCCATTTGCAAACTCTCGTAGTGTGGCCGAGCTCGTCATTGCCGAGATCATCTCTCTAGCCCGCCAATTGGGCGATAGGTCCAATGAGATGCACAAGGGCACCTGGAACAAAGTGAGCAACAAGTGCTGGGAGATTCGTGGCAAGACTCTTGGTATGTATTGCATCACTTAGACTCACTTATACACCAACACATCTACACCAAGAGCTAATTTTGACCGTATTAAAGGAATCATCGGATATGGACATATTGGCTCGCAGTTGTCCGTCCTTGCGGAAGCCATGGGAATGTCGGTTATTTATTACGACGTCGTGAACTTGATGGCACTAGGCACGGCTAGACAGGTACCCAAACTAGAGGACCTCCTGAGGGAGGCCGACTTCATAACTCTACACGTCCCAGAGCTACCCGAAACCAAGAACATGATCTCTGAAGCGCAACTCAAACATATGAAAGACGGCTCGTACCTCATCAACGCAAGCCGTGGAACTGTGGTTGACATCCCCGCCCTAATCAACGCCATGCGCAGTGGCAAGATCGCAGGAGCCGCATTAGATGTTTACCCGAGCGAGCCGCGCGCAAACGGCGACTATTTCATTAACAACCTGAATGGCTGGGAAGAAGATCTTCGTAGCCTGAACAACATCATCCTCACCCCTCACATTGGTGGCAGCACCGAAGAAGCCCAGAGAGCTATTGGCGTAGAAGGTAACAAAGATCACATTGCAACAGTTCGAGATATCCATGCTAACGTGACTATTACATAGTCGGCGATGCTTTAGTTCGATATATCAACCTGGGCATTACCTTGGGTAGCGTAAATATGCCCGAGGTCAATATGCGCTTGTTAACTTTGGAGGAGCCCAACCACGCACGAGTAAGAAATCTTGGACTGCGTACACCTTTATGGCAACCTCTAATTCGCCACAGATCATCTACATCCACAAGAACGTGCCTGGTGTCCTCCGTAAGGGTAAGTAAACTAAATGTACATACACGTGATCATATCTGTATACTTATACTTAAGCAGTGAACGAAATTCTCGGAAACCACAATGTCGATAAGCAAATTAGCGACAGCAAAGGAGATGTATGTTCTTATACTCTTTTATACGTATCTATTCATTGCGCTCTAAGCTAACGTACGCAGCTTGCCTATCTTATGGCGGATGTTAGTGACGTCCAAACGAGCGATCTAAAAGAGATTCAAGATTCGCTTGAAGCACTAAGCTGTAAGTACTAGTCTATATCCTCCATATATACACAGCTAACCCAGCCTGCAAGCCCGTGTCTTGACGCGCGTGCTGTATTAGGTAACAGTTTGTGACGGGTAGCAGACGAATTCGGAGAATGCTAATGATGAGAATGTATTGAGCCAAACAAATAATTATTGCATGACGGGTATGTAAAATTCAACTTACGACAAGACGGATACCCAAGAAAATTGCATCAGTATGGTTGGGAAAAGGGGCATAAGGTTCAACAGAAAAGCCCAAGGCATAGGGGTATCATTTATTCTAGCATGAACATATCTAGGTGGCTACTTATAGAGCATGATTTTATTGTAGCTCGACGCTCCGGACGTTCCGCCAAGTGTCTTATACCTCCTTTTCTGAAGAGCCGCACGAAGCTGGTTAGTATCTACGGATATCACCGGTGGCATCGGGGAAGAAACAGAGGAGGAAAAGATATACAGTGCTATTGATACTTCTAGTCGAAGTATTTAACTAATGAATTGAATGGCCTGAATTGTAAGTAGTTACTTGGTTTCCCCTTAAAGGGACTTGCCAACCTGTGGCTTGTGCTTGACCCGCGTAAGAAGGAAAGGCTCCGGATTGCCGAAAGATGAAACAACTATTTTGTTGGAGATGGCCAAGTGTGTAAACACATATGTTACCACGTATGTATCGTGGTATGTAAGCACATTTGGAGATCTGGGGATGAGGGTTGGTTGTGAGTGTCGGGTTTCTATGCACCACCAGGCTCGGGCTGCCACCCCCTGCAGACACAGATTTTGTATCCAGAATAAAAGGATTTGATATCCGCCTCCTACAATGTCACATGTAGAGAAACATACGTTTGGTAATGTTTAATGTTTTACTTAGTTAATCTTTCCGACCTTTAACAAGCCAAATATGTAGAAAATGATATATACATATATGATCTAGTTAGCGACAAGTATGGTAGGGACCGGCTTGACATCGGCGGGAGAAACCTTGAGTCTTTTTTTTTTTTTTTCCTCTTTGCCTCGCTAGTTCATTAGACGGTCAAGGATCCTGGAAAGGAGGTAGATATGGCGTGGAGGCTAGGAGGGGAGAATATGGAGCAACACGTTACTATTAGGAACTAGAATAACTACCTGGTACGCTCGCACCTTTTAGATCCCGCAACTATTATTGTATTTTTATTTTTGATTGGTATTTTTATGTGGCTTGGGGATATTCATTACATAGTACGAGTGATGGATGAAATCTACATAAACATTGAATGTAGGTAGCATCCGAATTGTAACCATAAAGTGAGATATTGTAAATATAAAATATCCCACTTCCGATAAATGTACTCTGATGTATGCAGGTACATGGCACAAACCTACAGATGCATACTGTCATCTCTTCAATTTGATTGACTGGAGTAGGCTGCCACAACAGTATATTAACGAAAATAGACCTGCAGAATTGACGCTTTGTCAACCGCCAAAGTTGCACCAGACACAACCTTTCTGCACGAAAAAGGGAGGAGAGTGAATCGCAAAGAAGCGGAGGTAAATACATACCTACCTCCTATATAGTGTATGTACGATGTACACCCACTTATAGAAAAGTGGATAACTTCCAGCTGTACATACGCTATGTATGTAAGACGCACCGCCTTAGCAACATTTTTACCAAGTAAAAGATACGTTGTCAGATACGTATTTAAACTGTGTTAGTAGGTAAACTGTACATACCTGGCACTCCCGAACAAGGTAAGCCCGGTCCGTCAAGAACTGAAAGAATTAAAAATGGCTGGAAGACCCTTTTCTCGAAAAACAAACCCCTGTCACTGAACTCGTACTAGGCCGATATAGGTAACGCTCTCTCCTTTATCCCCTACCTCCCCTAAATTTCAATCATTGAAGGGCGGGTTTGGCAGCATCCATGACCAAGTGGTAAAAGTGACAATACATACATTAGGTACCGGTATTACAGATTATTGCAGGTATTGCATTGTACATACAGCCGTACAACATCACACAACGCCGTCGACAAAACCTCGCCTTCACCTTATTTTATTTTTCTCCTTCTTTACATAGTAGTTGTGAGCATCACCGTCATAAGCGTCATAATCTACCTTGAAGGGCCTGCCAGTTTTAGATCCTTTCCAGGCCCTCTTCTCTCCGTTCTGTACACCGGTCTCTAGTGGGCTTTCTCATAGGCTTCCTTCGTTCAGTACATATTTCCTCGCTTGTCCTTCCTGTCCAACCAGCGAATCAGCGAAACTCGAGCGACCGATACGAATGCCTCGTGCTACTTACCGCTTCCCCCTAATAAGTGGCCTAATATCCTTCCGCCTCTCGCGACCCGATCGATCTTGATTTCTGCTATATTCTCCCACCCGATTTATATCAATAGCCTCTCATGTCGCATAGCTACGATGTTGGTACGAGAGCTTGGCAGCCAGATGCCACCGAGGGCTGGGTGGCATCCGAGGTTGTCAAGAAGACTGTCGATGGCGACAAGGTGACCTTGGTCTTCAAGCTCGAGAATGAAGAGGTACGCGAAGCTTGCAGTTTGGCATGGCGTCGGAGGGCTTTCAAAGCACAACCCTGACCGCTAATCCGCTCTCTAGACCAAGACGATAGAGCTCTCAGCCGAGGCTTTACAAAATGCCAACGACCCGTCCTTACCACCACTGATGAACCCTGCGATGCTCGAAGCCAGCGATGATTTAACAAATCTATCCTATCTTAACGAGCCGGCCGGTATGCATGACCCCGCCAACATTTCCAAGTCCAATGTTGGACCCAGATATTAATTTATCCTGTCTATGTAGTACTTCAGGCCATCCGCCTACGATATGCGCAAAAAGAAATATACACGTACAGCGGTATAGTGCTGATAGCTACGAATCCATTTGCTCGGGTCGACTCTCTCTATGTCCCGGGCATGGTCCAAGTTTACGCTGGCAAGCAGAGGGAGTTGCAAGCACCCCATCTGTTTGCCATCGCCGAAGAAGCTTTCATGTAAGCATATATGCATCCAAACATTCTATTCCATATATAACTAACCCTAGATGTAGAAAAATGATCAAAGATGCCAGGAATCAAACCGTCGTAGTTTCAGGAGAGTCAGGTGCTGGAAAAACCGTCAGTGCCAAATACATTATGCGATACTTTGCCACAAGAGAGACTCCAGATAATCCAGGAGGTCGATTCAAGAAGGGCGCCGAAGGCATGAGCGAGACGGAGGAGCAAATTCTAGCGACTAACCCTATCATGGAAGCATTTGGAAACGCTAAGACAACTCGAAACGACAACTCGTCGAGATTTGGAAAGTATATAGAGATCATGTTCGACAACAAGACGAATATTATTGGTGCTAGGATCCGAACATACCTCCTCGAACGGTCGAGATTGGTGTTCCAGCCCCTGAAGGAAAGGAATTACCACATTTTCTATCAGTTACTGGCCGGAGCAACGGATAAAGAACGACAGGAACTTAGCCTACTACCGGTCGAGCAGTTCGATTACCTTAACCAGGGAAACTCTCCTACGATCGATGGGGTGGACGATAAGGCAGAATTTGCTGCCACTAAGAGCTCGTTGAAGACAATCGGTGTCGACGAAGCTCAGCAGGCTGGTATCTTCAACCTCCTTGCCGGTCTGCTACACCTGGGTAACGTTAAGATCGGTGCTTCGAGGAATGATAGTGTACTGGCCCCTACAGAACCGTCTCTAGAGAAGGCTTGTTCCATTCTTGGAATCGACGCCACAAACTTCGCCAAGTGGATTGTGAAAAAGCAGCTTGTCACTCGCGGCGAAAAGATCGTCTCGAACTTGACACAACAGCAAGCCCTAGTCGTGCGAGACTCGGTAGCTAAATACATCTATTCGAGTCTTTTTGATTGGTTGGTGGAGGTCATCAACAGGAGTCTTGCTACCGAGGAAGTCTTGAGTCGTCTTTCCTCCTTCATCGGCGTACTTGATATTTACGGTTTCGAGCACTTTGCTAAGAACTCATTCGAACAGTTCTGTATCAACTATGCCAACGAGAAGTTGCAGCAGCAGTTCAACTCGCACGTATTCAGATTGGAACAAGAAGAATACGTGCGAGAACAGATCGACTGGAAATTTATCGAGTTCTCTGACAACCAGCCGTGTATCGATTTGATCGAAGGTAAATTAGGTATTCTATCTCTTCTCGACGAAGAGTCTAGGCTACCTATGGGTGCTGATGAGCAATTCGTTACGAAGCTCCATCACAACTTCTCTGGCGATAAGAATAAGTTTTACAAGAAGCCTCGATTTGGAAAATCTTCGTTCACCGTCTGCCATTATGCTGTTGATGTCACGTACGAGTCGGAGGGCTTCATCGATAAGAATAGGGATACGGTCCCTGACGAGCATATGGAGATTCTTCGCGCGACGACGAATAAGTTCCTTAGTAGCGTGCTTGCTGCAGCGTTGGCCGTCCGCGAAAAGGACGTCGCTTCCTCGGGCTCCGCCGTCGCGAAGCCCGCCGCAGGTAGGAAGATAGGAGTTGCTGTTAACCGCAAGCCTACCCTTGGTGGTATCTTCCGCTCCTCGCTTATCGAATTAATGAACACGATCGGCAACACCAACGTCCACTATATCCGTTGTATTAAGCCGAACGAGGCCAAGGTTGCGTGGAAGTTTGAAGGTCCCATGGTGCTCAGTCAACTGAGGGCCTGTGGTGTACTCGAGACTATTCGTATCAGTTGCGCTGGTTATCCCGGACGCTGGACTTATGAGGAATTTGCTCTACGGTACTACTTACTAATACCGTCAAACCGGTGGCAGACTGAGATCCGGCAGTTGGTTAAAGAGATTCTGGCACAGGCACTCGGTTCGGGAACGGGCACTGGAACCGACAGCTATCAGCTAGGTTTGACTAAGATCTTCTTCCGTGCGGGTATGCTCGCGCACCTGGAAAACCTTCGCCAGAGCCGCATGACCGAGGCTGCTGTCTTGATCCAAAAGAATCTCAAGGCCAAATACTACCGCCGTAAATATCTCGAAGCACGAGCTGCTATCGTTACCTTCCAGTCGCTCGTCAGAGCCTACACGACCCGGAAAGCAGCTCAGGAATTACGCACGGTCAAGGCTGCAACAACAATACAGAGGGTGTGGAAGGGGCAGAAGCAACGCAGGGAATTCCTGCGAATCCGCAACAGTGTCATACTCGTACAGGCTATTGCCAAGGGTTACCTGCGAAGGAGAGAGATCATGGAAACTCGCGTGGGCAATGCTGTTCTTCTAATCCAGCGAGTGTGGCGGTCGAGGCGACAAGTCAGGACGTGGAGAAGCTACCGCAAGAAGGTGATATTAATACAGAGTTTGTGGCGCGGAAGGCAAGCAAGGAAGGAATACAAGACGATACGCGAGGAGGCTCGCGACCTAAAGCAGATTTCGTACAAGTTGGAAAACAAGGTCGTCGAACTCACGCAGTCTCTGGGTACTATGAAGACTCAGAACAAGAATCTTCAGAGTCAAGTGGAAAACTACGAAAACCAAATCAAGTCGTGGAAGACCCGTCACAACGCTCTCGAGACCAGGTCAAAGGAGCTTCAAGCAGAGGCCAACCAGGCTGGTATCGCCGTAGCCAAGCTGCAGGCCATGGAGGAGGAGATGAAGAAGCTGCAGCACAACTTCGACGAGTCAACTTCAAGCGTCAAGCGGATGCAAGAGGAGGAGCGGGAGCTCAAGGAGTCTCTGCGAACCGCGAATGCCGAGTTGGAACGCATCAAGCGGGAGAGCACGCTTCACGAGAACGAGAAGATGACCCTGCGGGATCAACTAGCCCAAATGGCCGAAGAGCTCGAGCTGGCCAAGCGGTCGGCTCCTCTCAACGGAGAGCTTATCAACGGCAACGGTGTTACCGCTCCTCCCAACGGCCTCATCAACTTGGTGTCGTCCAAGAAGCCCAAGCGCAGGAGCGCCGGTGCGGAACCCAGCGGAATGGACCGCTTCAGTGCCGCGTACAATCCTCGCCCAGTCTCTATGGCCGTCACCAACGCCAGACCTGGTACTGGGTACATGCCGGGTGCTGACACCATCGAGATGGAGTTGGAGAACTTACTTGCCGACGAAGATGGCTTGAACGAAGAAGTCACATTGGGCCTAATTAAGAACCTGAAGATCCCATCGCCGAGCACGACGCCACCTCCTTCAGACAAGGAAGTTCTTTTCCCTTCCTACCTCATCAATCTCGTCACGTCCGAGATGTGGAACAATGGTTTCGTCAAGGAGTCGGAGAGATTCTTGGCAAACGTTATGCAGTCGATCCAGCAAGAAGTTATGCATTACGATGGGGATGACGCGATCAACCCAGGTGCCTTCTGGTTGTCTAACGTGCACGAGATGTTATCATTTGTATTCCTTGCCGAGGATTGGTACGAGGCCCAAAAGACGGACAACTATGAGTACGACCGTCTGCTGGAAATTGTCAAGCACGATCTTGAGAGTTTGGAATTCAACATCTATCATACGTGGATGAAGATTCTCAAGAAGAAGCTGCAGAAGATGATCATTCCTGCTATTATTGAGTCTCAATCCCTACCGGGCTTCGTTACGAACGAAAGCAACCGATTCCTCGGCAAGCTGTTGGCGACCAACTCGCAGCCTGCTTACAGCATGGACAACCTTTTAAGCCTGCTAAACAGCGTCTTCAGGGCGATGAAGGCTTACTACTTAGAAGACACTATCATCACACAAACCGTCACGGAGCTCCTCAAGTTGGTGGGCGTTACCGCGTTCAATGACCTACTCATGCGCAGGAATTTCCTCTCGTGGAAGCGTGGCCTGCAAATCAACTACAATATTACTCGGATTGAAGAGTGGTGCAAGAGTCACGACATGCCCGAAGGCACTCTGCAGCTTGAGCATCTTATGGTAAGTTGACCGAAAACGAGTACTTATAGACTATGGCTAACACTCAGTTTAGCAAGCAACGAAACTCCTACAGCTCAAGAAAGCGACCTTGAATGATATTGAGATCATTCAAGATATTTGCTGGATGTAAGTAGAGAGCAGACCGAGATTCGAAGAACTTATTGTAGCTAACTCGTATTCACAGGCTCTCTCCCAACCAAATCCAGAAGCTTCTAAACCAATACCTAGTGGCGGATTACGAGCAACCTATCAACGGGGAAATCATGAAGGCCGTGGCATCGAGAGTAACGGAGAAGAGCGACGTTCTCTTATTGGCGGCGGTAGATATGGAAGACAGTGGACCGTATGAGATCGCCGAACCCCGCGCTATTACCGCTCTGGAGACATACACCCCATCATGTAAGTTTATCGTGCTTATGCCCGAGATGAACGACGGCTGACTTGAATTCTTTACAGGGTTACAAACTCCTCGACTAAAGAGGTTGGCGGAGATAGTATCTGCGCAGGCTATTGCACAACAGGAGAAGATGGAAGCGGACGAGTACGACGGCGACGGCGAACTAGCCGAGGTCGACGAAGTTGAAACTGGCAGTGCGTAGAACCGTAATACCGGCGACTTGAGACCCGCCGGAGCTAAGATGCCGCGTCTTCCCATAACGGTAAGAATATGGCGAGGCCCAGGCGGGTAGGGGCGCGGGACGAACATGTCAGCATAGACAGTTCATATAAGGGCTGAGACGGCAGGCAGCTTCGAGTCCCTTGACGGCCGCACGGGAAGAAGTGGCGGTTAGGACGAGCCAAGGTGGAGATTTTAATGGATATAGAAAGGCTCGCACGAACCACGGACCGGGGGCGTTTTAACGATGCATGCATGCAAGCTGATGCCTTTTATATTTATGATGATTTTAGACGTCCCAGTTCCGGTGGCGGGCCAGGAAAGGAGAGTGTATACCAAAAAGAAAGAAGAGAGGAAACGAGACGTGTGATACTGTAGCATCTAGCTAAGGTGTATGGGTTTGTACATGCTGACGAAACGAAGAAGAGATGATGCATTTTTATTTTATTTTTCAGCTCTGCGAGGTAGCGTTCTTGTCTCTCCGCGTACGCGAAGCCTACTACTACGTATTTGAATTACGAGATAATGTCCATGAACTACTTTACTAACCTTTAATTTTATAATTGTTGTTAAATTATAATATTTTTCGTTCTTAATATATGAAATATGGTGAGTGGTAGGTAGTGTTGGTGTTGATGTTAGAGGGATGGATGAATGTTTGCGTACTACCTAAGGAATAAACCGACCGGATTCGACGGGTAGGTACACGTGATCTGGTTTTAAAAAAAAAATCCACTAAGTGATGGAAGGTTTTCGCTATAAAGGCAAAGGTACGTTATGAAACAGAAATTGGAAATTAAACCTCTGGCTTATGACAATTAAATCGGAAGTGAATTGTCGAGTTTTAAAAGCACGACCTGATCAATATACGACAATTCTAAACAATCGATATTTTCAATTGTTGGTTTTTATTTCCAAGCTGTCTCCTTGTTGAGTGCGCCCCTAGGCTGATAAGTCTTCTGTCTCTCACTGGAACCACTCTCATACCGAAGTCTGAAAAGAGCAAGCAATTTAATTAATCCAAGCCAGCTTTTTTGAGGAAAAAGGAAACTACCTGCCTTTAAACCCAAAAAAGGGTTTGCTGGTTAGATAAAATAAAGTCAGACGGAGAGAAGGAGAAAAGAAAAGAAGGAAAAGGAAAAGGACAATGCGCACCGAACCAAACATCATCATCACGGGCACGCCGGGCGTGGGCAAGACGACGCACGCGGAGGTGCTGGCGGAGCGGACGGGGATGCGGCATGTCTCGGTGAATCAGGTGGTTAAGGATAAGGAGTGCCATGAGGGGTGGGATGAGGAGTTTAAGAGCTGGATCGTTGATGAGGATAAGGTGAGTTTATGTAGTTTCTTGCCTGGTTTTTTTTCTTTTTTTTTTTTATGCTTTAATTATGTTCGTTAGGGGGGTTGTTTCATTTTTGATGGGTTAGGAGAAGAAGAGAAGGGAGGTGGAGGTGGAAGTGAGAGGGAAAAGAAACGAAACTAAGGACGAGAGAGCTAATCGAGGATGATAGTTACTCGATGCGCTAGAAGAGGACAATGTCAAGGCCGGCGGCTGCATCATAGACTGGCACGGCTGCGAGATCTTCCCGGAGAGTTGGGTCGATCTGGTGGTAGTGCTGCGGGTGGACTCGAGCACTCTATATGATCGATTATCCTTAAGGTTCGTCTCTCCTTCTCTCCCCTCTCTTCCTTCTCCTTTCTCATCCATTCCCTCGTCTCACCCCCCTTTCCCCCATGCTAATAAAAATAGGAAATACCCCGAAGCAAAACTACAAGAAAACATAGACTCGGAGATCATGGAGGTGCTACTACAAGAGGCACGAGACAGCTACGACGAGCAGATCATCGTCGAGCTGACGAGTAACTCGACCGACGAGATGGAGAGTAATGTCGATCGCATCGAGGCGTGGATTAAGCAGTGGAAGCAGGATCATGCTGCGGATGGGGAGCAGTAAGGGATGTATTGATTAGGTAGTTAAATTGATGAGATACCCGTGATGTAAGACTGCGCCTTGACCGGTGATAAAAATATATGATATTTACTATTAATCTAGTTAACCTATCTACATCTACATAGAGAGCCTAGCCCAGCCTCAAAATCTCAATAAATATAGGTACTCAAAAGTTAAGTGTAAAATAGCCTCCTATATTATTCCTCGCCAATAATCAGCATATGTAAAAACCATGGCATATTTAATATTACCATCCCCTATTGTGCATCCAGCACTCCGCCTCGTTGGGCTGATACCAAGGACCAAAGTTGGTCTATAGCCAAGTGTCTCCGCCAATGAGATAGCAGTAAAAAAACCGCAACGACAAACTTTTTAGCCTCAGCTAACATCTGCATTAGGTAGTATGCATGTCGCCGGTGCGTCACACCGGACATTTTTTATTTTTCTCGAGGATATAAATAAAGACGAACGAACGATAGACTTGCGATCGAAGAGATAGATCAATTTCTAAAAAGGGGCAGTAGTTATCTACTGAACTACTAATTTACTTCTATCTTCTACGTGCACTATTTCGATTTCGATTTAGATATTTTATTTATTTATTCAACTCCAGCACTTATATCAATTCCACCAACACCACACACACACACTCACTCACTCACACACACACTCACCCACCATGTCCGCCCCCGTCCTCAACTTCATAACCGGCAACGCCAACAAACTCTCCGAGGTGCGCGCCATCCTCGAACCAGCCGGCATCTCCGTGCGCAACCAGCCCCTCGACCTGCCCGAGATCCAGGGCTCCCTCGAGGACGTGACGCGCGAGAAGTGCCGCGCCGCCGCCGCCCAAGTCGCCGGCCCGGTGCTCGTCGAGGACACGTGCTTGTGCTTCGACGCGCTGAACGGGCTGCCGGGGCCGTACATGTACGCATCCCCCCATCCATCCACTACTTTTCATGTAGTTATACATATATTTATACATATATGAGAGAAGTATATATATCTATATAATTACTAACACACCCCACGCAGAAAATGGTTCATGCAATCCATCGGCCACGCAGGCCTCAACAACCTTCTCGCCGCCTACGACGACAAGTCCGCCCAGGCCGTCGCCACCTTTGGCTTCTGCCAGGGGCCCGGCCACGAAGTGCTCCTGTTCCAGGGGCGCACGCACGGCAAGATCGTGCCTCCGAGGGGTCCTACCACGTTCGGTACGTCCCCCCCTTATTTCTCCGGTTTAACTTACTTACCTACTTATTTACTTACCACCAAGCGACTAACGACTATGCCAAATGACTACCTAAACTAACTAACCGTCTCTCCTAGGCTGGGATCCCATCTTCGAGTATGACGGACAGACGTAAGTTTCCCCTTTTCTTCTCCCCTTCTCTCCTTAGCATGACATTCTATCTACAGCCGGCATTACACGGTGCAATCAAGAAAGAAAGAAAGAAAATAAACTAACAAACGATCGCAGCTACGCCGAGATGGACAAGGCCGCCAAGAACAAGATCTCGCACCGCTACAAGGCGCTCGAGAAGCTGCGCGCGTGGATCGAGGGCGGCGGCATGAAGGCGTAAGGAAGTAAGGGGGCGCTTATTAGACGCGCATGAATGATTAACTTAGATCTTTGCATATGTAGACATACTCACATACTCGCGTACGAGAGAATCCCATACGGTGGTTCTCGGTTACCAAAGGGTCAATAGATAAATAAACAACCCATTTTATATTTCTACATAAAGCTTCGCTAGCAGCCGCCTCGATCCCGGATATCAGAACGCTAACTTGCTACTTGGATACGATCCCGCATGCCTATGTAAAAATATTCTTCTCAACTCCGTTACAACCCGCCTCCTTAGACGCCGAAGATATCCGACTGCGTAAAATGTCTTCTGTGCTACGTCGGGACCAGGTAGTTGATTTGGCCACGCGGTCGAAGAAGAAAGAAAATTTCAAAGTTGGAAGACGGTTGATTGATTGAGTGAGTAATTGATTACTCTCTTAACCTAGACGCCCAAAGTAAACGTAAGCGTAAGCCTAGGACTTAGGACTCGTGATATGAATGAAAAGTGCCACGCGCATGGCCTAGGGTTAACAGAGATACCTAGGAAAAATCTAGATATGGGTATGTATGTATGTACGTACCTCATGAGCTCAAAAGCCTGGTACTTGCCCAGGTACCTCGGGCCGCGACGGTAGAGCTTGAGCGCGCGGTCCGGGTGGTGGTTGTGCTCGACGGGCCTCGTGCCGTCGAGATGCCGCGTGATGTTGGACGGGTCCCCATAGGACGGGTCGAAGACGATCAGGTTCCGGTTACCGCTGGGCTGGCACTCTATGCCGATGATGGTCATGGAGTGGCCTTTGGATTGCAGACGTGTTAGCAAGCCGGATTAACAAATTAACGGGAAGTTTACGTGTATTAATATTCTCACCCTTGGATCTATATGTAGTGTATATAAATGAGGGAAAGGAAATGGTTATGGGGGGTTACCTTGATGCTGTAAATAAATCGGTGGTCGCATCGTGTTGCGGACCTTATCTTGCATATTGACGCTTGGTGCCGTCGCGAAATACTCTTCCACGGCGTCGTACATCCTGTTCTCCGAAGCAGTGGGTGCTTCACCCGGGCGATTCTTGAACGTTTGCATGTCCCATCTAGAAGAAGGGTAGGGCAGTACGTTAGTATTTAAGCCAAAAAAGGAGAACGTGTACGTGTGCGTGTATGGCTTCGTCGAATATAAGGATAAGAGCAAACAGAACAGAACTTACTGTATACCCAAACTTGCAAACAGCGTCTGGGCCTATTGGGAGGTGCAACAGTTAGCTATAACGACTTGCGCACATCCATCGTCCTTGAAGCCCAACATATAGTAAGGAGAATATCAGTCGAACTCACCTCTGGCGTCCCGATATATTTCCGCGTGCCTCTAAGCACACCGAGTTCCGTCCGGCCATCCTCGTGGATACCCTGGTCCCAGGCTTTCTCGATGAGATCCTGGATCTGGAAGATACTCGGGATATCGTTATTGAAAGCGGCAGCCCCCTTCGCGCCCGTGCCGACGATATACGATATCAGCATCTGGATATTCCTGTAACCGCAGAAGCTGCCTATCGAATGATTGGCGTTAGATTATACTATTGCCCTACACAGGGAGATGTGTAGTTGTAGATATGTAGGCTATATACGTACCCTCGCTTCTAAGCTTGGAGATGTGCTGTGTTTTCGGGTGACAGAGATATGCGTATCGCGTGTATTTGTTCTGATGTAGGAGCTGTGCGAGGACGGGTATTACGCCTAAGAGCAACTCGTGAGTTGACATGTGCCTAGGTAATACATGGACTTGTGAGCTGCGACGAGCTGGAGAGGGACCAACCTTGTGAGCTCTTAAACCCGCGTTTCCTCAGCAAATCCTCTAGCCAGCGCGGCATTCTCTCCTCGTTGTAGTACGCGCCTAATTCCTTTTTCTAGACGTCATGTTAGCTTGCTTGGTTTTCCCTATATATATGTTTCTTGTGAATATATCTAAGAGGAAGCTTACTCCAAGTCTCCTGACTGGCTTAGATGATTTTATGTGGTAGTCTCCGGTCGTGCTGAGCGGTAACGCGCTCGGGGCAGAGCCGGCCGGTACATCGGGCTTGGCTCGGCTAGGTCCCGGGGCTCGCGTAGAAGAAGATCGAGAGCCGCTCTCCGGCGACGCGCTCCCTAGCCCGCCAACGTTCGATCCTTCAGCCGCATTGCCGACTTGTTCGGCGTTATGCAATTCGAGGTGGTCGTCCAGCCTATCCAGGTGCAAGATCTCGCCGCAGCTCTTCACCGGGCATTGGAAATACTCGGTAAGCTCCTCCTCCTTAGCGACGGTAGCTTCTACTACCTCGGGTCTAGCTGCGTTATGCGCCGCCTCATCCGGCACGAACGGGGATTTGCCCTCGCTATGATGGACCTCCAGGTGCTGCGAGAAGCGCATGAGCACCCGGAGGAGAAAAGAAGGTAGTCGCCGTCGTCGTCTCGGCATGAGAGGACGAGGAGGGGGGGGCGCGGGAACTTACAAGTAGGATGCTATATTCGACGGAATCCTTGTATCCGCAAAAGGGGCAGTTGAATACACCCGACATAACAGCTACCTGTTATAGTAAAGTTACAGTAGAGAGATAATGATACTCTTGCTCTTTCCGCTCCTAAGTAATCATCAACTCGCTAGCTGCTAGAACAAATCTATAACGTAATGTAATGTTCGCTCCTTTCCCGCCGGGCTGAATAAAGACGTAAGCGCCTGCGTCTTGTAATACGTTAGGTAAATGCGTTAGGTAGGATCTTTACCACGGGTTTGATTGGTCGTTTGCTTCAACTATCTATGCATTTAATTTAATACCAGTGTTAATTCTTATTTGCGGAAGGATAGAAAATAAAAGTATAAAAAAATAAAAAATAAAAATAAATAAAAATAACGAGTGAAGTAGGTCAGTTTCGCACCCAGTGGTTGAATTGTCGACCATAACCGGGTTCGGATTCATTCGTGTTATTTAGGGGGGGACCTAATGGCTCCTTCGCAAAGAACAAATAAGTGGGCATATTTCTAGGGTGCAGGGAAGCCGTATGCGGCTGATGTTTCGTGCTCCCCGAGAACGTCTTTATGTAGTAGAAGGTTCGGAATGTAAAGGTTTACTTACGGTTGATTGCATTCAATAAGTAGTACCTACCTCATAGTAACTAATACAAGAGGTATGTATAAACTAGCACCATTGTCTTAGGTACTAGTTACGGATATCTAATGCAGATGCAGATATAACAAGGAGAATAAAATGAATAGTTAAGAGAAGACAATAGATATATATATTTAAAAGTCATATGCACGTTTATAGATCCATTCATGGGTGCATACTATGTACGTACATACGTAGTTCGAGTTACTACAGGGGTCCAATATGTAGTGAGCCGACAGAACCGAAATTCCCTGTCATGAAAGCGAAAAACATCAATGCTCTTTTGACCTTACCATTCATTTTACCACCCGTCTTACCTATTCATCTCATTACTAAGCGTTAGCATCACATCTGGTTTGAACCCCTGAGCTGTTTTTAGTTATCATAGTTTCCCACTGTATGCCTCACAAACTCATCTTGTAAAACATCAAGGCTGTCATGGGTAATTCGTCTCTATTCGGTTATCGTGTAAAATACTGGCGCTGCTACGCTAGCCTAAACGCATGGCTGTTAAGTGCCATAACATGAGACGCATCTAAATATCTTTATTGCAGCCCAACCGCTATCACCTCTAACGAGATGGTACGCATTCCTCGATATCCGAACCCGTCAATATTCATTCAATTATACCGCCAAATCCTTCAGCTTCTCACCAGCTTCCGCGACTGCGGCTCCCGCAGCAGCCGCCTTTTGCTTGACACCTTTCTCTCCCTTGGCCTTGGCTTTTGCAGAAGTTGTGTCCTTGGGCAGTTCCTTGGTGAAGGGGATGAAGTCAGGAGCGCCCGGAATGTACTTGCGCAGCGGCTCGGGAACTCGGAGACCCTGAAACAAGTTAGCCTCGGTATGTATTTAGGGATTAAGTATACACTTACATCCTCGGTCTGATAGTTCTCAAGAATACAGCATAGTGCTCTCTCGGTGGCACAAAGTGTCGAGTTGAGGCAGTGGACGTATTTCTTCTTAGCGTCCGTCTGCGTCTTGGTACCAAACCGTATTTCTAGGGCACGCGACTGGTAGTCGGTGCAGTTTGAGCATGACACAAGCTCCTTGTACTCTCCCTGGAAAGGGAACCAGGCTTCCAAATCAAACTTCTTGGCAGCTGCATTGTTCAGCGCCCCTGAGACGATAGCTACGACCTGGTACGGCAATCCAAGCGACTTGTAGAATTCCTCAGAGATTGCGAACATTTCTTCAAACATCTCCCACGACTTCTCGGGGTCCGTAAGAACGAATTGCTCCACCTTCTCGAACTGGTGGACACGGAAGATACCCCAAGCGTCACGACCATGGGAGCCGGCTTCTCTTCTGTAACACGTGCTAAAGCCCGCGTACTTGATAGGTAGCTCTTTGGCTATTATCCATTCGTCCGCATGGAAGGCGGAGATGGGCTGTTCCGAGGTCGCGATGAGGTATTTGTCGTTTTGCGCCTCGCCGTCGACTACCTTATATAATTCCTCATCAAACTGCTCTAGCTGAGCTGTCTTCGCCATGTAGTCCTTGAGCATAAACTGGGGTGTCTGTAGGGGAGTGAACCCCTTGCTGCTGAGGTATTCTAGACCATAGTTGATCAGGGCCTGGTTGAGGAATACACCCCATTGTCTTAAGAAGTAACCTCTGTGGCCCACGACCTTGACTCCGCGATCAGGGTCGTAACCGTCCAGTCGTAAGAGGACCTCGTGGTGCGATAGCACGTTCTTCTTCTCTACCGTGACTCCTGGAGGGGCCCACGTCCGCTGGATTGCGTTGTTGTCTTCGTTATCGCTGATAGGAACCGAATCGTGGACGATATTGCCAATGGTGTTAATTTTGGCTTTTAGCGCAATGTCTTTCTGAGCTGCCGAGTCGATAAATGCCTTCTTCTCCTTTTCGAGTTCGGCCTTCTGTTGGAGTAGTTCATCGGCGTTTTCTTTAGCCTATATATACGCTCGTATTTAGTACTTAGACACGAGAATATATATAAGACGTCTCGATGACTCAGAGGAATTATGACCTTTTTCTTAGCACCGATCTGCTTTTGCACTTCGTTGATCTTGCTGTTTATCTGAGTCGCGGCATATTGGGCTGTGGTTTTATGATATGTTAGTCGCGAATATTGCTTGGTACGAGAGGGCATGAGACTAACTTCTGCGATGGTCCTCGAACATCTCGATCACCTCGTCAACAACTTCGACATTGGCATATCTGCGGCGCTGTGACTCGCGGATCTTCTCGGGGTTGCCACCCCGCTCGGTGATGAAATCTAAAACGTCAAGCATGATTGAGGACTTGAAGACAGCTTCGGGGTAAGATTGATGTCGAAATGCTCCTTTCCGTGTAGTTTAAAGGAGTGACTAAATTTTGGTGGGGTGGTTTTCGAAGCAGAGGGGCAGAAGGGGGTATCGCGACGCAGCGGCGGGGCACATTATGATAGGGAAGGTACGTACCTCTTTATCTGCAGCCTTTTTTTTTTTTTTTTTTTTTTTTTTTTCCTTCTTTCCTTTTTTCGGTACTTGGGTACATGTACCTACCTGGTAACTGCACATATCCTACATATGCATTCCCATTATGTACGACTAAGCTCTTGTAGGACCTTTACTTTATAAAAACTTAGTCATTCGATTCTGGCAATGTTTTTTCCATTCTGCTTCAGGTATTATTAAGGTGACCTTGTTAATGTCACATGCTAATAGCAACTATCAAGCTCGTTATACTATGAGGTAGCAATAAAGCAAGTCCGATTAACTCCTTAACCAGATTTGAAGCTCTGACTAGTATATACAAGTCATGGCAATTATTATCGTCTCTTCCTTTCAAGACATCATAAGTAGTAACCTGTGCGGTTCATAATGCAAAGCCGGAGAACAAAGTAGTAGTAACCTGTCCGAAAACACAGTAGCACCTAGACCTAGATTCCACCGCCCTGGGGCAGCTCAGAGATCCCTCTTCTAACCTTCCAAACGTTCCATCATGTTGTCCATGCTCGTTTGGTATTCCAACGTCGTCGTAGTATTTCCTTTGAAACCTGTCCTTGGTTTCCTCCTTTCAATTGTTGTTTTGTTGTTCTTCACATCACCTGGCACTTTCCCTCGTTCGCTGCTTCGTTGGGGTTCTGCGACTTTTCCACCTGCGCGATCAGGAGCTCGAAGGCCTTAGCGACGTTCTCGTTGTAACGCGCGCTGGCTTCAGTCCATCCGCAGTTGAACTTCTCTGCCAGCTTCTTGCCGTCTTCCTGGCTGACCTGGCGTTGCTCGGGGCGGAGATCGCTCTTGTTGCCTACTATGACAATTGGGACCCAATCTGTGCCCTGGATTTGCCAATTAGTTAGTTATTATGCTATTGAAATAAATTGAAGAGTTCTAGGAATTAATTGATGGGGATGACAAACAAGGTGGTTGAGAATCTTCTCGCGGATGACCTGCACCATCTCGAAAGATGGTAGCGAGGAGACCGAGTACACCAGCATGTAGCCGTGGATGCCGATGAAGTGCTTCGAGTTCAGGATGCTGTACTCATCTTGGCCGGCAGTATCGACAATCTCAGTAGCATAGTCCTGACCCTTAAAACGAATGACCTTGCTAAAGGTATTCTCGATGGTGGGATAGTAGCTCTCGACGAAGTGGCCGTCGACGAACTGCACCGCCAGAGAAGATTTGCCTGCAAGATGGGGTGACGAGGCGTTAGCTTAGCTCAGCTCTGTAGCCATGAGACATGTCATATTTTAAATTAATATGCATCATAGTGTATGCATGATCCATGAACAAAAAAAAGAACTCGCAACGGACAGGGCTAGGCAAGGGAGTTGGATGTAGATAAAGGTATCACGAAGAACACTAGAGCGTTAAAACACGTACCTACGGATCGGCTGCCAACAATGGCAACCTTCCGCTGCTTTGAGGGTGGCGGCATTGACGGAGAGTTGAATCGTAACCAAGGATTATCGTGTACTGCAAGTATTATTCACGTTAGGTACTTCACTTCACATAAGCATAACAGATAATAATGCTGCATCACACGTCGGGGCTTGTCGGGTGTGCGCGGCGTGGGGGGAAAGAGGGACGAGCGACGAGAGACTAGGAATAAGAAAGTGTAAATATCTCCGGTGCGGCTGCGCGGGAGGTATGTGTTAGGTATGTGGGTTGCGCGCTTTGTGTTTTTGTGTATTGTGATATTGTGATATTGTCCGCGGGTGCGCGGCTGTGTTGTGTTGTATTGTCTGATTGTGTAAGGTTTGATTTTTGGTTTATTGATTTGGGGATCTGATCTGAGTCGGCGCGGGATGAGCGCACCTTTTTTAATTCTTGTCAACGTTTAGTCTTCTTCTTAAACCTTCTTCGATCAGGCACGTATTTGTGTTTTATGACGTGCAGATGTTACCCAATATCACGTAGTTGAGATTAAGGACCATCGGGTTATGAGGTCAGAGTAAGAGAGATGTGAGGGAGGGGCTTTTCTCCTTGTTTGTTATGTACATGGAACGAACGAGCTGATCTATCAGGCGCTTCAGGGACTGGGGACAGAAGAGCTCATACCAAGAGCTCTAAAACTTATAGGGCGTAGGCGGGGTACGGGATATAACACTTGAAGTACCAGTTAACTATAACTTAAGTACATACGCCGCCGGGCAACCGTATCAAGTACTTCCGTATATATAGTATGTACAATACAATACTTCGGGTACATGCTACCTAACATATGTAATCTAGTGGAAGCCATAGCGGCAAAGCGGCTAACCAAGGTTAAGCTAGGAAACATGCAGAGCACGGCTAGCTATGGCACCTGTAATGTGTCGAGTTCCTATTAATAACTCGCTTTGACACATGTATTGTACATATGTGGGTAAGATACTAAGGTAGCATTCCTGCGGCTCAAGGCATTTAATAGCTGTTGTAATAGAATATGAATTGCAATGCTGCGTTAACACTAGATCCTAGAGTCGAGCCCTTCCTCCATTCAACCCGATCCTAGATACCTGTGTCCTGGGTATCCTGCTGCCTCTACTGTCCCGCATTGTCCCCCATGTTCATCCGTTATTGTCATGCCTTGTGGGTTGCTTCAAGGGTATTTGATCGTGTAGGTATTTTTGACTTCGTCCGAAAAACCTTCCGTTGGGGTAATGTCAATAAAACCATCGCAAAACGTCTACATCCCCTCTCTAAGACGCCTAAGGACCAAAAATAGTTTAAACTTTTTCTCCTGATAATACGCTTTTCAACTCTTCCCCTTTTGTATCCCATGCTAAAAATCAACTTTTCCTACAATGGTAAATAGTGCATATATGGCATGCTTTTGGAGGAAACCATCCAATGCATCCAACCTGCTTCGACAATATCTGCCAACTCCGGATTAATCATATATTGATTGTTCTTCCAGTTGGCGTACAAGATCCTGAAGTCGCTCCATGTAACTACTGTGGTCTCGTGAGCCATCGTCGTCTTCGCCTATGTTTTGCTCCACCTTCTTGGAGTGGGTAATGAATTCGCGCAAAGAATCAAGTAGAGGCGTAATGCTCTTGGTGGAGTGGTTCGACCGTATCTTCTGTCGCACCGGCGGATGCAGAGCTAGATAACCTAGCAATACGGACAAGTATCCAAAGGCAACATTCAAATGGCTAGTCTCCATTGAATCGGCCTACCCCGTTGTTAGCGTAGAAGAATAAAATTGGGTTACTCAGTACTCACCTCTGCTGTCCTCCGATAGTTCTCTAGGAACAGTCGTATCAATTCGTCGACTGGCCGTTGATTATCATGGTGGCAATCATCAATGACTTCCCTGACGAGGGAACTGTGCTCCGAGAAATTGATCAGAATTCCCAGCCGTAGGACTAGGCTATCTAAGATCCCATCGACCCAAGCATCCTGGGACAAAGAGGCCCAAATGCGGGCGAAGCTGCTGGTTATCGAGTTCGCCAAAGCAGGAATTAGGCCTTTTGATACAAATATTTCCGGTGCTTCTAGGCTATTATTCGTCAAGTTGATAGTGAGCTTCAGGATAGCACTCTCGAGCAGCTTGCTTTCACTCTCTTGGGCTGTAACATCTAGTATTACATTTCGCGAGGCAGCACTGAAGACGTCAGCTACAATGGGTAAGTATCGAGTAGTCCAGTCAGCGCTCGAACGCTGTGGTTCCTCAAGGCTGACAGCATAGTAGTCGAGAATTGATAGAGTGTTTGCAAGGTCGATCGCTTCCGCTGTTCCGGGATAGTCCCAATGCTCTGCGCTTTCAACCGCTTCTGAGAGTACTGTGAATAGGACCTCTGTTATAGCCGGAGAGAAGACCGCAGGGTCCTTAGCTGCATTGACATTCTGCGTGATAAGTAGGTGTAGACATTTAAGGGCAAGGCTTCTCGGTGAGATGCGTGGTGGGCTGGCCTCGCCCCAGATGGATAGCTCACATAGCGTAGTCTGAACGGCAATGAGAGAGGTTTGGCTCCTCTTGGATAAGTTGCTCTTCCTATCTCGCGCTATTACCTTGATATCCCTGGTATTACCAAGGAGAAGGGCGAACATGTTCGCAGGTTTACCAAGCCGGACGAGCTGCTGTGTATGCGAAGAAGGCCATTTTGCAAGTATTGTCACGAGTATTGATAAAATCAGGTACCCAGAGATAATATCTGTCTCTCTATCCATATCTTTCAGCAATGCTGCCTCAACACCGTGATCGCGGCATTGCCGCATAAATGTCTTATCTTTAATTTTCTCCGCTATCTGGAGCAGTGCAGCTCTTCGAGAGGATGAAGGTTTGTCACTTGGAGAACCAATCTGGTCGATCAAGTCTTGCATCGTATCAGCCACACGAGAGTTTGCCCCGGCCTGTCTTAATTCGTGGATGTCCCGCAGCTTTGAATTGGGCGAACCGTTAAGCGCATCGTCGTCATCATCGAGGATTCCCTTAGTGCTGACCGGTTTCTTTGGGGTTCCGAGTTCCAGGCGCCTCCCTTTCAAAGGAGCCGACATCTCGGGTAGAGCAAGGCTCTCTAGTAAATCAACCTCCTCCTCTAGCACTTTTCTACTTTGGCCGTATGTAAACTTAAGCGCACTACTAGAGCGGGTAAAAGTTCTAGTACTGGTTGCTTGCGCTGTCGCGGGTTTACGGCTTGGGGTTTGAGGCAAGGATTGAGAGTCTGCCATTGAGATGTCACTAATCTGGCGACTTAGAGTTGGTTGGCTTGAAATTTCTCGACTTTCTAAGCCCCCCTTAACAGTCTCGACCTCATCATCCTTCTTTTGTTCAACTAGTGTATCGATTATTCGCTTTCTGCGCTTCTTGGTGCCACTATCTGGAATTGGTTGAGGGCTCGATCGGACTTCATTGTCTGCTCTATCCAAAAGGAGACTTGACCCCTTCGGTTTTGCAATGCTTTCACGGGCAAAGCGGAGGGGTATTCGCTTCTGCATAATATCCTGCTTTGTCTTCCCCATTATAGTTGCATCCGAAGTCGATCCTGCTGAACCTCTAATGCCTGCAGTCTTAGACTGTCTCGAACCCTTTAGTAACGTTGGCGTAGGTGGTGGGCTTGATAGTCTTGGTTCGGCAGCATCAGTATCCATAGGTTCTAATGGAACTGGATGGGCGCGTTGTCGTGAAGTAGAGGGAGCTGTTTGACGGGTACCGGTAGAAGTAGAAGAACTAGAAGTAAACGGGTGCGGCCGACGTCGTACGTGATCAGGGGAGACATCGCGCTGGCCAGCCTGGTAAGATTCCTGTGCTCGCCCCTTAGACGCATACACTTGGGATATCTTACGTTTCCGATCAGAGGCTTGTATGTTTTCCTGTGAGCTATCTGATTTTGCCTTTATGTCAGCCGATCCGTCGATACCTCGAGATGCCGGCGAGGAAGGATCGCGTAGTGGGGAACTGAGTAGCGTGGGTCGGCGGCGAGTTACGGTGGCTTTGTGCTTTAAGACGGAATCATCCTCTGGTATAGGTGGGAAGTCGTTAGGAGTAATGAGTGCCTTTGGTTGTCTTTTACGAGCGGCTTTTCCATAGGTGGTGAGCCCTTTCTTTCGGGGAGCACTGAACTCCTGCTTCATAGACATGGTGGTACCTAGTTAAGCACCTTTGAAGCAGGTTGAAATGCCGATAGCATAAGATAATTGATCATTTATAGCGACGGCAGATTATTGAAAGTGGGAGATTTGAGATAGGAATAGTAGTAGAGTAGAGTTTATGTGAATAGCTGTGAGACGCGCTTGTGGTAGCCTTGCAGCGGACTACCGTGAGCATGAAGTGGTGAGTGACGAATTATTAATTGAGGGTGGGACGATAAATAGGAAGGATTGCGAAGCTGATTTGATGTTGTTAGGCTAAAGTGGATGATCGGACAAGGAAGCGCAACTAAAAAACATGCGGAGGTCGCAAGAAGGCAATACCGTATGTAAATTCACCGGGATTCACGCCCTAGAACCTACCTAAGATATCCCCCAATGCATTGAACCTAATACCTTCTTGGCAGGTACAAATGAATAGGTAGATAGATATTTGTTGCGTCCGTCTTGCCTTGTTAGTTAAAGACGCAAGCATCCATCTATTAGCTTCATTGAACCACAATATAACTTAAAGTAAAGCATCAGCTCTTTGTTGACTGGTTTGGCAGGTAATTGGTAGAGCAGGTAGAGGTTAGTAGCCAACCAGTTTTCTAAGCTGCTGAGCTGAAGCCTGAAACAAGGAAGGCCCTACAATACCTAAGCAGATAAGCCAGATAAAGTTAGATAAAAGGTGGTAAAGAACTGCAGGAGGGGTCCACTACTTGCGTCTGGTCACTTAATGCCAAGCCCACTCCAGATTTTTTTCCTATTAGGGCTTATCATTCATTTTTCTACAAGTCAGCTCCATGAGCCTCGACTTATGCTTAAAGCTATCGCTTTATGAGATACCTACCTACTCATTTAGAGCATCTTGGATTATATTGGGATTTGGCCTTCCTAATCTTTTTCTCACGTTATACTATTTGCTAAATAAATCCCAGGGTTATCCCTTTACTTTCGTTTTAATCACTTGACTTATAAAGTCTTGGAGTATTTCTCTATTCTTGCCCTCTCCCTCGACGCAGAACATCTACATACGCTTACTGTAGATAACTAAAGAACTACTGACAACCCCTTTGACCGCTTAGGTTGTGTGACACTGGTTTATTCTTCGAGGAGGATCACATCCCTGAGTGTTTCTAGAATCCTGTATCTTCCAGACATCGTACAAGTGTTGCGGGGCTTTATACCATTTTAAACGACTTTTTAAACGACTTATCTTGAAGATATAGAATGGCTACTGAATCTGGAAATCGTCCTCCAATCGGCCCCGTGCAGTGTGAGGTAGGGCCTCACTACCGCTCGCCTAGTCAAAAACCTATCGCCACTGTCTCGACGGCGGTCGAACACGACAATGTTATTACACTACCCCAAACGCCACAGCTCATCGCATTGCTCACGTGAGTAGCTTCCTTGTTGGTCGACTCCGGGGTTTTGCGATATATTTAGTACTCGAATTATCCAGGGACTAATTCCGGGATAGGAAGATCCGTGACAGGAAGACGGAACGAGCTGACTTCATTTTCTACTCGAACCGAATTATTCGTCTTCTTGTCGAGGAAGGGCTCAATCATTTACCCGTCGTTGAACACACTGTAACTACCCCAGTTGGTCGCACCTACGACGGACTCATGTTTCAAGGGAAAATATGCGGTGTCTCTATTATGAGGGCTGGCGAAGCTATGGAACAAGGTCTTCGAGACTGCTGCCGATCGGTTAGGATTGGCAAAATCTTAATCCAGCGAGATGAAGAGACAGCAAAGCCGAAGCTATTTTACGATAAATTGCCTGAGGATATTGCTGAAAGATGGGTTCTATTACTTGATCCGATGTTTGCAACAGGTCAGACTGCTAGCTACCTATTACCGTATCTACTCACTTTCCAGAGGACTAACCTAGGTCTAATACCTTAGGTGGATCTGCTATCATGGCTGTCGAAGTCCTCAAATCACGTGGCGTTCCAGAAGAGAGGATTCTTTTCCTGAACTTGATCGCCAGCCCGGAGGGGGTCCAAAATTTCGCAACCAAGTTCCCCAAGCTCCGGGTCGTTACAGCATTCATCGACCAGGTAAGAAATGTTGTCTACTCTCAAATTAACCCTATTGCAGATACTAATTCGGATAACTTGTAGGGTCTTGACGAGAAGAAGTATGCCGACAACGCTTTGCTATGGAAGCCTTCACTAACATTCTCTTAGTTACATCATTCCAGGCTTGGGTGACTTCGGGGATCGGTTCTACACCATGTAATGCGGATTACTCGTAGTTACGGACTTCAGAAGACAAGAGTAAGTAGAATTCAGCACCTCTTTGTAGCATACATCATTACTTGGGGTCCCGATGACTCTGCCCGTTCTGTAAAGAGTAAGGGCAACAACTTCCATAGTAGACGGTGCGGCCTGCGGAGGACCAACGTATAGTCAGACGGGCCGTAGATATCAGATAACATGAAGCCTTAACGGTAATAACTGCATGCCATACGATGTAGGCGTTGCCACTACCAATTTGATTCCATCGCGTTGATCCGGCAAAGTAAAGCTTAATTCATCAAGAGTATCATCACTGCTTAATACTCGTCATCATCTCCCACAACACCCTCTCCCTCGTATCCGCGGTCGTCTTCGTCGTCGTCATAGCGACCAGCCGCCGACTGTTTTGAGCCTAACCGGTAACCCGGGGCTGAGCCAGAGGCGCCTCCAGCAGTATCGTCTTTTGCGACAGCATCTAGAACCGCGTAAGTAACGTTATAGACAATACATCAGTTAAAAATTCACATACCTGCTGCATCAATCCATTCGCTATAGACGTCGACAGGCGCAGAAAGATCTAGTCCGCCATTAGCAACTATCTGTGGTAGCCGATGCGGTTCCGCTTACAGTTAATTCCGCATTGGAATCTCTGGCCGCATACTTTGCATTCTAGTTCACCGACGCCAGATTTCTTATTCATTTCGACGGTGACCGATCGCTCGTGGTTACAGAACAAGCACGTGAAGACGGTAGGTAGGGGATCGTTCTTCTTCTTGCCCTGAGGCTTTCTCGAACTCTTCTTGCGCTTTCCCTATAATAGCCATCTATATTAGCGACTACTCAATATTGCAGCTTGATGGAAAAGGTTATTTACCATGACGAATCGAAATGCGACACGGCTTCAAGTGTCGCGATACCGTTTGGAATACGGTCGGTGGTCGATTTGGTAAGAAGGTGGATCGGTTGCGAGTTTGTATGGAGAAGGCTGAACTGAGGAAAGGTGCTATTGATTGATCGCGGTCGACTACTTGGGTTTTATAAGGAATGACGTACGTCACTTTGGCGCGTAAAGAGAACAGTGCGCGTGCTAATACTACAAGGTTCCAATCATTAACAACTCTAAATAAGCAGAAGTATAATTCACAGACATCAAAACTTTTACTTTAATTAAGCAAAGTTTTTCGCCTTCAGAACAGTAAAAACTGTCATGAAAGGACCGAATACTTTTGTATTTCAAGGCTTTTACGTGGCGCTTAAACGCTTCACCTAGCACAAGATTGTTAAAGTCGCCGTGCTCTCTTGGATAAGGCTTTCTTATCGCTTATCAATGAAGCTAGCGAATAAGCTAGTGTACTAGTGGATACTTAATAAGGCGGGGTTTCTTTACCGCATTTATACAACTTGATATAATCATAAATTTCACATCTCTTAGATAAGGCAACATTGCTAATACCAATACTACCTAATAGCGGGAGAATACGGTTACTGATAACCATTGGTTTTAGCCCAAAAGGGGTATATGGTAAGTCTGTATAACTTCCGTAATTTCAGGCCTTTAACGTTGCCTGGTGCGCAACGGAAAGTTAAAGTTCAACGGTAATGGAAAGTACGATCTAAAAAAAATAAAATTCTAATATAAAAACATTAATTTCTTAGTGTTTTTAGTACTAATGAACCTTCTTGGCTTAATGAAACATTACAGCTTCCGTTTTAGGGAAAGATAGGGCCCTATTTTTTATTTTGTTATTTTTCTTCATTTTTAACCATTGCGCTTTCCATTACTGTTAAACTTCAACTTTCCGTTGCGCACTAGGCAATGCTAAAAGGCTTTTAGCTAGGTATCCTAGGCAACGGTAATTAGCCTTAAACTACGATAGTTATACAGACTTAACATTAGAAATACGCCAATCGTTCTCTGTAATCGCCTAATCCCGCTACGGTCGATAAGGCAACATTTCTAATACCAATAGGCACGAAGGGGGACTGGACGTTCACAGCAGACGCAGGTACGAACTAGTGGGGATTATGACTAGTTTAGTGGGTTAGCACTATGTATTAAACAGTCAGGTGCCTACCTTTTCCTTGGGCACCTTATCAGGTAGGAGAGCTCTGTACTTCGTACACTTACATGTATGTATACTTGGCTGCTTGGTCTCATCCCAGCTCATCCGGCCAAAGTTAAGTCTAATAAACGGTGTTTCTCTTGCAGGTTAAAGTACTGTATACTTTCGTATAATGTTAGGCGCGGTCTTGTCCTTTCCATACCGCCCCATGTATCCTCCTACATACCTTCCAGTAACTTCGTGTATCCTTAAGCTTCCAACAACTTGCTATCTCCATTACGCTCGCCTAGTTACTAGACAACCAACTCGTTCAAAACAATATTAAACTAAAACGTAGGGTTATCAGCAAGGAATTCTTTTAATCTGTCCTCTTCGTCTATTTGCTTCATTCACCTATAACTCCATCCCCCATTCCTCAGACTTATAGATTACTTCTTGTCAACCTGTGACAATGGCAGACTCGGGCACAAACAGTTCTGTGGGCATGGCCGAAGTCCTTGAGGCCCTGAAGAGTATTCAAGAAAACCAGACCAAATTAGCATCAGAAGTAGAGTCCGTCTCTCTTCGACTTGATACTCTTGCTCCGTCCGGTCAGGTGCCGAGTCTCGCTATCAATAGGGTATCAGCTCCCCTCGCAGGTGTGGTCCCGACATCACCGGTCCGGACAGCTCCAACTGCTGGCGAGGCGGATTCCGGCAATACATCACCTATAACGAAAGAAGCAGCACAAAAATCCGGATTCACATCTCGAATTATACTTACGTAAGTTCTATGTCTCGTAAGATTCCTAATAGCTCTGTTAACCGTTGGGTAGTACATATCCCAAGCAGATTGGTATTAATCCACTTCCTCTTCAATGGGGGGCTCCAGATGCGGCTAGCCGAGGCCCGGTTGTTGTCTCCCGGTCATCATCCACAATTCGAAAGCGCAATGGTAAGTTCATCGCTTATTGTATGCCTTTTTTTTAGCTACTAACGACCTTTTAGCTATCGGAGGTAAGCCCTGGTCTACCATTGAGCTGTTTAGAGCCTCACATAACTTGATGAAATAGCACATGGAGGTTCCTATTCCATCTACTATGCTCTTGCACTAGCTAGCAAGCAGCTTAATGCCAACCATAAGTAAGGTTACGCCAGCGTTGTTGAACAAGTTGTTAGCGCCTAATTTATGATTCTCAATATAGGCCAGATTTCACCAACACCGAGCCAGCAGCCAACATTGGCCCGTTTCCTCAATGGGGCGATAAGAAAAAGATCGTCGCTATGGATCCTTGGGGTCACTTGGCCCCGTGGCTTTTCGCCGACGTTATAGAAAAGGAGGACGGTAACTAACGGCCCTAACTAAGAGTGAACGATATATACGTCGGGAAAGCTAATGAGTGATCGCAGTTGATATTCGCCCCACAATCGCCATAACCAAAGCTCATATGAAGGTGAACAATTTTACCCCTGTAGTTCCATGAATTTTACTAATTTGAACTAGCTTCCGGAGCTGGAGGAGAGCGTTCGAAAAGGTAGACTGTATGATGTCCTCTGATATTACCTGGCCACAAACCAATAAAACTAATCTACCGTCAGTGTTCCCGATGGGAAAGTTTGCCTGAATGCGCAGGGGGAGCTGGCAGTGACCAAGTTTGCAGTTGAGCCAGTAAGAATATTAACTCCCAAGTCACCAAAAAGAGCCATACTTACTATAGTAGGTTTGGTACCTCCCCGGAGTAGCTGAGAGATTCGGCATAGGTGCGTTTTAAGGATCAACCTCCGTGGCGGAACCTATGGCTAAACCCGACAGATGAGGGCGTTCTAAGACGCTCACTCTTCGAACACACTGGGGGTAGCTATCCAGAAGTAAGCGTCCACTACACCATTGGTAATCGGCGTAAGTCTAATTACTATATGTATAGCTTATCACGCGAGGCGATATTAAGGTCTTCTTACCTCCAATCGGTAACTCGGGTCCTACCTCAAGGGAACATCAAATGACGATACTAACGCTTTATAGGCGGGCTGACTGTATATTGCTTCGGGGACCCGGCGAAGATGTCTGACGAAAAGTGCAGACTAGCCTTGCGTATTCACGATGAGGTAATTCATGCACTGTGGCTGTTGGCTAAGAGGTTACTGGCTTACAGAGAATGCAGTGCAACGGTAGTGATGTGTTTGGCTCCGATATCTGCACTTGCAGACCCTATCTTATCTTCGGCATCGAAGAGGCCGTCAAGGAGGCACAGAATGGCGGCAGTGGCGTTGTCATCTACTTCAGAAAAGAAGGACGAGCTTTGGGTGAAGTAACTAAGGTATTGTACCCCCGAGTTGTAGCTGTTCAAATACTGACATTTAGTAGTACCGTGAGTCTAGATGTCCCTTTACCACTGAGCTGAAGTTTAACCACATCCAATAGTTGTATACAACGCCAGAAAACGGGGCGAAGATCGTGCTTCGGACTATTTCAAAAGAACCGAAAATGTTGCCGGAGTTAAGGACATGCGTTTCCAGGCTCTAATGCCTGATATACTCCATTGGCTCGGCATAAAGAAGATCGATAGAATGCTGAGCATGAGCAAGTGAGTTACCCGACTATAAATGATAGAGGGGTCAGATCTAACGCTAGGACGCCACAATGTAGTATGAAGTACGATGCCATCGTTGGCCAGGGGTAAGTCAATTCCCCATACGGTAAATCGAGGTAAGGCGTGTCTAACCAAGTATAGTATCCCTATCCATGAGCGGGTAGAGCTTCCCGAGGACTTAATCCCCGCAGATTCACGGGTTGAGATAGATGCCAAGATTACAGCCGGTAAACTTGCACCCCTGGTGATCTACCGAATCCGGGCAGATAGCTGACGGCTCGCAGGATATTTCACTACCGGAAACAGAATGACTGCCGAAGAATTGAAAGCCGTTCAGGGACGGATGTGGGAAGAGTGAGTAACACCCAAACAACTGGCCCTTCCAATTTCGTATTAGTATTAACAATGACAGCATCGATCACTAAATGCTCCAACTGAGCTGGCTTACTTTTACGACCGGTGTAGGAGTCAATTGAAACTACGTAGTTGTAGGTAGTTCCTAAATGGAAACCTGATATGACCCAGAACCCCCGCTTCTACTATTGCCACGCGTGAGACTAATGTATGAGCTCCAAGAGAGGTGTGTTGTTTGTACCCTCTGGTCCTTGTGACTGCAGTGGCATCTATATAGTATCTTACAGTGTGTGACAGCGATCCAATTGTAGCATGTCCAAGCGGCAAGAATTCAGTAGAGCTACGTCGTAGCACGTCAGATTTACCAGATTGTCCGTTGTGCGGTATAAAAGTGTATCTTGCAGCTTCAATTAAGGGTCCGTCTACATCAGCCTTACATAGAAGGCATGATGAGATGCATAGGTAGGAAAAGTGGGAGTGGGAGAGTGGGAGAGTGGTCCGCGAAGCTCCAAGCGGATTGATGGGTTGATTATCTTGCATGGATTATACACAAAGACACAAGGAAGAGGGGGGGGAGGATAAAGGTACGGGGGAATATCACGGAATTCGCGTTACGCTCGCGCTGACCTCCTTTCTACGTATCATGATAGTGAAGCTGACAGGTCGCCGGCTCTAGCCCTTTTAATAGTTCTATATAATAGCTCTAATAGCTCTAATAGCAGCCACTTGAAACTTGTCGTGTCTAGTAAAAACGGGGTAAAACAACTCGGGTTGCCTAGATTGCTTAGGCATTAGGTATTAGGGCAGTATTAAGACAGTATTAAAGAGGGCAAAAATGGACACTAGTATTATGGAAAATGCAAGGATGGGTTGCAGAAGTTAAGAGATACTAAACCGGATCAGCTTCATGAGTGGTTCAGTTGCTAACAAGTCTCCCCACTCCACCTCTCCTACTGGTGCAGGACTGCCCAACACGGGCTGCAGGCCGTCTACGCCCAAACCACCCAGGCCAACGGAGACCATACAGCTACCACCACATACGAAATGTCCCCATTCGTGAGTGACATGTGGCATTGCCCGCAACCGACTGTCTGGGGATGTCGTTCCACAACAGCCGGTAGAGCTATTGGTATTAGCGGCCCTTTTTGCCTTACTGCGTGATGTCTTAAACGTTTGAAATATCCATTCATAGATGGGGAGCTTTGCTCCTCAAGCCTGCATCGTTTTTTACCAAACTTGCCACTCACATTACAAGCTTAACTTTTAAGAGACCATAAACCAAGCTTAACCAAGCTCCGTATTCGACGACTCCATCTCATAATCACATAATCACATAATCTGTTTACTTGCTATCTTGACCTTGGTTCCGGAATGGCTACTACCAGATACCTGCCTGACATCGTCCCTCGACGGGAATCGTCACCAAGGCCGAAGAGTACCGAAAGACGACGGCCCCGCTTACTCAGGGCTTGTGCCACAGAACCTTCTATCACTACCTCCAACGCTTGTAAGGGACTGTTGACGAGCCCGAACACAAGCCGGAGAGCAACGGATCTACTTAGCCGCGTCGCAATATCCAATGCCAACTCGTCGCCATCATCAACAACACGGAGCTTCGGCCTAGACTCATCTGAGATGCGCGAGGCTCGTCTATCATCAGACTCTACCCGCGATCCACGTGCGTACCTCCCATATACCGACCCTGGTCTAGCCGATCAGGGCGATCTTTTCCTAATATCTGTGCTGACCTGACGATTAGACTCGGTATGCTACTTCAGCTTCCCCAGCTTCGACGCCTGGGAAGTTGGCGAACATCCAGACGAGGAGAAAGTGGACAGGACGGTCTAATTCCTAATCCCTAATTCGCGGCCGCGCCCCCGAAGCGCTCTCGTGTTGGGGGGCGGGACCCGCGGGGGTTCCCCGAATTTTTTTCATCTCACCCAATACAATACGAACTCGTCTTACCTACTTTTTCTTTTTTCTTTGTTTCCCCACAACGCGATTAACGGGAGCGGACAATAAGCATGACAACGGGTCAACAGGCGCTGGAGCATTGCTATTTGTTGCTTGCTTGTTTTTATTTATTTAATGTTTGGTTTTCCTCGCAAGGCAGCAAGGGTAACCACTAGGATATATGTATCATCAGGCCTGACGGAGGTAGTTGGTGGTGGTGGTTTTGGGACAGGCGCTCGGTGAAAACATTGGAATTGATACAGGGCACACACACACAGACAGACACAGACACACACAGAGAGAGAAACAATGGATTGCGAGATCTACTGGGTTGTGAGGAGTAAAATGGGATACCCCCGTTCGAAACAGCGACAGGACAGGACAGGACAGGATAGGACAGGATAGGATAGGATGGGATAGGACAAGAGAGATAAAAGTTAGATTTGCCTGTTGGGCTGGGTTCTAACTCGCCTTGTTATATCTTAATATCTACAATACCTATACGAATAAATAAAACTTCTAAAATTTGAATAAAGTCTTAGAATTCGCACGATTCAGGTGATGTTGCGGACGTAGCGTAGCGGAGGTGGTTGGAGACGCTGTGGCTAATAGATGCTCAGTTATGGTACACTCAAGAAAGTAAAATTTAGTAATGTTTGAAGATAGTATAGAGTATCAGTTCGAATTTTATTAGTTGAGTAGAACAAATTCTGGAGTATTGACCGTGTTGTGCTTTTAAAACTTAGGTAAAGGTCTCTTAAACTGCTGCTTGTAATCCGTACATAGAGAATACCTCGCTCATGTAAAATTGACCTGATTCTTAAATATGCCCTGGTAAATGCCTAGATTCCCACTAATATGCGCTTAAAGTATACGTATAAAATTAAAGGTGCATAGCTCGAGGGGAGCAGACCCTAATAACGGTACGTACCCTTTCGCTAGTAGAGGCTTGAAAAACATTTGCTTATCAAAGATGAAATAAAACCACGTGACCGTGCCACACTCCCTCAATTTTCGCGCACAAACAAGAAATTTTGGCTGCACTAGAATTCACTGCCAGATCCATCCACCACGCAACACCAAAAAGTCCTTTTCAACACATCTTCAACATCGTCCTGAATTGCGAGCCAAATTGACCTCTCGCAAACATGGCGGTTGGAAAGTGAGTACATCATATTTCTATTAAATATCTCAATCTCTACGATCCCGCGCCTCTCCATTCCGACGCCCTGCAACTCCCCGTTCCCGAGACGAGGAAATCCAGTGCTAATCATTCGCTCGCTATAGGAACAAGAGATTGTCCAAGGGCAAGAAGGGCCTGAAGAAGAAGGCTCAGGACCCTTTCGCACGAAAGGATTGGTACTCCATCAAGGTAAGCGACTACTATTCAATGACGGATTTCATAAGGCATTCTTAAACTGACTGCGATTTCTTCCTAGGCCCCTGCTCCCTTCAACATCCGAGAGTACGAAATTTCCATCCCAATGCGCCCAAACTGGTCGATATCTAACCGCGATGTATAGTGTTGGTAAGACCCTTGTGAACCGAACCACCGGTCTCAAGAACGCGAACGATGCCCTCAAGGGCCGAATCTTCGAGGTTTCCCTAGCCGATCTTCAGAAGGATGAGGATCACGCATTCCGAAAGGTCAAGCTACGCGTCGACGAGGTTCAGGGCAAGAACTGCCTGACCAACTTCCACGGTCTTGACTTCACCTCCGACAAGCTACGATCCCTCGTACGAAAATGGCAAACTCTGATCGAGGCCAACGTCACGGTCAAGACTACCGATGACTACCTCCTCCGTCTCTTCGCCATCGCCTTCACCAAGCGACGGCCCAACCAGATTAAGAAGACCACCTACGCCGCTTCATCTCAGATCCGTGCCATCCGAAAGAAGATGGTCGAGATCATCCAGCGAGAGGCTGCCACCTGCACTCTGCAACAACTGACCTCCAAGTTAATCCCCGAGGTCATCGGCCGTGAAATCGAGAAGGCCACGCAAGGAATCTACCCCCTACAGAACGTACGTACTTGGTTCTACCTGAGCCCTAAGGCTTTGTAGTTTGGAATGTGCGACAGTATATACTAACGTAGTCTGCCATCTAGGTCCACATCCGCAAGGTCAAGCTCCTTAAGTCGCCCAAGTTCGACCTTGGTGCCCTGATGAACCTGCACGGAGAGTCCACGACGAACGAGGAGGGTCAGAAGGTTGAGCGGGAGTTCAAGGAACGGGTCCTTGAGGAGGTCTAATTATGATGAACTCTGAACTCTGGTCATGGAACGGCGTGGGTTTTTGTGCAATGGCAATAGGTCTCACTTCTGATTGCATTCGGCGCGGCAGGACAGCCGCGGTTACAGCAGGCCCCTCAGGACAGATAAAATGAGAAAGGTTAGCTGACGACTGGACGGTTCCATACGTGATGCCGTTTTACGTGAATATGAGCATTTGGCTTCCTATGTTCTGGTAGAGACAGTCTACCTATCCAGTGTCCCAATGGCCTAAGAGGTCATTAGTTAACGGTGCACATGTGCGATACCAATACCATCACGAGAATTTGCATGCAACAATCTCCTTGCGTCATAGGATTGTATATCCATAATTGTTTCGTGAGGTTTCCGATAGGTCACAGCTTTATTACACAACCCCCTACATATGGGTTGAAAACATGATATTCCATATACATGGCATGTCTCACAGGCAAGTCAAGCCGCTCAATGTAACGATCTATCCCTAATCTGTGTCATTAAATATCGTAATCTATCCTAAGCAGTAGTGCCTGGGTACCAATATCGTTTGACGAGGTCCAAGGAGAAGTTTAAAGAGCTAAAGCCGCGAATATAGCAACTCTAACTAATTCGATTCTGACTTCTGGTCTGACACTGGTATCGAGATTAAAGATAGGATCAATAGCTGAGGTGATAATGTTCGACGCTGACGCAACGGTCATTGTATTCATATACAAGGGTGTTTAAGTCTAGCAGAGTTATAGCTTGATGATGCCCATATCAGACTCAAAGCCATTTTTGAAGGTATCGTGATAAGGGGTTTCTAGATCACGTTTGTCTAAACAGGATTAGCATATTACTATTAACGTATACAAAAGCAAATTATCTGATAAAGTTATCTTACTATTGAATTTACTTCAAGAAAACTCAGAAAGTTATGATTAGCTTTTTTATTTATTTACTTTTTCAATTTAGTTAGTTGGGTTGTTCGTTGTAAGTGGTGATTTCAATACGAAAATGAGATATTGAAGAAGACGCACCCCCTTATCCAAGTCGCCGTACCATCATATTTACTTCGAACAAAACATATTATCAACAGGCTATAACCTAGGTAGGCATTCGATACACACACCCGATTATTCGTCAGGCTTTACATTCGTTGAATTACAGCCGTTGGAAGATAAGGGTATTCCTCGGTAGGTTCAATGGCATGTGCCCCTTTTTGATGCTGTTCGGGACGACTTTGAACTAAGGCCCAACGGCAAGTATTGGTCAATCCGCCGGACTTGCTCAAAGATACATCTTGGTAGAAGTGCGTCCAGAGAAAGTAGCTCGATATAACGGCGCCGGTATTTTTGTCAAGAAAGCGATAGCCTAACTTCTTTTCTGCTAGAAATTCCTCGAGGCTTCTATCCACGACCCTTTCGTACTCAATTGATTCGTCATTAATTCCCTTAGCAATCCTGCCCATCTGGTGGTCCACTTTCTGGACCAAGTTCCCAGAGTCGTCACCATACAGGAACCGTGTTAGGAAAGCGACAAGCTGCTTGGTTGCCTCGTTGCTTGACCACTGATGATGTGTCATATGGATTATTGAATCGCCGTGGGTGCTTATCAGTGCTATGCGAGACGAAGTGTCCTCCGAAGCGTTCCCAGGAGATTGATAAACGATCTCATCTGTAGAGAGTGGCGATCCCTTCTTACGGGCGCGCTCAGAGTACGCGCTGACCAGGAACGCTAGATCCAAATCCAAAACCACACACGGGCTATAACCTGCTCCCCAACCAACTTTTCCCACCCCTAATTCGTATCTAGAGATATTAACAAGAAGCGGTATGCGCTCTTGCAGGTCTGCTCCGGCTTCTATGAACCTCTGAAGATGCCTATACCTAGTATTGATTCCTTGCGTGTCTTTTTCTCGCAGAAAGATTTCGACGATATACATGGCCATAGGGCTATAAAATTCCAATTTTGAGGGCCAAAGGTATTCCACTTGTGGATAAATAAAACCCTTGGCACTTGGGTCTGCATTCAGAGCGAGCAGAGGTTCCCAAAAACAACCGAGTTCATCAAAGCTGCTGTTGATTGGAGATTTACATATGTATCGTAAAACGTCCGTGGCCAATGATGACGGGTTTGGACTATTAGCTATACCTGATAGGACGAATTTTTTTTAAATGAGGTATGAGCTACAATTACTAAAAAGGGAGGTCTGTACATAGCTCTGTTGTAATAGCCATTGCTAGCAACGCAGATTTTGATATTTGGAAATGTCCCAAGGGCCTCTATGAGTTCCATAAGAGAAGAGCGATCTTCGAGGCATATTTCATCAAGACCGTCGAGGAATATGCAAATTGAATATGGATAGTTACGTAAGAATGCGAAGCAGACATCTTTGAGCTCTTTAAATGACAAATCAGTGACCGATTCCTTGGTCGATAACGGCTTGTACGTGGTTAGTATCAGGTCTAAAGGAATGGTTTCGGACTGAACGGTTTGGTGAAGGATGGAACATGAACACCCCTTGATATTCCTCTGTAATTTTTCGGGTCCGGCTTTCCAGAAGAAGTGAGATAATATCACAGGATCCTTGGCCCAGATGGCTAATGCTTCCTTCGTGAGGCGGTTCTCTATGAGGTACTTTACCAATGTAGTTTTCCCGGATCGAAGCTTGCCGCTGATCCAGTAAATGGTATTGTCAGACTTGAGCCAGTCCTCAAAATCATACCACGATCTGTCTTCAAGGGCATTAGACTCATCCTCCGAAATCTCTTTAGAGAATCCCTCCGAAGTATTATTATCATATTTAGCCGGATAATTTTCTTCTGTGGTATGATGTGTACGGAAGATCCACCGGAGGGTTCCTTCGTGCGAATCGACTGAATCATTCTTCCTCTCATTCATGCTCGGGAATCGGAGACTGTTTAGGAGTCGGGCTCGCTGCTCCTCAATAGCGGCCTGCATATCCGACTCGATTGGTCCTTGAGTAATTTCACTTTTCTCTCGGCGCTTTAAGGTGTTTGGTCCTTCCTTCAGGAGAAACTGTATGGCGTCTCTGACCTGTATGAAATCAGGGCAGTTGTTTCCCTCGAATTTATTCATCATTACATGAGTTCTTCCAAGACCAAGGGGACAAGAGCCATGGAGACAGGCTGAAGACTGGGTAACGAGCTGCAGATATTAGATTATGTTCCTTGGTGCGGTGGCTTGTAATCTTACTATAGAACCGCGTAACCACCTATCTGGAATCCGCCTTCGAAAAATCCTTTTCGCAATCTTCGTTTTCCCTGTCTCATAGAAGCAGCGAACAGGAAATCGAGTGGAATCATTGTTGGCGATATCAGTGAGCGCTAAGACCCGCTCGTAAATAAAACCATGACGCTCTTCCAGATCCTTGATTAATTGACGTGAGCATTGTCGAACACTTTGGCGTTCTAGTCGTATGTATAAATCCTGGCGTCTGGAGCGGCAGCCGGTAGCATGGCTTCATCCTTGAGCCAATTCACAGACCGGCTCCCATTTTCGTAAGTCCATGTTCGCGGCGACTCAGTATCTAAACCGTGAATTGCGATGATGCTAACAGGTCATTTACGATTAGCGGGAGTGGGAATGGGATGTATGTTTGATACGTTGATGTAAGGTAGAACATACTCGACGGTAGTGTTATCACTGTCGCTAGTAGGAAATACCTTTCTGAGACCAAGAGTCTTGGTCCAAGACGTTGACCTGTTTCTGTAGCGTATAGCAATAATTGTTAGGTACCTACATAGTACATTACTAGCTCTAGTGGGTAAACCTTATGTACCTACCTCCTACATGTATGTAAAACATACCGCCAGGTCCCATCATGGGAGGTCCCACCGGTAAGCTCAGAATACATGTGACTAGTGACAAAGCGGGTTTGAAGAAGACTACGGATCCGTACGATGTGGCTGCAGCCTTGTGACAAGGGGATTTGGGCTCTCATTTGAGTTTGTATTGTACATATGTACATAGGTACTTCGTAGACCCCAATAATTTTGGGTGAGCTTAAAAGCCGCCACTTAAAACAGCATACACCTTATCGCTCGCATGACCAAATCAAGCGCGGTGTGGTGCGGTACGTCGGTACCACCAGCGCATTGGAACTTACACGTACATAGGTAATGGACGTATGTATGTACCTTAGCCAAGGAGCGGTAACTTTGGAACCTTTTATCATCATTGTCATGTAAACCTACAATTTACAAATTCCATACCTAAGAAGCTTCATCTCATCCGAGACTACCGAAATTAGGTACTTTTGCTCGTCGCTTGCTTACTTGCGCATTCATATTCCGCCTAGCTTCTTAATCTCGCTCCAAAGACAAAAGATCGGCCGACTACTTGAAGATAACTACCTAGAGATAATGTCGGAGGATTCGCTACCGGTGCTCAAGGTCCTGATCATCGGGCCTTCCGGCGCCGGCAAGTCTGCACGTATGTATGCATACAACACAACTAATTACCTAATCCAAATACCTCCCTGCCCGAATGCCCGGGTCCGCATGTAATTACCCGTGGGCGGATACCTACAAACATGACAGTTTCTAGAACATGAGGCTAACGAGATGAATTGCCGTTGCGGAATGAGTAGTGCTGCTAAGATGTACGAGTTATCCACCCCAACCTGGTCATATCGCTTCGGGCGGCTCTGTGGAACCATTTGAGTCGATGGTGTTGGCTTTGTGATTCTAAGACTTTTATAGATTGCGATGATCTGTTTGATCCGGAGTCGACGACGGCGACTATTGGTATCGATTTCAAGGTGAGGCTGTAGATGCCAAGCTAGATATCTATTTACATGGCCACGAGCTTCGGCTGATACTAATTACATGTGCGTTAGATGAAGAAGCTCGCCGTCCGAGGCAAAGCATATAGACTTAACATATTCGATACTGTAAGCTCTCAATACGCATCCCGTCTTCCTTCACTTTGACTATAAACATTCCATTATGCAGCATATCTAACAATACCCAAAGGCCGGTCAAGAAAGATTCCGCACTTTGTCAACTAGTTACTACCGTGGTGCCCATGGCGTCATCATAGTCTACGACATCACGAGCAGGAAGAGCTTCCTCAGCATGGACAAGTGGATCGACGAGGCGAGATCTAATGCATCACCCGATGCCGTGCTTTACTTGGTACCACTGCCCTCGCGTGCAAATCTTATGGTATATGTATGTGGCATTGCGACTAATTATAGTACCAGGTCGGAAGTAAACTAGACAAAGTGACGACAGGCGGCCGTGCCGTCTCCTTCGAGGAGGGCAAGGCATTCGCGGAATCGCAGGGCGCCGGGTTCTGCGAGGTCAGTTCCAAGACGCGGGAGAACGTCCGGCAGCCGTTCGTAGAGGTCGTCGATCGCATCGTCCAGCGACCCGATCTGCTCGCCGCCGCCACACCCGCGTCTAGCAACGCAGGCCTGAACCTCGGTGGTCTCGGGTCAAATTACTCTTCGGCTTGCCCCTGCTAGGTAATGAAATCCAGAAATTGTCTATTTTCACGCACGCCCATGAACGCCTAGGCTGGATGCTGCGGCTATGTACATAGTTCTCTCCCTCTTTCTCTCTTTATGATATCCCCCTGATGCAATGATACACGTTATACAAGCAGATATAATATATGCAAAGCTCGTTCTCATCCTCATTCGCTTGCTCACTCGTTCATTCCTTCGGCGAGAGAAACTCTATGACCGCTGCATGTGGAATTCTTATCAGCATATAGCTCGGAAAACGGAACGGGTCCTATTCTCGACTCACCTCGAAGAAACTCCTCCGGCTTCTCGGAAATGACCCAGTGACCGGCGTCGATATCAACCATCGTAAACCGCGGGAAAAACTGACCGATAAGCGGGACAACCTCATCAGGCACATACGTACTACGCGAGCCACGCACAAACAGCGCCGGCTTCTCAAAGCGCCTCTCGCTCGGGTCTTTAAATGGGAAATCCCCCAGATGTCCCAGCGAGCGGGCCAGAACATCAAGCGGCACGCGGAACTTTAGCGTCGGAGACGCAGTACCGTCTTCCGCAGGCGGGCGGGACAGGTTCCCCAGCAGAAACTGTCGGATCGCCAGGTCGGGCTCATATTCCTGTAAGATCTTGTCCGCTTCGGCTTGTCGCGTTACGCCGGCTTCTTCGATCCGCCGCATCCCCTGGATGTAGCGCGCGAAGGAGGTAGCGAGGATGGCATCAACCGGTGCGTTGTCTACCGAGACGATATCTCGGATTAGGGAGGGCTCTTTGAGACTTAGTGCCATGGCGGTTTTGGCGCCCCTGAATTTTGTGAGGACTTGCTTCTTCTACGGGGAGGAAGAAGGGGTGTGAACAGGCTGCTCACATGGAATGCCCGATTAGGGTTGGATCCCGCAGGTTATGATCGCTAATGAAACCCGCGACGTCGTCGGCCATGGCGAGGTAATCGTGGCGCGGCGCGTGGGGGGTTTCGCCGTGGTTGCGCAGGTCCTGTGTAGTGAGGTCCGGGGGTCAGACGGAGACGAAGAGGCTGCTGGCAGAGGTTAGTGGACTTACCACTGTGTAGACGTGACGCTTAAGATCGCGAGCGAGGACTCTAATATTTAAAATCCAATTAGCTATCTACCTATCTCTATGATCTATCCTAGAACTAGAATTCTGCGCACGCTCGCGGGGCGGGGGCCGAACCAACTCACTTGCTCACGCTCCTATTATTCTTCTTTGAACCAAACAAGCCATGCATAAATATGATGGGCGAATCTTTATGATCGTGGCCACCTTTCGGGGGTACATGGTGATCGAAGGCTAGCGGAACCGTATGGTGCGCGGCGCTGCTCGAGGAGTACGACCGCGATATTATAGCTCGGAAGGGTAAGCCAAGCGACGAGCGCGGCGAGATTATGCGCCGGGTCGCCATTTTCGACTCTAAGTCGGTTCACTGGCGTAAGGTCTATGTCTGGGTATCGTGGCCAGCTTCGCTACGCTAATTGAGCTCAAAGTGCCTTTGCGATCGGATTCTTCTCGACTTGGGAGAAATTTGGCGGGTTGTAAGTGACTAAGAGCTACTCGGAAGTTATCGATAGCTCAATGTCGATATCGGAGTGCTTATCGGCTTCTTCCGGAGTTGCGTCATACCGAGACGGCATGTACCTAGGTGTGCTTAACGTGAGTTGTACCAATAACAACATTTTTTTCTTTTTTTATACTCGCTCATTTTCATATGAAATGATTCAATCGGGTCTAAGCACGGCTTTGGTTTAGTTTGGATGGCTTTGTTGTCCTTCGTGAGCTATTACATTTCAATTGAAGATTAACGTCCATATTGTTTACATCCGTCCGATCAATAGCTATACAAGTTGACACGCTCTAAATTCGAAGCCAGTATCTTCCTATTTTCTTGTGTGAGTAGCGTCCGGACGACCCAAGCGCAGCATATCGAGAGGAGAGCGAAGCCAGCGGAAGCGCCGAACCCGATGCCGTACCGCGGTTCGTCGGTGTCGGGCCATAGATATGCGCCGTATATATAGCCAATGTGGCCGAAGACATTAGTTATCGCAAGGACGACCTGTAACATTCTTTAGCTTATTGTCCTACTATATAGTAGTTATTGGTATAGTATTGAGTCCCATTAACACTTACGGCTCTTTTCTCTTCCGTTTGGCTCAAAGTCGACGATGCCCACCCGACGACAACCGAGTTGGCGGAAAATGCGCCGACGGGGAAGATGAAGCAAGCAACGTAACGTGTAGCCGTGTTGAGTGTACTGGCGGCTATGATGAACCCGATAATCGCAACGGATAATGTTACTGTTATATGCCATGTTCTCTCATTCAGTCGCCCAGAGCTCCAACCGACTAAGACGCTGCCAGCTCCCGCAAGGATGAAAGGAGGGCATGTCAACAAGAGAGTTACGGTGTTGTTATACCCGAGTGTTTTCGCGACACTGTTATCGGGATAGCATGAGTATTGTTGTAACGACTAGAGTCTCAAAATGACACTAAAGGGGGCCAAAGGACTTACGTCGGGAAGAAGGAATTGAAAGAACAAGCCGATAGATGGAACATCTGCATGAAGCAGAACAGCCAAGTTCTCTTGTCCTTAAATGTCTCCTTAAGACCCTCCCAGGTACTAGACTTGCTCATGGCATCGCTGATCTTGTCGCGCTCTATGCGTGCCTGTATCAACTTGCGCTCCTCGTCGTTCAGCCAAAACGTCTCATCCGGGGTATTTGGTAGGAGCCAGAATCCTAGAACCGCAACTAGAGCAGTGAAGGAACCTTCTATGACAAAGAGCCATTGCCAGCCGGTAAGGCCTCGTAACCCGTCCATCCCAGCGAAGACACCGGCCGAGATCAAACCGGTGAAGCCAGTAGCGAGGAGCTGGCCACAGTACATGAGACCGACCCGCATGGCCATTTCTAAGGAAGAAACGGTTAACTTCACATTGATAGATATAGAGGTGATCATCTGAGAGTAACTCACCACTATGCGTATAGTAGATCGCCAGGATGTAAGTAGCACCCGGGTAGAACTTGTTGTGTTAGTCACATTACCTATATTAGAGACTAGTTTTAGTGAGATAGGCCTCTTACTGGAGCTTCCGCAATCCCAAGAAAGAACCTGCAGGCCACGAGCCCGCCATAACTCTTCACAGCAGCCGTACAGGCGGAAACCACCGCCCAGAGGAACATCCACCCTGCCATGTAAAGCCCGGGCTTGATCCGCGTAATCAACATGTTGCTCGGAACTTGCATGAGCACGTATCCGACGAAGAGACTATAGCACAGATATTAACTAATAGTTTTCCTGCTAACTAGAGTTTGAGGGCTACCCACATGCTGACTGCCGTGTTGAACTCGTTGCCTGACATTCCGAGATCATATTCAAAATGGTTGAGGCGGGCTTGCGCGATGGCGTTGCGGTCGACGTAGTTTAGGAAGTACATAATACATATAGTCGGCTATTTCTAGAGTAAGTTTTCTTCCTATCATTTAAACCCTTAGAATATATATAATAGAGACCTACCATGATATAGTAATCCAATTTGCGCACCAAGGCTCTCTCTTTAGAATCCATCTTGCTTCTTGCAAGTCTTTCGGGTTCGCCGATATCATCGGAGATAACAGGGTTCTCACGCACAACGGCACTACCGCCTGATTTACTCTCGAGCGATGGGCCTTGAGCGTCGATTTCCATTATGGGTAGTTATCTCCCCTCAAACTTATGAGGTTTTTAAGAGGAGATAGTGATACTAGTGAGAATGGTATCATGGTGAACTTCGCTACGGGGACGGGGATAGAACGGTCCTATATGGGTATATATAAAGCGAACCCGCTCCGACTCCCCGTCCGGGCTGCCGTGAGACCCTGACAAAACGCTGTCGCGTGGGGAAAGCAATACTACATGACAATACTACCTACATGGATATCTGGAAATAATTATCTTCATTAGTCATCTATATTGGGATTTTTATATGCATATATACATGCATGTAGTAGTTTTGAACGGCAGTGGACAATTCTTTCTCTAGCCAAATTTATGATGGCTGTCTTAGGTACTTGATGTTATGATATTAATACTGTGAATTCTATATACTGCTATGCTTGTGCTATCTCGTTCACGGATACTATTATAGGTAATTCGACTCTGGTAACCGTCTCCTAAAAATAGCATAACTGTATGAACGACAATTGAAATCAACTTAGTGGGCATTATATAGCAATTTATAGTACTATTATTTAGTAGGAATTATATGTCTTACCGAAGCACAAAAGACGTCGTTTTCGAATTTTCAGAGGGGCGGCGGGAGGTGGCGGTTTTACAGCCAGTTAGCTTTGGAAGCTTGCTTTTCTTCTTTATGTAAGTTAGTGAAACGGGTAGATCACGATGCTGGTATATTTACCTAATCTATGCTATAAGACGGAAGAAGCCAGGTATCTTGTTGGTAGGCTGTCAGACTGTTCCGGCTTTGTGTTACTTCGGGCTTTGATAATAGCCTTTCAAGCGCCTCCTTCAAGCCTAGTAAGTTAACAGACGCTTACTGGTGCACGGTGATAGACAGGTATCTTGAAGTTATTTCTTTTCGGGACCGAAATATTGAATGAACACGGGCCGAAACCAGATTTAGTAGCACGGACTACCTCGTTTAAGATATTTCCTGGCCTATGGATCTATGGGTACGTGATCGGATTGAGGTTGAACTGTAGAAGTTTACTTCCGCAACACTTGATATATTCATCATTGGGGTTTCACTTATGATCAGTATAGTTGTTGGAGTAAACGCCAACACGTCATAACATACCCCTCGTGACCCATTGCTAAGCATAGGTAGATGCGAAGTAATCTATGTTTGGATAATGTATGTCTGTTACCAGTGGTGGTTACGATGGAGAACAAGGTCCTGGGATGCTTTGCAGGGCATTAGGGCCTGCCGGTACGGTCATATAATCAATAAACATGTAGGTATTATGTAGTACTCCACGTGCTTAGTTTTGGAGTGACTACCTGAATAACTACCTGTTACACTTCGGTGTATGAATTCTGTATGGTGTTCTATATAAAGTAGGAAACTCTCCTCGAGCTACGATTTCCCCAAATCGACCAACTTACTAGGCAAATAGACGTTTAATTTTCATTGACGTATAGACTACCTCCCTTCGACTACGACACGATGTCTCGTATCACAACGACCGAAGCCCAGATAAATGGCTTAGGATCTTATCCGACATGGGACATAGACGTAGAGAACTCGGCAGACAAAGTACAAGAATTGCTGAGGAAGGTCTACTATGATGGTTCCCAGACTAAGTACTCAGAGATTCGCGAACTCGAGTGGGTAGCCTATATTATCTGCAAGAGAGTTGTCCAACAATTCAACATTGAGGACGTCGACAAGATGGCACCCCACCATCAAATGTACTATAACTATGCTAGGAGGCAGTGTGAATTGGGTGAAGAAGGAAATCTACCTTGCCAGTCACCTGAATGGATATTGGCAAATAAGGGCACGGAAAAGACGGTATTGGCCCGTGTTGCCAAAGCAAGCCTCGAAGGAGAGATGCTACTCCGTATTAACGACAATATTTTTGGCATCCTCGAGGGCAAAGTTCAAGCATCAGATGTGATAAACCTGGAAGACTTCCCAGGGAACATATACCGCACTGGTACCTTGTATGAACAAGCAGTAGCTGTCCAGTGCCAATATATCAAGCATCTGTCACACAAGAGGCCACTTCGCATTCTCGAAATCGGTGGGGGAGCAACGAGCATCACGCGCAGCATCTTAACTGGACTAGGACATGATATTATGGGCCGACTAGAAAAATACACGTATACTGACGCGAGCGATGCTTTATTTCCCGAGGCCAATAGGAATCTTAAGGAATGGAGCTCAATGATGGAATACAAGATCTTAGATATCGAGGAAGATCCATTGCAGCAAAGTATAGAGGGAGAATCGTATGACCTTGTTATCTCCTTCCACGTTCTACATACGACATCATCTATCACGACAGCCCTTGCGAACTGCAAGAAGTTATTAAAACCGTAAGTAACTAGCTATATAATATTCTCCATTACGCTCTAATGCTAAGAAAATAGGGGCGGGCATCTCATCGTCACCGATTTGACAAACAAGATTGCGAGACGCTCCGTCGTGTTTGGGATTCTCCCTACTTGGTGGCTAGGTAAGATTCACCCGCTATATTTCTTCGAATGGTGCACATACTAATTATATTAGGTGAGGATGATGGGCGACACTGGGGTCCAGAGCTTTCCGAACAGGAATGGGACCTAAGGCTCCGCTCTCTGGGCTACTTGGGCATTGAGTGGTGCTTTCGTGACCAACAGAATGCTGGTTATTCCTCATCTATAATGGCATCCAGCATTCCTTACACCACCGGGAATAAGTTTCCAAGTAAGGTTATAATTATAACACCCCCTACGGAAAACAGCCAAACGAAGTCGATGATCAAACGACTCTCGGATCGACTGACAAAAGATGGAGTATCTGTTCAGGAGATGACACTTCTCGACGTTAGAACATCAGAATTATGCGCGACGCAATGCATAGTTTCCTGCGAGGTCGAGAGACCATGTCTAAGTTCGCTTGGAAATGAAGAGTTCGATGCCATTAAGCATATAGCGCTCCACTCCGAGGGTGTTCTTTGGTTAACTAAAGGTGGGAGCCTTGCTGACGTACGTATACCGGAGCTTAACATAGTTACGGGATTGGCACAGACAATTAGGTTCGAAGATGCGGAGGCGAGGTTTACGATATTAGACCTTGACCCGGACGTTCCTTGCGGACAATCAGATGTAACCGACACCATACTACAACTACTCCGCCTTCAAAGAGAGCAACGCGGCGGTGATAATTATTTCGCTAAGAGAAATGGCGCTCTTTATGTTTCGCGAAATTTTCCCGACGAGGGGCTAAGCAGAATACTAGCTACGGAAGAGTTCCAAGAAACCCCTACAAGCCTGGCTGGATTCCAACTACGCCCTGATGCCACTTATATCATTCCAGGCGGCATGGGCGGACTCGGCCGGCCGTTGCTCATGTGGATGGCTAAACACGGGGCGCGCAATTTAGTTACCACATCTCGATCTGGTGCTAAAGATCCTCGAGCACAAAAGCTACTCCAAGAGCTCTCCGTCATGGGCGTGAGGGTGAAAGTATTCGCGGCTGACGTTGGCTGTGCTGAGCAATGCCAAGATGTGCTTAACGACCTATCCAAGGAGAAATTCCCACCTATACGCGGAGCTATTATTATGTCATTGGCCATCCAGGTAAGTTGTGAAGAATTAGATAACTACTGGTTAAATAATATCTATTCCTAACATTGCTTTAGCCCGGTATGTTTGAAGACATGGGTTTCGACGCGTGGTCATCAACGCTGCACGCTAAATACAATGTCACGTATAACATGCATCATATGCTACCTAGCGATCTTGACTTCTTCATATGCGTATCATCGCTAGGGGGTATTCTTGGCTTCGTACTTCACAGCCCCTATTGTGCAGGTTAGCTCACAACATCACTATTATTGATATTATTGATAATTCGCTAATAACCGAAAAGGCTGTACTTACCAGGATGCCGTGGCATATTACCGCCGAGCTCAAGGGTTAAAGGCAACCAGCATCGATCTTGGCTGGGTACGCGAAGTGGGATATGTCGCTGAACGCATGAGGGTGCCTGAATTGTTACGTCCTGGTATACGAACACTAACAGCGAACCAATTAATCGCAGTAGTAGGAGCCGCCATGACAGACCAGGTTGGAACACAGCCAATTCTTGGCCTCGCTAGCGGTGGGTTGATCAAGGGTAACGGCGATGAACATCCGTATTGGTTCTCAGATGCTAGATTTGGGCCGATTAGTGTATACGGCACCCAGACACAGGTCCCCCTTAGCTCACATAACCATGAAAACGAAAGGGCCGCTATGAATTCCGCAAGCACGATAAGGGCCATAACCAGTCTCGATGACGTAAAAGGTATTGTGTGCCCAGCTTTGGTCGTCAGGCTTGCGAAGAACTTGACGATGGATCCTCGAGATATCGACAGCAACCGGTCGATCCAAGCGTACGAAGTGGATACTTTTATTGCATTGGAACTGAGAAACTGGGCCCTCAGGGAGTTTCAGAGTTTGATATCTGTCCCTGAGATATTAAAAGATGTTCCGCTCGTGGAACTGGCTGGGGTGATCGCTTCAAAGTCTGGACTTCTACCGAATGCCTTGCGGGATAGCGGCTCGATCTAAAGATCACATTGGATGAATATGGGACTGGAAACATATGGTAGAGGGCTATGTTTTATGATATTACACGGGAATTTTAACTTACGGAAAGGTCAGAAATTAAGGCTTTGGATTTATTGCATTGGAACTACCTGTATTTATTCACCCGCCTATCATTAACCGGAAGATCCAAGCAACCATATTCAAAAAAAAAAAAAAAAAGAAAAACCCTCATCTAAAAGTAGAGAGGCATATATGCTATTTCAAATATGACAGGATACCAATAACTTCATTGTCGTCAACACGCTCAGATACGGTGCTAGAAAGACATGCTGAATGGACATATGTCGTTGACCCCCTTTCTTTTAGCTTCAGCTGCTGAGATAGTTGCTGAATATTGTGTTTTCGAACACCACCACCAACAATGATCTCAATTCCAAGAACCTCTGCTCTTGTGATGATTCTATCTAGCATAGCTACGTTCTGGATGGCATTTCCGAGCCCACCGGATGTGAGTATAGCGTCGAAGCCACACGCCGCCAGATCGTCCAGCCCTATCCGCCAAGCATGGCGATCATCGATAGCTATCCCGGCATCATCACCACAGCTGACTATTTCGTCGAATGCGCGGTGAAATACGGCTTTGAATGGGCGAGCGGCTTTAACCAGACGGTTGCATCTCTCTTTATCAACCCAGCATTTCCTCCTGCTAGTACCCGCCTCAGCAGCATCCTGGGACTCCTTCAATATTCCAAAAACCAAGCCATCGCCACGCGCCCTATCTAATAGGCCTGTGTCCCTGAACCTTTGGATAGAAGCCTCCATTTGCTCGAACTCCGCGTCGGAGTAGATGAAGTCACGGGCCTGGGGTTCTGACGGAGGACCGCGGGGCCTGATCATAACGCGTAATGGGACTCTGACATGCGAAGAGCCTTTCAGCTCCTCGAGCGATGGCGTTAATCCTCCATCTGAGTATGATCCTGAAGCATTAAGCTCGATGCGTGATGCCCCTAATTCGATGGCTTTGGAAGCAGTATTTGCACCAAATACTGGTATTTCAAACCCGATAGTCATAATCTCCCTAGAAAATGGCAATAACCCACCCAATATCAATGTTTGGTTTATCGTATGGCCGTAGTTTCACTCCGTCTGAGTCTGAACTGTGAATTAAGTGACAGTTGACGCTGTATGTTTTGGAAGAAAAGGGGGGAGGATCCGTGCGTCTCAAGTCTCTAAACTTGATATGGGATAGATGTATATGTAAATACCCGATATCGATAAGAGTGAAAGAAAGGACTCAGGGGTACGAACTTTAAGTGTATTATCTCATCTCATCACATGTATCTGGACCAGAGTTTATCAGAGAACACAGAACATATTATTAACCTACGCCTACGTTTCAATAGACTTAACTCATTACAAGAACTGGAGATAATAAAAGTATTATCCCGTCTGCGAAAGCAATCCTTGTCCTGGTAATGGTTTCCCACGGCTTGGCACCACACATTAACTATTCGCAGTTGAGGGCAGCTTTCTTGCGAGCCAGCTTGTTCCCACCTCTTCATACAATTAAAGCAGTATCATTCTCTTTAGAATGATACAACAGGGTTAAACCACCTCCACCACCATCATCCTCCACTATGCATGTAGTCCATGCATGAGCTTACCAGCTGTCAAGAGAAGGGATAATTCCGGGGTGTAGTTCCTCAGTTGTGTTGAAGGTACTAATAGGGGCACCACCAACACCGCCCACTCCCATACCAAAGCTACTCGCATCATATGCTCCTTGAACACCTTCGTTCTCTTTGTTAGCATCATAGGTATCAAAGTTCCCATATACCTGGTGAACACTATGGAGTTGCAAGCCTTGGATAATCTGGCCATCTTCGTAAATGATGAAGTCCTGATGAGCTGGGTTGCTTCGTATCAACCTGAAGCCCGGCATTTGGATGTCCTCATCACCTCCGCCACCCTCATTTTCTTTGTTCTCTCCCTCGTCTTCGGACAATTCCTCTTCGGTTGTTTCGCCGGTTGGTATATGTTCATTAACGGAAGGATCGCACAAAGTAGATAGGGAATCGCTGGACGAGAAACGCGGAATATAACATTCTTCGGTATGGTATCCTAACGCACACCCCGGGAAACCCGAAATGATGCCGGGGGTATTCTGGCTAGGGTTCTGGATAGCAATGTCGCTATTATAAGGGAATTCGGAAGACAACGTGTTATCGGCAGTCTGAACATCCATTCCATAGCCGGAGACAATCTGAGGCTGGAACGACGGTGAAGGAAAAGATGATTGTATCGTAAAGTGGTCTCGCACCGGATCCTCTCCAGTCGTCGGATCCTCTCCAGTCGAGTAGTCTGCCGTACCCACCATCTGGGCAGCGGCGATAAGGGCATCAAACCGCGATAAAGACGCTCCAGGTACAGATTCTTCAGCGATAGATTGACCGTCCATTTGGTAACCGCTAGGGATTTGATGGGGGTTGTGGGAAGTAGTGTCAATTGAAGGCTCTAGGACTGGTCCAGGTTGGGGAGCCGGGGCAAGTTGCTGCAAGCGCCGACGTTTTAGAAGTCGACTAGGGCATGGAGATTCTTGAGGCTGGCTAGACTGGCTAGGCTGATGAGACTGACGCGCTTGACGCGCCGCGTACTCTGGTGAGAATACATCATCTTCCTCTAGGGGGGTAACCGTGAAGCCGTCTGGACTCGGAGGCGGAGCCTGGACTTCCTGGCGCTCGGCGATAGGCATCTCCCTGCGGCGAGGGCGACCACCACGAGGTCCTGAACGAGGATTGATGATGCGACGGAATGGCCCTTGAGAAGTCTTGTTAGTGTAGTCCAGAAAGCATCAAGAAGAATAAAGGACATACCGAGCTTTTTCATGTACTCAACGACGTACGGAGTAGCATTTGGAGATCTTCTATCTCCTTCGACATTCTGGAAGTAATGCTCAACTGGATAGAAATTTGTCAGCTTTTCTCATTGTAATCACGAGCGAAGACAGTATGAATCCTTACACAACACAGAGCCAGTGTACCATCGGCGAGCGGTGCCCTGTTGCTCCATTGCCTTCTGCATATCGGCTGCAAGCTCTTCCCAGGTTTTCTCGTCGTTAGGAAGGTCGACAGGGGCACGCTTAACAGAGTGGGCGACGACAGTCTTCCAGAAGTATTTCTCCTCTGCAGGAGACCAGAATTTACCAGTCATGATGAAATAAAGGCGCGGATAAAGAGGGTATGTATGGCGATCGCGTTAATTACCTTTCGTTGGCTGTGAAAACCAAGAGGTCAGGTGCAGATAAAAGGAAAGAAGTTGGGCATGGAAAGGTGAATTTGGTATGGGAACAAGGCGGGTTATATAGAAATGATAATTACCTTGCGTAATTAGAGAATGGGAGAGAAGAATTTGAAGAATGATATGGCCTGTAAGGTACTTGCCTGCCTACCTAACTTATGTGGTTGACAGCGAGGCGCGTAGATGGTTACCTTCTACAGTGCAATGGCAAATGCAGCTGATTTACCCGCGTCATTAGATAGCAATTGGTCAATGCATGTAAAAAGGTATTGAGTCAGGAGGCTTAATGCAAAGTATTACGATTAGGGGCCACTGTAGGACTACTTTTGCAGGGCTTATGGTGAATTAAGCCGTGTTATGCACTTCGGAGTGCGCTCAGTGGGTAAACCATCCAAAATTATCACGATACAGCTCATTTGTAACCCTGACCTGCTGCAAACTTACAACAGGTGGGGACGAATGACTAAGCGTAGTACGACCTATAAGATTAGTGGCATATTGAAGTCTTAACGATTAAGCAATGAGTGTATTTCATAATCATATTATCCCAACTGCTACTGGCTGATGAGGCGCTAACGTTGAATACAAACTAGGTAGCGCATGCTTAGACGTAAATTAGGGGCGTCAAACTGCATAGCATGCATCCTAGCTTAGAGGTCTAATTCGGTAGGAAAGGTGGACTGGTTCAGATGAAAGTACTTCTCAATACTGTAGGTACGTATATAAGGTAGGTGTATCTTTCCTTGCGTGGACCGCGTAATATTCACTATTTTCAGCCAGCAAGACAACCAAACTTTTACTTACGGGGACAGACATCGTGCAGCTGAGGCACCTGTGTACCTCGTGTATATTGACTAGGTACTTAAGTTAATGAGTGGTATAGAATATTCAAGATATATTTAAATTGTATACGGGTTCTAGAAATCGTCTCATCTTGAAAAGTTTGCCTACATGTTGTCTCAATGACTTGATCATATGGACAAATTCGAACATGCCTTAGAGCCCTAGGGCCTTGTTACATCCCTGTGTGAGAAGGGCGTTGCCTAAAAAGGTCTAGACAAGCCGTATTCACGCAAAACGATATATTAAAGATACACATGGAGTGCTCGCATTGTCCCTCCATGTGAGAGCATGCTTTGCGAAATTGCGAGAATACAAATGGCGAATAACAAAGCTGATTTTCTGTTGTGGATCTGTATCAGTGATATATAAAGTATAATGCTATAGAAACTAAAGGAGAGGATGATTGGTATTTGACTCTTTACTTAGAATATCCTTAACGAAGGTAAGAAACTATAACATATGGAAATAAATATAAACCGTAGCTTGATATACTTCATATTAAATTAACAAGGTATAAATAGAATTAGGTACCTACTAATAGGCTGTCTCTACTAAAACATTATCCGCACCCTAATATTGCAAATGATAAAGAGAGGTTTAGCCAAGGAGCTTAATATTCTCACTTGCTAGGTACGTGGAGGGATATATTTCCTCTTATATAAGCTTGGGAGATTATAAAAACCTGACAGGTAGTCACCAAATATAGGAGAAAAAGACCCTGCAAGCCTTGCGGCTGATACGATCTAAGCTGAGAGAGTTGACGTAATATATGGAGAGATTACTCAAACGGGGATTTTGGATTAGAGGCACGGTGACCACGTGCCATTAAATACGGCCAGAGACGCTGCTCCATTTTAGCGTACTATCTGAGGTTAGCAGATATGTTCAAGTATCATGTTGAACCCGGGCAACGTACTATGCTCTTCTTTTCCAATGGTTTGACACCATCCTTGATCCATAAGCCCCAGCTACCCATCTTATTGGCCAACATAATGTCAGTCATTAGACGGTCTCCGACGATAGCAATTTGGCTTGGATGTGTCACGCCAACCTCAGGGTGGGCTTTGAAGTGAGCTAGTATATCGGCACCACAGCCAGGCTTTTTTACACTATGAGACAGCACGGGAATTCCAGTAGTCGCCTCAACCTCCTTTGCCAGGCGTCCATCAGGGTCATAAGTACTCGCACCAGCTGTATTGGAAACTATGAGTAGTCGATGACCAGGGTATTCTTTTTGAAGTTTCTGGAATCTTTCCTATTTCAAAATCAACAATTGTCACGGAGGAAACGAAATGGATATAAGGGTCGACTTTCGGCATTTGCTCACCAAATAAGCAGGATATACCTCATTGGCATGAGGATAAGCGAAGCAATCGTCCTTGTCAAGTACTACGGCCCTGATATCTACTTCCTTGCCTTGACCTTCGAATGCTTTGCTGAGAGGTGTTGGTATATCATTGAATGTGGAGGCTATTGCGTGAGGAAGACATAGTGATGGTTTCGTCAGGAGTTTAAAGACGTTTACAGTTCCGGAGAGGTTGGGATTCATATTAACTGCGGTTGGGAAAACAATACCGCAAATAGGGATTCGTGTCGGCCTGTACGAAAAGAAAACCACCTAAAACGAATAATTAACCGTTTCGGGAACCTCCAAGTTTGTATTTCAGTAGGTACTGCTGCGACATTGCGGATTATTCGGGTAGCTATGACCGATTTTGACGAAATCCTGTGCAGTTTAGGTCCGGGTCGGTATTATGTAATATTGCGGCTCAAATGGAACTTTATCGAAGAGGTCATTCCTTGTCCACCCCCTGTAACGTAGCGGTCCGACAGCCTGGGAAACTACCCGAATAGTTGGCTGGGACCCGCCTTTCCAGGCAGTCCAGGGTCCAATGCCTGAGCCCCACAGCAAGGAAGTAGCATTGACGCGTCAGTCGCGATCGATCGATTGATTGGTGATAGGTGATAGAAGTTGTAATCATCTCCGTCTCTTTTCTAGATTCTCAATTTTCCAATTTTGTTTTCTGCGACACTCTCGGGAGTTCTGGTGTATTTGCCGTAACGCCTTTAATCAACATGAATTTATTGTCATAGGTAATTTATAATGGTACGAACTAAGAAGACGCTGCCCGGAGCTGCAGAACCCGGGCCTAGCTCTAGGAGTTCGCCTCGCAAACGAGTTCACCACGAGGATCACCGTGAGGATGAAGACCAAAATCCAGATACCCTATCCAAACCGCGCAGCACCCAGATAAAACCCAAGATATATCCCAACGGTACCACAGATAACCGTCATTCCGCATATGATTTTCCTTCGGACGGAGATGAAATAGGACAGTCTATAAAGGAGACACCGAGCAAAAGGAAACGGGCTGAAACGAACGGTGGACTGTCCACTCCAAAAGGTCGAAAGAAAAGCGAAGCAGCAGACGTGGTAACGCCCTCAAAGGCAAATGGCAGTACCAACGCGCAGACACCAAGGTGGAAGCGGAACGATCGCTCTGCGAGAAAGAAGAGTGCCAGAGCACTGATCGAACAGGTGATAGGTGGGGATGGGAGTGACGACGAAGCAGATGAAGATATTGCTAGAGAAATATACGAGTCAAGTGATGAGGACGAGGAGGAAGACGAAGACGAAGAAAAACCCCCTGACGAACCTGCAACACCGTCCGGAAAACCTCGACGTGGTCGACCGAAGACAAAGCATACGAAGCGAGCCAGGAAAAAATCACCAACTCCACCCCGAGACTTGCCTCCCCACGAGCTCTATTTTGCGCAAAATAAACCTGGCGCCTCTAAGACGTCTGGTAACACTCTGGCATCTTTAAAACTCCTAACCCATGACGAATACTTCTCAATCCTCCGCGACTATAAGGATCCGCATGCCGAAGATATAGAATTCCTCGAATCAATACACCTCGAGTCTTTCCCGCAGTGGACATTCGAGTTGTCTCAGGGGTTTAGTGTCTGTCTATACGGGTATGGGTCGAAGAGAGCGCTTCTGCATAGGTTTGCGAAGCACGTATACGATAAATATTCAGATCACGTTGCTAATAAGATTGTTATTATCAACGGATATGTTCGGACGAGTTCTTTGCGGGAAATCCTGGGCACGGTCGCGAGCGCTGTGAACCCTGCCCACAAAATACCATCTGGAAACCCTTCGGTTATGTTAGATAGTGTGAAAGCTCTACTTTCCTCTCATGAGGTGGTCGTCACGGTGATCTTGAACTCCGTTGATGCTGCTCCTCTACGAAGGGTCGGATTGCAGCCCGTTCTCGCTCAATTGGCAGCACACCCGAACATTCGATTTATCTGCTCTGCCGACACGTCGGACTTCTCTCTTCTCTGGGACAGTAGCTTGCGGTCGTCGTTCAATTTTGTGTTTCACGATTGCACGACGTTTGCCCCCTTTACAGCAGAGCTCGAAGTTGTCGACGATGTGCACGAGCTCCTCGGCCGCAAGGCTAGGCGTGTTGGAGGAAAGGAAGGCGTGACGTACGTTCTTCGCAGTCTACCGGAGAACGCCAAGAACTTGTTCCGACTGCTCGTTGGCGAAGTTCTAGCGATTATGGATGACGCGGGCGGATCTGACGGGGAGAACCCCGGCGTGGAATACAGGATGGTGTATAACAAGGCGGTGGAGGAATTCATATGCAGTTCGGAGATGGCTTTCCGGACACTGCTGAAAGAGTAAGTTTGCTTCACGTCTATCTTGATATTACTACTAGCATTGTTCTAACATGTTCACTTTAGGTTCCACGATCACCAGATGATCACAAGTCGCAAGGATGTTCTAGGTACCGAGCTCTTAAGCGTACCTTTCCAAAAGGAAGAGCTCGAGGCGATATTAGAGGACTTAATGTCATGAGGAAAGGATATATAGAGGCCGCTACGATTATAAGCAAGTAGGTAGGCAGGACAAAGGCATATGATTACCGTATACTGCGTGTGCGCGAGATACCCTTGGATAATTCAATCATTCTTATTCTCATTTCTAGCCTGGCCTACTACAATGTGCTCGCCCGAGTCCGTCCTCTCAACCTCCTTCATGAGCTCGCTCTGCCCATCTAACTTTGACCACTTAGGCTTGCCGTCATGCATATCCACCACGCGCTGGCTGTAGAAAATATGACATCTAGAGTAAACTGATCAGCATAACCTACCTATGCTAGTTCCTCGGAAGGGTGAATACTTACTGTGCATCGAACAACTTCCTACGCTCGGCATCGCCGAACTTGATAATACCAGGGAACATAAGCACCATGTTCCGGCCCTCGTCCATGATAGGCGAGCGGCAGTACGCGCAGGACACTTTGCACGGCAGACGGTGCGCCGTCGTCTTATCTGGAGCGTGGTAGAAAGCGAGGCCCTCGGCGCCCTTCTCGAAGTGTAGGTCCTGCTTCTCGAAAATGGCAGCCCATTGGAAGGGCGCGCCGTGCAGGGCCTGGCAATCGACGCAGTGGCAGAATTTGGCGGCGAGAGGCTTGTCGCGCGATAGCCAGTACTTGACGCGGCCGCAGTGGCAGTGCGCTGTCCATTTCTTGTCGAAGGGCTCGTTGCCGGGCGTGGTGCGGTACGGGGGCTTCGACTTCCAGTCCTCCTCGGTGCTGCTGTCCCGGACTACTACTCCCGTCTCGGCCCCGGTTTCTGTTTCTGATCCCATGTTCTTTCTTCTCTGCGTGGAGTGAAACTGCGCTTTTGACAACGGTGGCGATTTTAGATGGGAATACCGTAGATACTGTGCTGGGTAAGCTGTGGTGGATATTAATGGTGATGGCGTAGATGGAGTTTTGGTACGGCAGGAATGATGACGTCGAAGACTGGATCGCCAGGTTCTACTCGGGAATACTCGCAGTTTGAGCATTCTTTAGTAGGGAAGCATAGAGAATAGAGGTCCAATGTTCTCTTCCATTATGATTCTATTTAAATACTAAATACGCGTTGCGGCTTAAAAACTCGGGAGGTCAAGATTTACAGTCTAAATACATACATCACTAATATAAGTCGTCGCTTACATCCATTCGTATGCCCATGTAAGAGGTAAGCTTCGTGCCGATACCAGGCTAACCTAGCATGACTGCATGATAGATTAATGCAGGGAGTTTAGATAACCCCATCCGCTAACGTAGCATTGGAAACGCAGAAGCTTTTAAGATCTATCTAACCTACGTATTATGACGTTGATGGAGCTCGATCGGGCAAAGCGATTGCATATATGTAAGACGTCGTTACGGAGAGGACTTTCCGGGGACATCTTAGCTAAAGATCTGGCTTCGATTAATTAAGAAAAGCCGTTTCTACTTCTCGGGAACTAGTTGGACGAAGTATGGTATAACTTGGTTGCCTATGATATATGCTTATGTATACTGATGAGTTTTGGTTTGAATCTTGTTTTCTGACATGATAACTTCTCGTTAGTTAACTATTCATAGTAGTTCAGTTCTATAAGAAAAGCCAGTAAAAATAATGACGCCAATAGCTTTAATACCCCGCTAGTATCTTGCAGTTCAACGTCAGCAAATCATACCTCGACGTGCCGGGCTAGACCCCGCTAAATAAGCTCAATCAAAGAAATGTCGACGGCTCATTTAATTCAATATTCGAAATACGCGATAGACGACACACCAACCCTACCTACCTTCGGGATTCATTGGCACGAGACCGGGGCCAATTCAACTCAACAGCTCCAGCAAAAGAGAGGGACGAAAGTAACCTCATCTTGGCCGAAACTGCGTCGTGGAGTAATTTTGCCACCGAGAAGGATTTACATACATACCCGCCATGACATCGCGACAATGCGCGCCCACAAAGCCCTAGAGAGCGACGACGCGAAGGAAGCGCAATGGGAAGCTGCGCGCGGCGCTGCCGTCGGGGCCGTGAAATGGGGCGCCGCGTCGGCCGTGCTAGGCGGTCTCGGCTATGCTTTCTCGCCGTTATATCGCAGCCTCACTGTCCAGTTTAAAGTGTGAGTTGAGTCCGAGTTGTCCCAATGATATCTATCGTAAATTGAGTAGAATAAGAAAAAGAAAGAAAGAAAGAAAGAAAGAAAAAATAACTAAAAACCGGACTAGATACCTCCAAATGTCCGGCATGATCGTCGGCAGCATGATCGAGGCCGACTATCGCATGAGGCAGTACGAGCAGCGCATACGCATGCAGCGGAGGATAGCTCAGAACCGTGCCGTCTGGGCGGACTACGAGAAGGAGCTGATGGAGTTGCAGGACGAAGGGGCATCTTCCCAGCAGAATAGGAAGTGAGATATCAACGATATTTACTGCGATATCAAGTATTCAGCAGCAGCAAAGCTTGGATTCTGTGCCGCTATGTATTAGGCCATGCATCTGTATTAAAAGCATGTAGATATATGTCTTGAATTTTTGGACACTCCTGTGCCAAAACCAGCTTTCTAAAAGAAACCAGGAAATCATGACCCTCGTAAACGCCAGTGCAATGCCGTGCAAATATCCCGAGCCATGTCATTTCGCCAGTCTCTTTTCACATACACATCTCTACCCTCTTTTATAAAGTTATATTGCATACATATATTTATTTTGCCTTGGTCTCAAATCGCTTCGGGTCCATATTAATCTTGCATAGCCGGGCGACACACCCGCTCAGCTGTAGTAGCGTCTGGACACCCTCGAGGATCTTCATGTGGGTGAAGCCGATCTCGCGGATGAACTCGAGCTTGGAGTGTTCGCTGAGAGTGGGTATGGTCTTGGTGACCTTGAACATAGTAGATATGATATCATGGCTGGAATATCCAAGATCCCATAGCTCGCGAAGAGTGTCTAGGGCGCTGTCCACGTTGCCTTCGTAGCAGGCCTTGAGCATGGCCTGGACTTTTATAGGGTGGGGGCTATCAACAACCTTGAACACGTTGTCGCCGCTGACGAAGCCGAAACCAGCGTGTGTGCTCTGTAAATTGTTGATGGCCTGCCGCATATCACCCTCGGCGCTGAACACGAGCGCTGCCAGCCCGTCGTCGCTGTACTGTACTTTCTCCGCCTCGATAATCTGCAGCAACCGCTTCACTACCTGTGCGTCCGTTAATCGCCCGTATCGCAGGATCGCGCATCGAGACTGTAGCGGTTCGATGATCTTGTTCGACTGGTTACACGCGAAGGCGAAGCGCGTCGTATTGGAATAAATCTCCATCGTACGCCGCAGCGCTTGTTGCGCACCCGAAGTCATGCTGTCGGCTTCGTCGAGGATTACGATCTTGTGTCGGCCAGCTGGTAGCGTGACTTTCTTCTGGGCGAAGCCCTTGATTCGGTTTCGAACCACGTCGATGCCTGGTTAATGGTGGTAGTTAGTATCACAAGCTCCTGTCAATCTTATATGAGCAGAAAAGGCGGACAAACCTCGCTCGTCACTCGCATTGAGCTCTAGCACCGCCTCCTTATAAGAATCCCCAAGCAGTTGGCGGGCCAGACATAATACGCTCGTTGTCTTTCCAATACCAGGCATCCCGGATATGATAACGTGGGGCATATTTCCATCTTTCGCAATAATCTTGAGCCGTTCGATCGTCTCGGTGTTTCCTACTACATCGTCGAGAAACACAGGTCTGTATTTTTCTACCCTGTAGAACATGTGTTAACGAATGCTTAGTAGTAAATAAGCGAATAAGACAGCGACGTACCATGGTAGCTCGTAAGTAACATTTCCGCTACTAGAGGCACCAGTCAAGGCCTTCTTAGCGGCCGAGGTCGAAGACTCGCCTCTCTCTTCCGCTTTTGCTGCTGGCATTGTTGCGTTGCTGTGTTATGTTAGAGTGGGTGTAATTGCTAATTGCGGAAAGACGCCGGCGGAAATTCAGCGGGATACGGGATACAAAATCAATTTACGCGTGTTTGCAAAGCGAGACGCGTCTAAGCTTTAAAATGGCCCCAGCTTCAAATGCTGCGTTGGTGGTGGGGCAATATATACGTCTTATACGATAATGCAAGGGATAATATTTGTTTATAGTGTTTATGCATATATCGAGGGTCAATAACATTTAATTCATATTTCATACCATCTTTACTGTAGTCAATTCAGGGTCCTAGATTATCTGCTCTAAGTAAATTGAAGTCTGGGAGGTACTCATAGAAGAGGTCTACCATGGCGGAAGCGTAAGAGGCCTTCCCGCCCAGATGAGATCCCTTTTCATTCTATGTATCATAGATATCCAACGGTTAGGTACGGTAATCCCCATTGATAGTGCTAGTAGAAGGTATCAGTACGCATACTTCAGAAACGGGTTGTGCCACACTTACATGTACTCGTGACTATAATCGCAGGTCCAGTAAGTAGCCTCCTTCTTGCCAGTTCCTAATCTCACAAGGATCTCGAGGTCCTCGGACTCGAGAATTTCCGCCGCTCGGGTCTCATCGACGATTTCCGGCTCGCCGTTGACGAGGAGCTTCAGCTCCGGGCTCCCGTCCGTGGGGACGAAAGACACGTTGGTCTTCTCGGGTATTATTTCCGCCACATCATTGACAGCTTGTCCAGGCTCGCTGATTAGTGAGTAACCAGTAGCGCAAAGGATTCGGCCCCAGTTGGCGTCTTTGCCATAGAGCGCTGTCTTGACAAGAGGTGATCGCGCGATGGTGCTGGCGATCTTTCGAGCACCTTCTTCGCTTGAAGACTCGGTTACCCGGATAGTAACAAATTTAGTAGCACCTTCGCCATCCCGCACGACGAGCTTGGCCAAATCAGTCGCGAAGTCAGTAACAACATCCCGGAATGCGACAAAATCAGCCGAATCTTCCGTAGTTACCCCCTGACCTCCCGCAGCACCGTTTGCCAGTAAAGCAACCGTGTCGTTGGTAGACGTGTCTCCGTCAATTGTGATGCTGTTGAAAGAACGGTCTACAGCATACTTAAGAACGGGAGGGATGATAGAGGGTGAAATAGGGGCATCGGTGGCGATGACACCTAAGAGCGTTGCCATGTTTGGGTGAATCATCCCAGCGCCTTTAGTCGTTCCAGCAATACGGTACTCTATTGATGGCGAAGACGGTAGGCTGAAAGTTTTTGAGATCAATTTAGGGAATGTATCTGTTGTGCAGATAGCTGTAGCACATGTTAGCCAGTGTTTATGGGTATCACCAAGCCCTTCGTAGGCTTTGGGAACCCCGTCCAGGATTTTCTGAATCGGTAACCTAGATATCGATCAGATTAAAAGGCTAAAATATGACATAGGTTGTTACATATGACTTAGGTACCTTTGACCAATTACGCCGGTACTCATCACGATTGTTGCCTTGTCAGCTCCCAGTGCCTTGTCGGCCTCTCTCGCCATCTTTTCAGCATCTTCAAGACCACCCTTTCCAGTAACGGCGTTTGCACATCCCGAATTGATGATAACACCTCTAATCCCGGAGTTTTTCTGCTCCTGAAGTAGAGACCGGCTGAAAGTTACCGGTGCAGCTTGGAATTTGTTCTTGGTGAAGACGGCAGCAGCAGCACATGGTGTGCTTGAGGTGATAAAAGCAAGGTCGGGTTTAGTCGTGTTTTTCGGCTTGACGCCAACTATCGTTCCCGAAACCTTGAATCCTTGCGGATAAGTGCCGCTAGTTGGGACATATTTCCTCTTTGCAGCAGGAATGCTTCCACTGACAGGAGCCGAGTAAAAACGAGCACCCGGGACTTTGGTAGTCAATTGACGCAATTGGCTGGAAACCCGGCATAACGAGCTTTGAAGAGCCATGGGAAACTTTCGACCGTGCCCGAGTAAAAGAACAACGGATCGAGTTTCTCACGATGAGCTCTTATAGGGCAGTTAAATTAAATTAATGAGAAAGCGGATTGATTTTCACTCATACTTGGCGGCTTTTTTAACTGCCGAATGGTATGAGCCGCTGAGGGGTGCTGCCACGTGCCGAGCAGGTGATCACGGCTGGTAGCGGACCGTCATTAAGCTACTTATATCCTCCTAAGCGTATCTCGAATGATTTAGTTGCAAAGGTTACACTTGTTTAGCATTTTCGTCCATATAGTTGTAGCTGCGGGATTTTCCGCCAATAATGTTCATTTAGCAACGTGCTTAAAGTTAATAGTTAATACATATGTAGACGGATACTTCAAGCGTTTAATGTGAGGTCCTATAAACTTCGTCCCATAAAAGTCCTCACGTAGCGTTATTACCGGAAGCTATCCCATTTAATTCACATCTTCAGTATCATTCGCCAGTCAGCCTGCTACTTGTAATACAAAAGTATTATGGTCACGTGTATAAGAGCTTACACGTTACATCTCTATGTAAAAGCAATTAACCAGAATAACTATAATGCATACGACGCCACCGTGGGGAAAATGGTAATTCTCAGTTTAACTCTTAATAACTTCTAAAAGAAACCCGCGATTATTCATCACACTAGAATGACCGACGCCAGCAAAACTATTGAAACCCTGGCTGAAAAAGATAGCAAACCCAAGCTCCATCACCATACGTGGACTCTAGCTATCGAACAGCTGAGGAAACAGGAAGATTACCTTGAATTATATGATTTATCCAAACAAGACCCCTTAACAACTCTAACCGATGTCCTTAAAGCAACGAACGAAAAGAAAGACGAGTGCATTAAGAAAAGATGGAAAGTTACTCTCAAAGGGCGTACGATCATCCTACGTGATGTGCTTGAGAAGATTGCTGTATGGGTCGACAAGTTTTTGGTAAGATTCTACATACATGATGTTATATCGTATTTTTTTATACCTATAATTATGCGGAAGGGTTTTAACGCTGAAGTATTTCGTAGATGTTTGGTGATATCGCTATCCAATATGATCCCGTCAGTGCTGCACTCCCATGGGCAGCTGTGAGGTTGATTATGAAAGCCACCGTGAATGACGTGGAAGCATTCGGATATGTGTTGCAGTCTATCGAAAGTGTAACAAATGTAATTGCTAGCTGCAGTATCATTGAACGTCACTTTCTACAGCCGGAGCATTCCAGGTACGCACGATGTGATTCTATAACATCTAAGAATCTTAGCATCGAGTTTATCTCTTAGTATTGTCGTAGGCTAATCGAAATCACTCTAGGATGAATGTTTTTGAGCAGCTCTCTAAGTCCGTTGTATCGCTTTATATCTCTATTCTAAAATATCTCTCCTCAATAATTCACTATTACGGAAAAAACTGGGTGATTCGGTTCGTAAAGAGCGTGGTAGTTTCTAAGGCCGATCTTGAAGCAAAACATTCCACTATTACAGCCGCAAAAAGGGAGCTTTGGGATCTCCTTGAGCTTGCCGAGTCCGAGAAATCACAGGCCATTCTTGAAGGCCTTAAGGATGTGACAGCGGCGCAGATAGCTCAAAACAGTGACTTCAGGTCCTTTTCCACCGAGCTACGAAAACTTGAAGAGCCAGTCAAGAGGATTGATTACCACGTTCAAATAATCAACGATAACCTTGAGCGAGATACAAGAGCACGGGTTCTAAAAGCTATTTCCACCATCCCATACGGAGCACATCATAAAACAGTTAGACGAGGTCGCTTAAAGGATTCTGGACAGTGGTTATTCAAGAAAAAAGAATACAAAATCTGGCGTGAAGAAAGTGCGTCTTCGGTTCTATGGCTACAGTAAGTTTTTGATGATTTATTATTCAACTCCATCTCTTGTTTTCATGGGTTATATCTAGTAAACGTTGTCTCATCCCCTTTTGACCTCTCAACTCGGTTGCAGGAGCTCCAAAGAATCCGTTAGATATTAGAGTTACTAATAACATATTCTTTGCAGCGGGATACCAGGCTGTGGAAAGACCAAATTGGCATCTATTGTGATTGATGAACTAGCAACCTGCGATAATCTTGCATACTTCTACTGTATGCGAAACCCAGCCGAGCCTTTTCGAGCTCAATGCAGCAAGATCTTAGCTAGCCTCGTACGTCAATTAGCCTGCCAGGGGACCGACAAACCAATTCTTCCACCCGTAGTAGAACATTACGAAGATGCCATCGCCGGTTTCGAAGGATTCGAAGATCAGCATTGGGATGCCGAGGAGTCTACAAGAATGTTGTTAGCACTAATGGAACATTATCCGACAGCGACGATAGTTATTGATGCCCTAGACGAGGTGGAATTACAGGACCGCCAGGAGTTAATGGATGTGTTGGGTCAGCTTCTCCAAGAATCGCCCAATCTACTCAAGATATTTGTTTCTAGCCGAGACAATTACGATATCGCGCTACACTTAGAAGGATCACCCAACGTGTATATCGATGCGGATGATAATGCTGGAGACATCTCGGCATTCATGTAAGTAGGGTTATTTCCTAGAAATATGCTTACGGTGCAAAGATAGAAAACTAACATTGCAATAGCAAGGATCAGTTAGCTTCGGCGAGGCTGCTACGAAATAACTTACCTGATTCTCTTCGAGATGAAATTATTGAGACGTTGATTAGGGGTGCCCGGGGAATGTAGGTCGTCTTATCGTCCCTCTAATATTTCGAAACTTCATATTAATAAACTCATTAGGTTTCGATGGGTAGATCTTCAAATTCAATCCCTTCGTCCATTAAAAGTGGCAGCAGATATCAAAGCTCGTCTTGGTGTTCTCCCCTCTACTCTAGAAGGCTCCTATTGGGAAATTTATCAGAGTATCTTAGAGTCAGGGGACCACGCTGCAGCACTTGCGAATTTTACCTTCCAGTGGCTCATGTATGCTAAAGACTCCCTCTCCATCGAAGCCTTTGCGTCTATTGCGTCCTCTGCTCTCTCGTCCGAAATGAGTAGTACTTTCAGCGGGGCCGAGGTTACCGACGTCTGTTCGAATCTCATCGTTATCCGGGGGAAAGATTTTGAATTCGCTCATTTATCAGTGAGAGAGTTTTTCGAGGGTATTTCAAAGCCTGGTATAGAGACATTTCTTTCCGCCCAGAGCAATGGCTTTATCTCAGTTGCTTGCCTTCGCTATCTCACGAAACAATTACTCCAAGCCCCCGGCATCATCACCGAAACCATCAACAATGAGGTAAAGAGGTCTTCTCCGGGCTATCTAGGAGTTAGAAATACTCAAGGAACTCGTGCAGAATACGAATCACGAAAACGTTCTATGTCCCAATTCGTTGACGACCTTACTTCAGGTCTTCAATCGGAGCCTATTATTTATACAACACATTTTTGGGTATTCCATGCGCGCCACAGTTCCAACTTCCGGGAGTCAGAGCCATTATCAAGGCTTATAAAGGAGTTTCTTATAGATCCTCATTTCCTACTGATCACTCCTACTTTTGTTCTTTGGTGTGAAATAATGCAATCTAAAGGACCGGATTCTGGCCTGTTATCCGACGACAAACTATCCTGGGAAAATTTGAAAATCATTTCTCGACCATTTCATCCCATATGGCTTGCTTGCGCCAATGGTTGGTTTGATGTTATACAGTACCTATATGATGTTCACCGTCTGGACATCGAACGGCTTATATATTCCAATTATGGGGATCTAGTCGACAATGCTAAAGCTTGGAGCAACGCTTTGGGATACGCTATCATAAATGGAAATGTAGCCATCGTGGAATTCATCCTTTCATGCACCATAAATCCAATGAAGCAATTGCTATCCAGAAAGAAGATAGAGCCTTTGGTTTTGGCAGCAAAAGCAGACGATACTAGTATGCTCTCTATCCTCCTTGAAAAGGAACACGGCGGGTCCGAAATAGAAGGAAGAGCTGCAATAATGGCCGTTTCCAATGGACATAAAAGCAGCTTGGAGTTACTTGTCCATCATAATCCTCAACTAATACGAGAGCTAGGAGTTGGACGCCCAGCACTACTTGAAGCCTGCAAATTAGATCATATCGATATCGCGACTTTTCTCATTGAAAATGGTGCCCCAACTGAACAGGGGGAGAAATTTCTCTTCCATGCTGTAGTTCGAAGCCGGACTAATATTATAAAACTACTCCTTGACAAGGGGATAGGCCTAGGAGGGCTTGACAAGGCCCTCATAACAGCCATATCCCAAGCAGATAAAGAAAATGCACAGCTACTTCTGAGGCATGGAGCACAAATGGAAAAGGGAGCAGTAATACGATCTATCCGAGCAGGTTTAGTTGATTCCACTGTACAACTCATCAAAGCAGGGTTCGACGTACAAGGAAACTACCTCGAGAAGCGAAGGACAGCTCTACACTATGCGGCTGAAGAAGGATCCTTTAGAGTTATCCAGGCTCTACTAGAAGCAAGAGTTCCTATGAATAGCTGCGATCGTGATGGGCAAACGCCGCTACACCTAGCTGCTCAAAGGGGCCATTTTGCCTGCGTGAGATTGCTTCTTAGCAACGGTGTAGATGCATTGGTGAAGAACAATGATGGTAAGCTTCCATTGGATTTAGCAGAAATAAAACACCATACATCAACGGCAGAGTTAATAAGAAAACGGATGGCTATGTTGAAAGATGAACCCTTTCACCTAAGATCTCACGAAAGTGCAGCCTAGGATTAGGGGGAGGGTTATGATGGGAATCTTAGATTTAGGCTTATATTTAGATACATTAGGTACCTTTCCATCTAATGGACAGAGCTGGCATGTCGATCTATAATAAAGGGCGAAAGTAACCCTAAATAATACACATCACAAGTTACACGGACCGTTATTGCGGACTAGGCGCCTAAGGGAGTGGTTATAGCACCTTTCTCCTTGGCCTAGTTCCTTGATTTAGTCACGGCGAATTTGTTCATTAATTCATGCAGATGCGTGTGATGAAACTCTTTATTATCATAAAAGTAGCCTTGAACACTCTTCCACTAGTTGTTACTTTGATGGACATCACCGTTGTGAATCCGGATATGTCGGTACAATTCGCGGATGTCTGAATGAGGATGACCACAACCGGGCCAGTGGCAGATTAACTCGCCAGGGTTGTCGTCTGTCGATTCTCTAGCCTGGTGATCTTTTAGATGTTCGATGAGGAGCTCGGTGGTGGCGAAGGTCTCAGCGCATTTCCCCCAATAGCAACGCGTGCCGATATGAACCGTTAGCTTGTGACACTTGACAATGCGAGGTCCCTTAAGGAGCTTTCCGCAAATATCGCATGGAATGAGCGGATGATGCCGGCGTTTGGTAGCTTTGGGCTGGGATTGTTGTGAAGAGTGTGAAGTCTCGTCGGTATTTTCGTCGGTAATCTCGTCGGTAGTCTTGCCGGTAGTCTTGTACCCTGCTGCTCTAGCTCGGTTATTGTTGTGAACCCGAGCCAGCCTCTCAGGGGACAAGCTGGGAAGTGGTGTTCGACCCTTCTTTCGAGCTTTCTCTTGCTAGGAGAGCTCATTTTCGGGAATACCAGCAGTGGGATCACTGGTCGGCGACGAAATAGGGGGGACTGCTACAATTAAACAAGCGTTAACCAGTTTATATCCCCAAAATTAAATATAGTCTATGAGGAATGATACACAATATACAGGGTTTGTGATCGGTAGAAAGGAAATTAGGTAGTTTAGGAACACTTACCCTCAGACATCTTTGTGCATGAGTGACTGAACTTGGTTATCAAATATCAAGACCCCATAGGTATTTCCTCGAACGTAGATGTCGTATTGTTCATCCAAGATAGGAGACTATACTCCTGCGACGAGTAGGGTTTGGTGTTTATCGTGGGTTGTAGAAGGAAAAGGAAGACGACCTTTTGCTCTTGTCGGCGAAAAAGCTAATAGAGATCTGAATGGCTTCGTTACTGTACTCAGGTAGTGGGGGCAACTCTTGAGAAACTCGCAACTGCCTAAGGAAACGACGACTGCCTAAATTGCAAACAAGTACCTGCTACTACCTACGACCCCCGCCGTTACGACCTGGAGTATACCGAAAATGAGTACCTAGGTAACCATATGAATAATATGTTGGTACCTTAGGTTCCTATGGTAACCCGAAGGTGAATATCTACCCACCCAAGATAGGTACCTACCTATTAGAAAGCCTACATCTACAGTAGTTGGGTAGAGGAGGCTGTGAACGAAGTAGTTATGAAGGCGGCGCTGCATGGCAACGCGGTGACAACCAGAACGCGGGGCATACATTAGGTATATACCTCCCAAGGTACAGACAATGCTACTAGCAGTGTGCTTTGTAGCAATGTATTGCAGAGAATGGAATACCTTATAAGAGAGGAAAATTGCCTAAGAGAGATATTAAAGTACAAGTTTGAATAATTGTATGGTTTATATATAATATAATATGACCAGGTACCTATGTACATGAAGAGAAAACAAAGGTATATCAAGCAACTTGTAGACTGGTCAATCGGTTGAAAAGTGCGTTGATTATCTTAAATCTTGGTGGCCTTACAGGCCTTATTTATATAGCATACATTACAAACAGCCCTTATCGTACCTTATTGTACCTAATCGCCTAGGTGACGTGGATTATACCCTGAGTCACTTCCAACACGCCTTCTAATCCACGATGCTTGTTAAGCCTTATGCTCGTATATCCCTTATATCCCGTGTATTACGCGTGTATCATGTTTTGCCGCTCCTCTTTGCCTTAGCGCCCTTTTGCTTTGCCATCGTATTTTGTTTGTATACCCCTTGCCGTACGTGTATGTATTCCTATTTAGTATAGATCGTCAAATCGGCTACCCGAGTCTAATCCTTTCAAAGTCTTTCGTGCTTCTTGCATACTTATACTTAACATATAAGGCTTTCCGCATTCCCTAATCCTTTTCGATCCCCGAATGTACTTAACGTAGTCGTTACGGTATTTTGATATAGGTTTGGCCTTTCGCTTTACGGTGGTTATTATAAAGTGGCTATCATGAAGGGATATGCCAATCGTGTATATCCTTAATCTCTCGATCTCTAAATACACGTTGTTGCGGTGTTTCGATATAAACTTGCTTTTTGTTACGGTGACTATTATAAAAGAATACGAGTGCGCGTTGATGTTTGTTGTGTAGAGTTTTGTCGTGTAGAGTGCTTGTTTGATCTTTCGGCTCGTAATTGCTGTTGCTATTGAGTGGTATTGTTTCGAGCTACCTTGGTCGTCCGATCTATCGTCGTTTGATAGGTAAGCTGTTTTGTTTTCTTTGCTACCTTGGTTATTCGATGCGTTTGTCGATTGATGAGCTATTGTCGTTTTTTTATTGTTTTGCCTTCTAAGTTACTGCTTTCGCTTTTTAGCTTGTTTAAAGGGTTCGCTGGCTTAAAATAGCATTTTATTTAGCGCTGTTGTATAGTAACGCGCATTTGCATTACTCTATTCCGTGCAATTTGAACGTATTTCTAACACAACTATATATTATTTAAAGTCTCTTGCTAAGTATTCTCATCTTATAACACTTATACTTCTATATTTTTAATTCAAATACCTTTAATATATGACCGTTGTATTTCTCTTAAGCCGTGGTAAGGAGATACGATAATAAAATCAACAAGATAATATAAGGATAGGGGCTTTAGCTAAACGATAATAATTTTCTTTGATATTAATACCTGTCTTAGAAATTAGCATACTACTTTCCATACTGGACCTATTAAGCATAATAAGTCCATGATTTAATATAATACTCGCTTTTGACTATCTGTTAGGGTATAGTGGGTTAAGGGTAGCCGCAGGGGTTTATCTACTATATAAGAGGCGGGCGCGTCCTCGTAAGAAGCTAGAAAGCCAAGCATTACTAGTTCAATACCGACTATTACCTGGTCTACCTACCCTAGACACCCACTCCGTGTATGACAACTATCAAAGGGTATTAATCCTAAGACTATCCCCCTAAACCCCTTAATTATTTATCTGCCTTGCTCCCGGCGTTATCCCCCCTTTAATTTAACACCATATATCTCCCCAAGTCTGAGGGCTTTAATCGTGTTATATTGTCTACTTATTTATCTTATAAATAAATTCCCGGGGTCCATTAGAATATGAGCAGTATCGCTTATAACTATTCGAGCGAATGTCTGCCGCATGTTCCCGAGCTCCGACTTGTCGGTAAAAACAAGGAGGATAACACGGTAACGGTCAAGGTCCGGATCAACTAAATACACCCACGAGGAGACCCCCTCGTGTATTAATGTAATACACTTACGAAAAATCGTCAAGTGCGTGTACACGCGTGGATTAACGTGTAATTGATTCAGCCCTTGGATTAAATGAATTCTATAACTTTTAGTCACTATTCTTAGAGGAATCTGCCAATTGTTAGTTTATTCCGTGCTAAACCCCTGCCAGCATGGGTAGGGGGTATGGACAAATTCCCATCTCACTCTCAGATCCTCCTCTACACCATTTCTCACCACACATTAACCCCACGACTAATGTTTCCAACGATTCCATCACTCACTTTCGTTCTTGACCTTGTCTACGTTCCGGAAGAGCACCTATAGCAGGATGGTTGCCCCACCTAAAAGTCCGGACAATATAGCATACATCGTGACCAAGTGAGGATCCATGGTCAGCGGCGTAAACGCAAGGGCTAAGCACGATCCAAACCCGGCCATAGCGAGCCAAATGGATTGAACCAGAGTTTTCATCCTCTTAGGGGCATGGTTATAGGCATACTCGGTACCCGTGGTCAGGCACAAGACTTCCGCCACCGCGCCTCCGAAGTAGATAGGGGTTTGAAGAAAAACAGAAACCTGGTTAGGTACGGTACGACCAAGAGCAGCCGGGCACGCTAGAGGGGTGTCATAACACGACCCTGTCTGATAAACAAGCTTTTGAACTATGGTTGTGTAGACCATAGAAAGGGTCAGAACGGCGAATCCGACTGACATACGTGCAATCGGACTGAACGAGATATGTTTCTTCGTAAGGAAAGGATATAGCCCTTTCTGGATCATAGGCGCGACGACTATGCCGGAAATGGCCCCGGTGATTTTTATCATGTCATTTGGGATGCCGTAGGTGACCATTTGCCCAGCCTGAGAGATCAAATTGTTGAATGTCTGATTATAGCAGAGCCAGTGAATGGGGAAAAGGATCCTGTCATACTATTAGATGACGAAGAAGAATATTAGGAAAGATCTATACGTACAACACTCGGCAGGTTAGAAGGCTTCGCTTAATATCTTCGATAAAAGAGTCAGTCCAGGTGACTTGACGATCATGTTGAAGCTGAACGTCCGGCTTTGCAGAATCCATTTGGAAGCCACCGGCTATGCCATAGCGCAAGGCGGACACCACATCAGGCATGATGTTACCTGTTGGGGATTCCCGAACTAGAAGGATGTCAGCCAGCCAACCCCTATAATATACTGGCTAGCGAAACTGACTAAAGTAATTGCGGCCGAGAAGAATCGGGATCAGGGCTAACCACATGCAACAGCAAGGAATTAAGTAAGCGACCCAAAAACCAACATATTTCTCCAGCAATGGTGTGGAATCGGCAAAGAAACCCACTACATTCACAGCCCTGTATAGCTTGTTAAAACCCCGGTTTCGTCTAAAGGATAAGTATATTCCACGAACCAGTAAAACGCATTGTAGATATACGTAATAGTCAACTCTCGACTAGTGACTACCTTCTCGCCCGTCTTCTTGATGTGGATTCGAGGCTCGGTTTGCTCGTATTGGTCGGCTGAAAGAGATTAATGCAATGTTCCGAAAAATCCGGATTTTTTTACTCACCAATAAACGGAACCACAGTGGTTTTGAATGCTCCGGATCCCACAGCGAGCAATATACATGCGGGTATTACGCCACTGAGAGCAGCTCCCCCGTGAATAGCAGCAGGCAGTGAAGTTGCAAATAGAATTGTTGCCCCGATAGATTCAATGCTAGCATCTTGTTAACTTGAATTCTTCTACGGAATAATCCGCACGAAGGGATGGAGGCAGGGAACTAAGATAGGAATTCCACTATACATAGCAGCATAGAGCATAGTTTTGTAGCGACCAAGCCAACTATCAGCAACAACGGCAGCAGGAATAGGGGTAATGTAAGACCCGATCATGAGCGCATTCATAACATTAGATGCCGATGCCTGTCCTAGATCGAGGGCCCCGGGGACTTCGCCTCCGGGTGCATTTTGAAGGTAGTTCTCTATAAAAATAGTTAGCGAATTATACGTCTCATACTTTATATTAGACGAATCACTCACGCAAAGGGGTAGTCGCCCAGTACTATACAAAGCGTTCGAGAATACCGACGAGGCAGGCCACTCAAAGTCTGGTGGGAATTCGATCGATGACGTTGAGGAGATTGTGCACTTCGTCTTCAGTGGCTACGCGACCGTCGTCATCGGTCGTCGGACAATCGGTGGCGGAAGATAGCTGGTCATTCTTCACGCTATGGGATTGAGAACGCTTTTCTGCCTCTTCAAACGGAGCAATCAAGCTCGCATTAGCAACAATGCTCACATCAGTGTGAGGTGCCATCACGAACCGTAGTTGTAAGTTAGGCTCTACGGTGATCTCCGTAGAGCCGCGAACGTCGGACACGTGACCCGACATTTTTACCCCTTTTTCGAGAGGATAGGTTGATCAAGGGTAGAAGGATTCGAAGATATCTTGTTTCCTTTGTTAGGGGATAACAAAGAGAAGCGTGACTAGAGAAAAAGATATAGAATCGTTACACGACACTATAAGCGCAAATAGAAAAGCAATAAATAAAACATGTCAGATACTCGGGGACCCAGGTTTATATACATATATCCGGTACCCCACCGGTAAAGGATTGAAGCGTAATATCAGCCTATCATAATCCATGTTATGTTTCGAACAAGAAGATACGACGAAATCAAGAAGAAAAGAAAGACTAACTACATGAAGCAATCGTGTATTACATAATTAACCTCAAGAACATTGACAATGGTATAATCCTACCTCGAAGTTCACCTTCTAATTTGCTTTTTGAATATCACAAATTGGCCCTTATACTAGCACCTTCCTATTCATACCGCTATAGGAGGGGACATTCTATTTAATCTAAAAAGTATAACTATGGGAATTCATGCATGACGACTCTTAATAGAAACTTTAACAGCAAATATCAAGTAGGTGTCTGATGTATCGTCTACAAGTCTAATATGCAGATTATTTCGCTATTATAACATATTTTACAGATATATCGCTAATGGATCTCCCCCTTTTCCACCCCATTTTCCAAATACAAAACGCTTTAACTGTTCCGACCGAGCGCCTTCCAAGCAAAGTATCAATTTGATTTGTAGAAACGGACTGGCCGTTGTAGGTAGTTGATATGATTGTAACGGAGCATGCTGGGATTGATTCCGAGGGGCCTATGAACTATTACTCCTGCGATGTTGGGACTGGGCGTGTGAAGGTGGTGCTTGGAAGCGGAACTTCGCCAGCCCGCCATGCGAATTCCGTCTTATTCGGGATGATCCTATTATCGGCAACTTCCCACCTCTCGAGCCCATAGAATGCGTTCGCACGTTCGTTGATGTCTGCGATGCACAGTATCACTGAGCGGTCGGGTGCCCAACTCAGAGTAAGGGTGTGAAGAGGATCTGACTGACAGATCTGGTCGACGAAGAGGGTGCTCGGGCTAGGAGTCCCTATCATGTTGAGGTAACACTGAACCGTCTCTCCCGATCTGTGCTTGTGCATGAAGAAGCTATATTGGCAACTCTTCAGGTCGCATACAATAGTGCTATTGTAGAGCGTCCAGGTGTCCAAGGGCTGAACTTCCTGCCCCAAAACGGCGATGGCGGGAGCTAAGATAGAGAAGCGCATTTTGATTATAGCGAATTTACTTGATAAAAACCAATAAAATAATCGGATAAGAGGTAGCTTCAAAGGTTGATATGTTGTTATATTTATATCGTAGAAAGCCTAGAGTTTTTTGATAAACATAAATAATGTTTCCTTGCAAGGCGACAGCGTTTTTGAGGAAAGTCTATTCCTGAACTTGTTAACTTATCTAACTTTAAAAATACCTGATTGCGCATAGCTGACGTCCTATGTACAAATCTAAGCAGAAAATCCTGGTCTGCGAACGGCTATATCTGAAACCTACAGAACTAGAATGGGTGATTGCATATGTGGTCGAATGCCACTATTAGTGATATCGGCAATAGACTTTACCTTAGTCAGTAAGCAGTAGTTACTTATAATGGGAAACAACATATATACATCTTAGGTAGTTTACGATGAAGATTATGAAACTAGTCTCCAGATATATCAGCTAAAACTAGTAAGAAATTTATTAATGAAATTGATCGGAATATGATTGAAGGTCAAGACAAGATCTTGATGAAATGCAAGCGAGTTGTTCTAGCCAATTAGACTCGACGGTTCTTTTCTAGCTCTTCCAACTTCTGATAACTTATAGGAGACACTATGCCACTAGCCGCATCACGTGCTTCTACGTACTAGTAGAAGTGGAGCTTCGAGGCTAGACTGAAGCTTACATAAGGTTTCGAGCTAAGTATTTTTTCTCGCTCAAATTTGACACGAAACAGAAAATCTTCTTTCTTTCACCTTCTATTCCCGTCGTTCCTCTTCCGACCGAGGTAGATTTCCAATTGGCCAACCATGCGAACGGCAGCGCTGTCTGCCTCCCCGTGTGCCGTGCCACCATCTTCGTCATTGCCACCTTGAGGCTCTTGTAGTCGTGTTGAAAGCATACGTGTCTTTGCTGCTTTCTATTTCTTAACTGCAATAGGAACTGCAAAACACCTCTATTCCTACCAACATCTCGTAAACATTTTCACACCTGAAGCAGTTGACTGAATCCTTATTACCTTAAAATACCGCAATCATGGCGGACATGGTTAGTGTCTACATGAGCACGCCTCCGATCGCCAGGTAAGTCACATTCTTGCTTCTCCTTTGATAAATCCACAAACTAACATTATCTCAATAGGACGATCGCGACGGCGGTGTTCCTCTGTTCTGTAGGAGTCTACACAGGCATACTAAATGCCGAGCCTTTCGTCTTCCACTATTCGCGGCTCATCCAGTTCCCACCCGCTCTATATCTAATCGTAACAAGTTTCCTTTTGACAGGACCTGGGATGGCTGTATTGTTTGATACCTACTTCGTTTTCACATATCTGAGCCAGCTCGAGACGGGCAACTCAAAGTTCTCGAAGAAGGAAGACATGATATGGTACCTCTTCTTCATCGCTAGCATTATATTGGTAGGTCATATCTCCTTACCACTAACCCATTACCTGTAAAGAGATGAATTGTCTCTTTCACCAAATTTTTTTTATCTATTTACCCTACACCCTAAATACCTCACATATCTGCCCGCATAGTGGATTTCCTCTACAGCTATGACGGTTCCTGGAGATGAGGAAGATCACCCCTGCACTGTGGCTGGCCCGTCATTCGCATACCTCATTTAGGGTCAGTCCGGAGTGTGGGCATGGTGGGATGTCTAATTGGATGACTCGAGCAACGTCTTCGGACACATTTGCTCGGGTGGTTTGTAGCGCCCTACATACTTAGCCCTAGTTCCTACAATCTTGACATTGCTTCGAGACAGGAGCAGCTTGCTAACTAGCGCATTAGCCTTTGAACGCGCTCTTCACAGGTGGCTTCGTGTTACTACAAGCGCTGCTTATCGCATTGTGCTACACGGCGACACAGGATCAGCGAGGGATGAACGCACACTTCTACGTTATCACTATTCCCGCGCAGCTTATGCCTTACTGCCTTCTAGTCGTACAGCTTCTTTTCCCAAACGGCTGGGAGAATTTGAAGATTGGATTGACCGGCCTAGTTGCCGCTCATCTCCACGACTTTCTCACTCGGATATACCCCGAGTTTGGACATGGTCCGAATCTAATTCCCACGCCGCGGTTCCTTTCGTGGATCATGAGCACGCCTAGTATCCAGAATACCATTTACGGGCAGTCGATCGCCCCCATTCCCGGTGGAGGAAGGACTGGCCCTCTGCCAGACTCGTGGCGGACTCAGGGACCTGGACGACGTTTGGGTTAGATGCTACAAATTCAGATAAACCGGCAGTGGTTTGTCCATGGGAATGAATGAATTAATACAAAGTAATACTCTAATTGCCGTCTCATTATTGGACTTCGTTTCCTTTCATTCATTTTATAATATGTGACTTGTCTATGTACGATATTCCACGCTATCTGAGGTCCGATTACCAACGCGATGGACGCTTGTTACGTCTAGTAACTGTAAGATGGCTTCTGTATACGCCATGTAATTATGTGCATCGTCTCCCGTTCGTTTCCCATTCATTGCAATGCCATTCCACTTTCCTAATACCTCGCCCCAAGCGAAGCATCCAGAACGCCATCCCTAATATTACCAAAAGTCCCTCGGGTATCTATGCAGATGTATACACGCATACATAAATCATACACGAGACGGGCTTAACCGTAGAAAGAGCTATTTCCCGTCCTTACGTTCAGATCCTCTCCTAGTCGTGGTGGCGGTGCGACTTGCTGCTCAAGGATATCCGTGTTGGACGTAATGTACAGCCCGCGATCCTGAAACCGCCGCTCGTGGATTGTCAACGGCTTCGATATCTGCGCATCACCGCCAAATTGCTTCTCTTGTGTGTTGACTGGCGTCGCGCCCTGTATCGATATCACCGGCGGGGAGTACTTCTTTGGTACCCTGATATGTGGTACCGTGGGCATAGACAGCGACGGAACCTTATTGTGGCGAGCTGGGGGAGGAGGAGGGGGTTGAGCCACGGGTTGGGGGTTTTTCAAGAGCCTCGTCGTTGCGGAATCGGCTGGGGAGGGCGACCGGTTAGAAGTTCGAGATGGGGGGTGCGACGATGGTGGTGGTGGTGGGAGATGTATCGAAATAACGTCTTCGACCGCGTTTAGATATTGCTGCATGACGTAGGAGTCTGGTGCGTGATATTTCACAGCTGCAGGAGGCGCTGGGGAAGCTGTTCTAGAAGGACCCCGACTCGTATTTCCGGGAATGTAGGCAGGGTGAGTAGGAAGTTGTCGTGGATCCAAGTTATAGTTTGCTCGCCGCGCCATCATCTCTTTTTCAAGGACGTCGTAGTACTTGGCGTTGTTTGTATATGCCCTTTGGGCCTTAAGCTCGTAGTCGCTTATCATTGATACCGGGGGCTTGCTATCATAGGATGCAAAAGCTCCTTTACTCGGTGCTGAGATGGAGCCACTTCCTCCTCGAGGATCGTAGTCCGAACTCATGGCGTCACGCTCCCGGGCCCTCTTTTCGCGACGATTGTGAACTACGAAAAGTCCTAGCCCACCTAGAAATAGAAGCGCGCCTCCAACAGCGATGCCCACTATAGCACCAGTGGTCATTGATGTCGGATTCGAGTTATCGGCCTTCGACGTGTCAGTGTCATCGTCATCGTCATCGGTAGGCGGTGCGGTGATTTTGATCGGAGTATCAGAGAACAATGTTCCCGAGAGCCCAATTAAGCTGCCCGGTGCAGGAGTCTGTTCGCAGCCAGCTTGCAGAGCAATAAGAACTACTAACAGTTAGTCGATCTCGTTTACCCAATAATCAAATATGAATATTGATCGTACAGTTAGCTAAGTAAGCTTGGTTATCGCTTGCTTGAAAGCATTGGTAGCATGCCTCAACAGATTCGTTCTTGAAAGCGCCATTCCCCGCCGTGCAATATCCGAATTCCGACGCATTGTTCGGGTTTGATATGCCATATTTGAGCGATTGGGCCAGAGGAGCGCACCCATAATCAATATCGCACGGGGACGAGATGGCCTTTGGGGCATTTGGAGAACCAAAAACGCATACATCGACGGCATATCGCAAGTTGTCTTTCAAGACCCATGTCAGTCATTACGGCCATATACAGAATAACATAACTTAGGTAGATAGTAATCTCACATAGAAACCAAGAGACGTCATTCTCAGAGCCACTAACGGCCTTGCTGTCCTTTAGGCAGCTAAGGCAGTTTTTGAATTTGATACCAGTTGACGAAGACCCATAATCGCTATCGAGACAAGTGATATCTGACGAGTTCGTTGACGATGCTGCCGGATTTTGTGTATTGCCATCCTGATGGTCTAAGCACACTGCAGCGCACGGTGACCCTGGTGTAACTTGAAGAGAGTTGACAAAACCAAGCAACAGAAGTAGCACACCAAGGTTCAGGACTGAAGAGACCATTTTGGCGGATATGACGGTTCGTGGTCGAGGAAATCTAGGGCAGGCGGAGGGATAGGGATGTTACGAGGACGGGGTTCCTATAATGGTGAAGAACACATGGCAAACCTCCGAGCACCACGATCTAATTCTGTAGACAAGATCTTCTCCAAAGTTCAGCAGTAACAGGCTCCGCTAGTGGATAACAATATCCGTAAAGAGTATGAGGCTCAAAGCCCGCCGTGCTGGAGGGTCTCCATCTCATATATGACCGTCTACCTCAGCCCACCCCGCATCCCACCGCAAGGCAAGCGGTTGCGCGGAGATGACGGATGTCAAACATCCTCTTAGCTCGTAGGCAATTTTACACTTGTGCTAAGTAAAGAAGTGCGCCTAAGAAGCTTGTCTATGTCCGTTTGTGGAGAATGTTTCTGATAATAGCACTTGGGTTTTCTTCGGCCAGAAAATACGGCCATAGACGATCCAATGGAAGGGCAACAATATCCTAGCCAACGGGACTGGGCAAGTTAAGATGAAAGCTCGAGAGCGGCCAATATGCCGGCCAAGGCGTCCATTTGGGCAGGTCTTCGCAGGCCTCTGAGCAATGACAATGTCCGGGGATGGGCAGGCGACAGAACATGTAGCCAATAACAACAGAGCGGGAAGAGGTAGAAGCGCGAAATGTAAACCAAGTCGATTTGACGAGATTGATTGGCCAACCGCGTACAGGGGGAGGTTGGGGCTAATCCTAGAAGAGACAAGGGTATGAAGAATGATAGGCTACCATGCAACGATGCCAGGCAGATCCAGCGGGTTTGGTAAACGCCGGCCAGAGAAGCGGCCGGCCGGGGGTCCTCAGCTCTGATGAAGGCTTCATTGCCCCTCGTAGAACTTGTTTAAGACATTCTATAAACGCTCATGAGCACGAGGCCGCGGGATGACGGACAGAACGAACAGAACGGGAAACTCGAGTTAAATTACCACTTAGGACCATGGCTCCGCTAGATTCATGAGTTATTACAGCCATGTTCTTCAAAATACCAAGGACAGAAACTGAGAAATTCGAGAAGATGAGAGAGAGCCTTGATGCAAATGCGGCAAGGCTTGCCGACCTCGCTGCCTCAACGCGTTTAATCAGCTCATTTATTTTGTTGGTGTAAGATTTAACTAGTGTAAATGTATTGTACGACAGCCACGAATAGAATCTAAACGCGTATGTACTATGTATGTAAAGTGATAGCGGCTGCATTGCAGATGCAAGAACCACCGTTTCTCGCTTCTTTCGCTTATGCTTACATACAATGGAGCCTTAACTGCAGGGTGCATTCAGGCCCGACCTTGCCTCTTTTAAGGTGCGCCGAAGTCCCACTTATTGTCGGCACGGGATCCAGTTTTTCCGGAATATCTCGAAGTACATACCTAGTACCTTAGGTAATCTCACGTCCACTACCTTAGGTACCTCCTACGCAACTTCAACGATCACACTTATATCTTTAAATTCACCAGTTTAAATTCACAAAATTGGTAGATATCCATCGTTGAGATCGGGATCCCGCATCCCACCTACCAAGCATGATCATCAACCGTTACTCAACGGAGCGGATGTCGAAACATAAAACATAAATCATCGGAGTCGATCGCTACCTTTTCATGCTACATTAACGAATAAATATCGTGGCTCTCTAAGCTCAAGACATTCAACACCTCCTCATTCGTCGACACTTATCCGAGTACATAGTAAGGATCATCGTGTGCATACAGCCCGATCCTGTTTAACATCAATATCCCGATGCCCTGCTGCCGGGTGAATATGTAGTAGGTAGGGCCCCTTACATCGGCGCTTAAATTTGAAGCTCCGCAAGGGATTGCGCGCGGGAACTAGCCCAAAGAGACGGCCTGATCGCGCTTAAGTGATATGAAGGGGTTAGCTTCTCGCGCGAATAATACCTACGCTATCAATACATCCCTGCCGTCTCTACCGTCTGTCGGGTCATCTAAAAGCCACTGGACCCGGGGAGTCGCATATGTTGGTCGTACATGATAGATTGCCAGATGTAAATCTACGATCGTATATACCTAGTCTACATTTAGAATATATCTACATATAAAGGGGTAATTGCCGCTACTACCCCTTGCTTTACAGAGTTTTATATCAAAGATTAAAATGTCGGGGATCGTTCATCGACTTACATGTCATCTCTTCTAATATCTTGGAATGAAGGTTTTTTATTACACCTCCTTCGTATGTATACGACAATGCAGGAATTTAATCCTTATGGTGCTACGTTGATGTGGACTTGAAGTAGGTAATCAATCCATTATCGTATGAAGTTGGCTAGCTTAGATGTTCCGCGTCCTGGCCTCCCCTGTTATGATGGCCTGCAGAATGTAGGCCATACGATAATAGGCAAGAGTTACATAGGACTGAACGCAAAGAAACTAGCATGTTCACTATCTGTCAGTCTTTATCCCAGCGTCCCCGAAATCCTAAAACCTCTGCCATGTCCGTTCTTAATCATTAGGTATTCCTCCTGATTCCTCATCCGTTCGTCAAGGCCATTCAGTAGGCTTACATTAAGCTCAACCACAGTTGCAGGGCAGCACCTGGCTTGGCCCGGCTGTACCTAATGCCTCATGCGAGTTAATGTCGTTATATCCAAAGAACGCATTGCTATCCCTACTCGGGCTAGGTATTCATGACATTAGCCATCAGCCAAACGATTCCTCTGAATAGATAAGACATATATTGACTTACGGGACGAGTGTCATTACACCTGCATCCTGAGCAGGCAGGTATCCCCAGTGGACTGTCCAGTCGTTATCAATGCATTTGGCGTTTGAAAATCCCCACGTCTTAGGATCTACATCTTCAGGGGCTTGTAGCCTAAGCTGGCAAACCACTCCGTCAGGGGAACCATCTAGGATGAGCATGTCTATGAGAATACGATGTTCTGATGGTATTACGGCTGGGCATAATATCAGCATCCTATTAGTTAAAGTGTACCTAGTATAGAATTGTAACCAACCTCGATACATATTCTTAACAGTCCACGTGGTAACGTTATCTCGTGCTAATAGGGTTCTCTCGAGAAGGCTTCGGGCACGAGATGATCCAGGGGTCTTCGGTGGGTAGGCAGCAATGATTTGCTCGGGAATATGCGCGCCATTGTTCAACGCCTTGTCGTCGAACCCGAAGTACGCCTCGACATTCTCCTCCAAATCAAGTAGAACCATGACTACGAATCCCTCTGGGGCATGTCCGCCGTTAACGCTATACCTTTCAGTTCCGTTACAGGCTAGACCGGAGAAAGTAGCCACGCCGCAATCATGTTCATTATCCGCATTTACTGTGAACCGACAGACTGTAGGGCTGCTGTTAGGTGCTTCGGACTGGGAAAACCGGAACTTCCAGTCGCAAGTTTCGTTACCAGCAGAACGAATTCGGGAGGCGTTGGAAAGGGTCCAGTTGCCAGCCGGCTGCGGGTGCTTCTGTCCCTGAGCGAGAAGCACGAAGAGTTGACAAAGTAATGGAACCACAAATTTCCGCATTTTGAGATAAGACCATCGATGGTATCAGATTTATCTTAGAAAGAATAAAATATTTAACTTAGGATGGACTCTCTACACTCTTAGTTACTATCGTTGAGATCTATCCTAGCCTATTTATACAGCTTCCTTAAACGACGCTGTATTGTCCTCCTCGAGACGGAACTCTACCTACGTAAAATGAGACATCCCACAGATCTGACTACTAATGCAGACACCCGCAACCCTAGGCCATAATCGCGTCGGGATAATAGACGAGTAGTTTGACGATCGCAATTACTCTTTCTTGTCTCTTTCTCGCGAAGCCAGCTTCGACGTAGGTATCCCCTAGCCTTCCAACGTGATATTAGGGATAAACCCGTACGATCAATCATCATCATCATCATCATCATCATCATCGATCACCCTGAAACGGGAGATGGTAGCCTAGGAAAGCCACGCGTCTAGTCTCATCGGTCGAAGCAAAAACACGGTTTCAACTTCTAACGAAGTAATCAGTACGAAACGTCATACCTAGGTACCTAGCTTTTCTGCATGTTAGGTACCTGTTTGATTGTTTTTACTTGACTCGTCGTGTCATCTAAGCTAGGAGGCCTACGCCATACAAACGGAGCCAATACCATATTATCGTGTGACAAATATCCGTGTAGTAGCTCTTAGTTACCCGGATAACGATGTAATATTAGCACTAGGATTACGACTGCAGGCTACTTGACTCGAATACTTCGGTTTCACAACAGATTCGGACGTTGCTTACCTACATACGCCGGGAAATTTGTTTGTCGTTGCACTAGAAGAGCAAAGGTCCTATTAGGTAACCGTCATGCTTTGCAACATGTCTGGGGCGAGCACCGGGTATGAGCTTTACTATTCCTAGAGCTTTCCGTATGGGAGAATCCCGATAAAATAGCTAGAAATGTTAGAGGTAAAGGGACCTTTGCATCGTGTCTAAAAGGTATCCATATAGCTCGAATATATTTGAAACATGAACGACGATACGCCAAGATACATATGGTACTCAAATTAATATATGTTGTTAGGATGTCCCTTGAAATGTGAGGACGTTACCAACTTTTCACTTTACACAGCCAAAGCCCCGATAATCGGCCCTCTATGAGACTTGCTATTTCTATGTCTACCTACGTAGGTATCTACATATTCCAGTATAACTCGAATTTATATCTTTATTTAGATCTTTAATCGAAAGAATGTCCGCCTTGAACCAAACCAACTCCTCGCTTAATATAGTGACACATTTTCCGGGTGCATCAAATCATTCCTAAGCTCATTACACGTTAAAGTACCACTACTACCAAACAGCACTCTTCGGTCTAACTTTGTCTATCGCCTCTTGCCCGATATGCTTCGCGATCTTTAGAGGTTGGGCGAAAGGAGCGGATCGAGGCGTGTTAGGTGTAGCATGATTCTCATCCATCTTAAAAACCATGGCTTTTGGTGTCTTTGGATCAAACAAGAACCAAGGCGCGGCAAGTGAATCTTCTGCGCCGGCAAGGGTCTCGGCAGAAGATGCGTAAAAGTTTGAGGGTGCCTCAAGTTCGTTGTCGAGAGGCTGATTTGAGGTTTCAGTTACACTTTTAGTCTTCAATGGTCCACCCGACTCAGGAATAACTCGTGACAAATCAAACCTCTCTCCGTTAGAATCATTGGAATGTAGGCTGGATTCTCGTCCCGGAGTGCCAATGTGGTTATGCCTGTCCCCATGAATTGCGCAGCTTGGTGAGCGTCGCACAATGATCTCTTCCACAATCTCATCATCATCCCCGCTGTCCATGTCCCCTTGAACAGACCACTCTGGCGAGCCGTCTCTCCTCGTGATATCTGCATGATAGGAGGCTCCAGCGAAATCCTTCTGTACTCGCTGCCGTCCACGGCTGATAGCGCGGGGTTGCCAAGAATTTCCTACAGCCTCTTGGACTGATGGACCTTGGGCCTTATAACTATTACTACGCGACCTGGGGGCCTGAGATGTTGGGCGATATGTCGATTCGACGTTGCTCATGCGGGTATCTGGGCGGAATACGGCCGAAGGTCCTCTAGCCGCTGAGCTATCAAGTACGCTAGGACTCGCGCCGATCAAGACTGAAGCTTCTACAATATCGAAATATTGTTGGTCCATAGGGTCATCCGCAAGAATAGGGTTAGTAGGACGACTCCGACTTGTATTTCGCGACTTAGGCGAAGAGGGACGATCTGGATAAGGCGAGGACGTATCGGCTCTCTGCCCAACAGAAGACCCTAGGCGTGGGCTTATGGTTTCAAGGCGTTGACCAAGTGCGTTTGAATCGGGCCTCTGACCAAACGACGAGTTCGAACGCTCAATTTTTCTTGATCGGCTGGTAGTGCGCGATTTAGGCGGTGAAGATTTTCGTAGATCTTTGGTAGCTGGATTGGGTTTTCTACCTTCCACGCTTACCTCCGTAGCTCTAGACATGTTTTCAGTAATTGGCTTTGGGGACCGTGATGAGTGTTCTAATATAGGCGACCAGTCGTGTAGTTCCTTCGAATTCCGTAGGCGCGAGTCAGAAGGAGTCCAAAAGGACCTGATTGGAAATTGCGGACTCAAATCGTCAAAAGCTGTGGTCGGGGTTAAGATGGCATTCTGCTGTTCTGTTGGGATATGGCTTCTCTGACCAAAATCAGGATGAGGTGTGGGAATGTGCGGGCGTCTATGAGCATCCTTTGGGATGGTAAGCTTAGGCCGGACGGCCAAGGGTGTTGGACTTGGTGCCGTTGGAGTCGGAATCGAATCATTTGCTAACTTAGGGGGTGGGATCTGTATCCGGGGGGATGTTGTCTTGACTTTCTTAGACGATAACCGATGGGAGCTCAAGCCCTTAGAATCAATGGTCTCCTTAGAACCTCGAGTGCGACTTGAACCTTTCGACTTCCTTGATGTTACCGAACGGCCTGAACCGATTGAACCTTGCATGGATTTCGTACTTCCATCACTTCCAGCTCTGGGACCATGACCTAAGGGTACGTAATCATAGTCTTTTGTGGCTCCACTATGTGATATCGATTCATAGTTAGCGAGTATGGACTCACTCAATGGTGAAATAGGCTGAGTGGGAGCCTTAGACATACTGGATGAGTTGGTGTTTTTCGGTGCTTGGGTCGTTGGAGTGTTCGTAGAGCTGTTTCCTCCTGTTGATCTAGGCTGTTCCGACCTCCCTGAAGGATCCTGCTTGTCAGGTCTGGCCGGTGTATTGGGCGAACCGCCCTTTGACTCATCATCGGTCGAAGAAACCACTGGCCCATTGTCATCAGGCCGATACACCAATTTAGCATATGGGGCAGCATCTGTATCAACAACCAGAAGCTCCTTCTCTCCCCTGCCGAGGATCCCATAAACATTTACCTCACCATCTTTTATCCCAATCACAGCGCTGGTTCCGGCGTAAACTGCGTCATCCTCGATACCACAGCGATTTGCAAAAACCACGATGATTTCGTCCTCGCTTTCTGCTCTGATGAGCGGCTCTAATCTGGTTACCCAATAGGTCAATGTCTCCAAATCCGGATCATTGGGCATGCGAGAAAACATTCGACCATCCTCCCTTGTGAGCCATGCCATCGTAAGAATGACGAGATTTGATCCCATCTCTAGAACGTGAAACGCGAATTCGAAAGCGTGAAATGGAGCCTCGAACTTATACGGGCTGAAGAAAAAGTTAGTGGGTTCAACTATATGTTCAGTCGCATCGCTCACTTGATATCCATGCCTAAACGAATTGTTAGCCCAAAGAGCAATAAGGTTCATAGTGAAGGCCACACACAAATGCCCAGGGAGGTGTTCCTATTCCCAAGGCCAGGGATAACCCCTTGCCAGAACCCCTCGCCGCCTTCCAGAGCCCATGTCTCGTCCGTATAGTATAAGAAACTCTTTCTATAATTGCCGATTGTTTCTCCTTCGCCATTGACGACAATGGCCGAGTTATAGTACTCGGGTCCGGTGGGCCATTTCGCTTTTACGTCACAACTCTCTGGGTATCCGACTATCGTAACGCAATTGTATTTGAGAGCGACCGTTCTCGCCCAGAGCGCAGTCACTCCAGAGCCTTGAGGCTCGAGGAAAGGGCTGATCTGTTGAAGCGACTTGAAGTTATACCCTTGATGGAGTCAGCGTCATGATTTGAATGCATTCAAACGCACTTTAGGTACGGCTATACCTGAGAAAGCTAATTCGGGCAAACAGAGCAGATCGAGGTTCTCGGGGTTCGCTTTACTCAAGACTGCGTCGGCTCGGTTGAGGTTATTATTGACGTCCCCGAGCTTCGGGGCGAATTGCAGACATCCTATCCTCATTTTCCACCCACCGCCTCATAGAAACCGAGGACGTAGCCGTATTGTCGATTCCTAGAAATATGATAGAAATATGACGAAGAAGAGGAGAGGAGTGCTAAGGTCTAATTTTGTACCCAAGTAACTATATTAGGAGGAGGTCGGAATCGGTGGTTCTGGGTCCGATACGACTGTCGCTTAAGTAGAACGTGGATGATAGGTGATTAAATCTAGATACCTAGTGTCCTCCTCTGTTTTGCAGTGGCGTACAGATATCGTATCGCACCCAACGATCGCACGACTCGAGATCCTGCGAGTGAAAGCAGAAGTTAGGAATATAGTAAAAGGAATACCAGATTAAATGATAAGGAAAGTAGAAGAGTGGAGGCCGATCGAGGGGACGTATAACACCAACGTATTCACTAGCATATATTATGTAGAGTAGGGTAGGATGGGGTGTTAATTATAGCTGGGGTCAAGTTGTGATGCTACGTTTTTACCACCAAGGCCTGCGAGATAGCACGTTTAAGACAAGGGGGTGATACTGAGGTACAGCTAACAAAGGAACGATAAACCGAATAACAGGAAACTGGTTGGGAGCAGTATGCGTGTGTCCGGACGAGGGTCTAAACGCGCAGCCAACAGTACTGCGAATATAAGCGCCTCATGGGTTATATAGGCTGACCTTTATAGCCTCGCGGCCCTACTGAGTCGTTTAATGAAATAACATATTTCAGTTATGATTTATATATTGAGCTCACAGAGACCATATATAATTCACTCGAAGGATTTGAAGGTAAAGCAAAGCTAACCATCGTCAGTTCTGCTCCAACACTTGGATCCTTGCGCAACTTCACTTCGTTCGCGACTCGATCAGTACCTAGGAAAGTAGGTACCTAACGTATGGTGTGGACTACAAAAACGACTGTAACTTGCCACATTTATTTGGTGGGTGGCTCAGATGACCATCAATCATCCAATTGACATGGGACAATCATTGTGAACCGTCGGTGAAGTTCCGATGGTGGTGTAGTAGTAAAGAATTGGCTTCAAGGTGTGGCTGGGCGATAATTAATGATCCGCTGCAGAACATCTCTGGCTGTGGTGTAACTCAAAACGTCGTGGGGCGGGAAAGGCCGCTGAAGAATCCCAGAGGCACGGATAGGCCAGTAGACTGCCGGTAGACTGCCAGAAAAGTCTCCAGAGTCCACCAATGGTCTGCCGATGAACCCCTGTTAGCCTCGAAAGCGCTAAATACACCACTGTGAGTGGGTGAGATAGCGAAGGTAGTGCTCCGCATATGATCCTTCCATAGTGATGGGATCCGACGAGGGGCTTCCATATGGGTCGATATATATTGCTTATGTAGAAGCCAGAGAAAAGATGTTCTTCTCCACACGTGCCACTATCGAAGTATGGTGAGGATACCTACCTCCTATATAGTGTATTCTTTCTTCATTAGCGCTTAAATGAGGCTACTTCAGTTGGTTCAAACTTCCGATAAGTCTTAGTTGGGGAAACACAAAATAGACAGCCAGAATGAAAAATATGAAAAATAGTGGGCTGAACCCCTGTAAGAATGTGACGTACCTGGCGAAGAAGTACAACGATCTGGATATAGGAGACGAAAAAGCCCTGTTCAAAATATAGCCCCAATAATGTCACGAACGGAAGGTCCTTTGACTGGTCAGTCCAGTGTTCCTAGGCGATGAACGAAGCTGGGGAGGGTCCTCAAAAGCGTCAATATTAAACGCCAATGTCGCTGGGTATCTTGAGTCTTAACTTGGGTATCCTCTATTCGAAGCAGCTTCACAGCAGTCGTTATGAGCCGAAGGATTATGCCATATATCAAGAAGCCAATATGGAACTCTAGACTGTTGGGCCTATGAAGTTAGAGAGGCGTGCCAGGATACATAGTACCCCATTTCGGCAAATTCTGGCAGCATATCCTGTTTTGGAACTTAAACATCTATAAGCTGTTAGCCCAGACCAACATAGTCGATTATCCGGGCGCAACCAGAGACATAAAAAAATAATGTTAGCGCTTCTAACATATAAGTGTTTCTTTAAATGTCTCAAGCTTGAGCACCGAAGCTTGCAGGATGAGAAGACATAACCTACTAGCTTCAGCGCGACTCTCTTATCAGCCACAAGGTACCTACACAAGTGAAGGCAACTATGTTTTGAGCATGGATGTTCTATCAAGGGAAAAAACCGAGTAGAAAAATTGACATGATGGCCACCTCGGTCTTCAAATGCCAAGTCGAGTAGCGTCACTGGAACAGGGTGCACATCTCACTTGAGCAGCAAAGAGGTAGACCCGTCACTACCATCCCGTTCTTATGAGATACAAAAGAGCGCTCACTAGAATAATAATAATAGGATAAGACACCGACTATGATGCATGAGGATTGTATAATGGCTCACCAAAGGCCAATGCTGTCGGCCTAGAGTAGCAAAAGCGTCGCAAGGTTATTTCGCGCTCGGCGACGACTGGCCACCAAGGCAAATCCGTAAATTTAGGGAGAGCTAACGCCATGTGTTGGTTAGTTCCATATGATATCAATACATGTGGAAGCGGAAGTCTTACAGTTTATGGAGCAGACACTGCTGTCGGGGGCAACCAGTCCTGCCCCATGGAACCGACGCTTCCTTCATGGATACACTCGAGGCAGGTAGGAGATTAACTACCATTTAACCAGGCTTTTGAGCAAGCTCAATGTTAAAGCCAATGTTAAATATCTGTGTCTTGTAATCCCGAGTGATAATAGATGCGTCGTTGGTCCGGAGTCTTCATCCCACACAATACGGCACTCTGCGCGTAGGAGGGGAACGAGAGGAAGAACAAAATGTGTTGGAAGTCGAGGTAATGTTCGCAATCCGAATTAAGACTCCAGGGAAAATGTATGGATTTAAATTCAAACATATCGGAAGGGTTAAAGGTCTGTATTGGGTTGGCATACTCGGCATGCCGATTATTTTCGGATCTCGGGACGAAGCGTTCGGCTGAGGCTGTGGTATACCTATTCGAAACCAAATCCACATGCCTCATTCGTCCCATTCCCTCTCGGCTTACCACCTTTTAAATCTAAATACGCGCCGATTAGATGTGATGCTACATAGCATGTGTGTTTCAGGCCAATATTATTCTCTCAATTTTCTAGTGATGGACTAACCTAATAGCAACAGTCCAATAGCATGAAAGGGGGCTGTATGGTTGTATGTATGTTGGTGCAAGATTGAAAAGCGAACATAGATCTAATCTACAAAATTGGCTTAATCTTCGAATCTCATTGATCAAACCTTCCTACTTTAGGGTCTTCATTTGGCGCTTAAGCTTGTAGGATGTCAATTTGTTTAGTCAAGAGGTATGATCCCGCCGGCTCGGCACATTAGTAGTACAAACGGGTTGAGATATCCGATTTAATCGGCATGCCGTCTCGGTCATCGTTAAGCCGCGTCATTCACATCCTGGTTGGAATTGCGACGTCCCATGAGAATGACGAACAGGAAACTACTTGATGACATATTCTGGTTGTTACCTTGCTTTATAATATATGCCCTCTAGCGGCTCTCTATCAAGTGGTTGCTTTTTGACTACGTGGTACGAGTATTTGCGAGGGTAACACTTCTAACGCCTATCATACATCATAGGGTTAGGAAAATAAGAGCAAATGGATCTCTCAACGGCTTCGTCACCAAGTCCCGACGGTTTGGGTCGCCCAGTACACAAAAGTGTTCTCCAGGCGATTCGCTCTTGCGAATCACCTCATTTGATACGTGAGACGAAACCGATCATAGAATTACGATAGGTTGAACTCTTATCACGTACGTAGATCGAAACGGCCACACGGGCGATCAAGTATGCACGCCACATTAAGATCGTGGGTGGTGGGATCGTAGAAAATACCTTTACCGCGTGACTGTCAATAGATGAATACGGCTAATTTCTCGGCTCGTCGCCATTTTCGCATTGCACGCATAAGGCGGCCCCCGAAACCACAAGGTCAGGACAAAAGGGTTGCTTTCTGCATAGTAATTATTAGAGTGTGTTTAGGTAAATGTGCCTTGTTAGCTTGTGTGACGAAGCGTTCGTTTTCCGAATTGAGGTTATTTCGGTGGATCGATGATTTGGGGGCCCAGGGGGCCATGTTGAGCAACGTTCCTTCATTCAGCAATTGGACGAATGTATTAGCGGAGCCATTTTTGATCTCCAATAAACAGCCGTAATGAGCAAGGGGCCTTGCATCCGGAACCAGTGTCAATACACGTGCTCTAAATCCCTATTGGACCTTTTCGTTTAGCCCCCCTGAATCCTGCCCCCCCGGCCCCCCGGACTAACCATACGCAATCATACCAGTACAACCATAGCATAGTCCCGATCCTCCGACTTTATCGAGTTGTGATAGCCTCCGCACGGCCCCCCTCTTCATGATTTGCATGGCTCTGCCGAACTAATTCGTCCACTGAATGGATCTAGTGAGGTGATGTGCGTCGATCCGATGAGGCGGTCGAGGCAAATATTATCAAGACGTTCGCGCTTATAGTCCTCTTTTCAGAAGCGACTTCAATTCAATAGAGATGAAACCACGTTGACGAAGCGCCCTCACTGCCCCCTTGCTTCACGGTTGAGCGAAAGGCTCTCTCTCTCTGAGTAGAGATATTAGAGATTTTATAAACGAACGTCTGTCTGCGGCTCAACAATTGCTGCTTAGGCCCCATCTTGGCCGCAGATAGCATCTACCTCGAATCCCGGCTGACTACCGAAAGTACTGGATGTCTTAGGTACAACATCTATCAAACCTATAAGACTTCGAGACCCGATATTTCTCAACCGTAGACAGACGTCGCGTAGGAGGCAAGGAAACATGGTAGCGACATTTCGAGTCTTGCCATTCGCAGCCCTTTGGCATGCATCGGCTGCGTTACTTGTCGCAGATGGATCAACATGCGAGACGCAATGCGGCAATGTACTTGGCTCAACAACAGACGATATGATAGTCTGCGAAGATTCGGCATACAGCGTCGAATCATCAGGCCAAGTCTTCGAAGCCTGTATCGGCTGCGAGTCGACGAGTTCGTACGCAACACCAAACGGGGCACAAAACAAATCCGACTTACAATATATGCTATGTAAGGCTTCGTTCATTCTCTTATATACATCACAGTTACTAATTCATGTTGTCAGATAATATGCGATATGCTGTCAATTTATGTTTATTCAACACCGGAACAAGCCCGTGTATCACTTCGTATGTGTCTATCGCTTCTCATTCCACCCCGGCGCTAACCTCAGCAGCTTCGCTTGCGGTAATATCGAACAAGCGATCAAGTACGGCAATCTTACATCTAGTAGCTCGATATATGGCTACTGTGACATGTGGACCGACTATAACCTTGATAAATGTCACTCTTGCTTGACCTCTTCACCTGACAGCAACTACCTTAGCAACTGTATGATCCATTGTAAATTACCTTACCATGGCATAAGCTGACCCTTGTCTCTCACTACAGATATCTCGATTCTAGATGGCGCTTGTAGACTAAGACTTGAACCGCCAGCTACCCTTCCCATACAAGGTAACATCTTTTCTACGGATGTTGTAAATGTAACAGACCCTACGCCTACGGCCACATTCTCGCCTCCAGGGTTAAAAGGCCCCTTGGACTCCGGGGAAATTGCCGGTATTGTCGTCGGTGGCCTTGTCGTGCTTCTTACTGTCGTCGGATGCGGAATTATTCTTAATGGCAAGCGCCGGAGAAAGGCGTATCTCCGCCGCCGGGAACAAACTACTAAGAACAGGCCTTCATCCCAGGGCGGTGGAGAGATGTACGAGACACCCATTAGTCAGAAGCCTCTCCGGGGCTGGCAAGACTCGCCCATCAGTGCATCAACCCAGACCGCCTTCACACCCTACTTCTCGCCTTATTCGTCTCAATACAATAGTCCCGTCAGCGGGGTCGAAGGCCCTAACATGGCGTGGCCAATAGAGAAGTCTGATAACATCGGTATTGCAATAAGCCCGGACCGTGAGGTCTACTCGCCATGGAGTGATAAGAAGGGCAAGGAAAAGGTTGCAAGCGTGGGAGATGACGGTTACGAGCTGCAAGAGGGCGTGAACAGTGCTGGTGGTTACGAAAACAGGATTCAACCCTCGCACGCCTACAACCCGCCTTTACTAAACCATCCCGGTTACGGGAGGCGCAGTACAGGATCTCAGGAAGGCCCGCGAGAGTAAGAAGGGGTACGGTATAGTTGCCGCCTATTAGGTGGTATCACTGGATATGGTGCGGATTGAATCTTTTACGCTTATAATATTAGCGAGGAGTTGTGGTGTACGATGATATACCTAAAGGTCGTGTTTGATGAGTCATGCTAGAATTTCCTCGGTCATCTACGAAGATATATGCTATAATGTCGGGTTGAGGTGTGACGGCCTTGATTTAATTTGGGAGTTTCATACCATGGGAGTTGGCTTGACTTTTTGATTAGTTTACACAATTGATTGAGGGTATGAGTTCGTCTTGAGAACTCTGATTGCCGTGCCTCACGGATTATCAGTACCAAGTCCTCACTCAATTTCACCCAATTCTACTTTATTATCATTGTATTCGAAATGATACTAGGTTAGGCACTATGGAAGTAAGTACCCTTCAGATGTTGCGTAGTGCCCGAAGCATCTTGGGAAGGGTTTCATCAGCAGCATCGGCTCGCCCATAGAGTCTGAAAGCCATGTGGACCTTCCCTAGCCAAGTCGGTTCCGCCATAACATTCTTGACAATCCTGACATTGCTCTCTGTTTCAAATAAGGGCGATATTGCCACCATGAAGGGTTCGAGCCTTTCCCTCGCGAGATAGTCCAGCAATCCCTCCTCTTCCAACAAGAATGCGGCCAAGAGATGATATATCATTCTATTACAGATCGGAATACTTAGGCTCTCTGCTGCTTCTTTTAGTTTACGATCAGCGATTATTGGAGATGAGGAATTTTGTCTCTTCCCATCTATGTCAACACCGCGTATAAGATAATCCGACGCACGGATGAATGTTCGCCGTACGTCGCTAAGCTGTTGAAAGGGGGTGCCGAGTTGACAGGCTTTACAGTCGCAGACAAAACGCAGCGCTTGATGGCGCTCACGTCTGGTCCTGCACTCGAAATCGCCATTATAACAGAAAGTGATTTCCTCGCCGGCCACGATGTCCCTTATCGCAAACATCGTGATGATCTCGCCACTGCACTCCGGGACCTTGGCGTTAGGCAGGCAGGAATGATTGAAACGCGAATGGAGCAGATATAAGCCGTGCTCTGAGTTGGCTTCTAGAGCGAAGGAGTTTTCTGCGAGAACTTCGTTGATTCTCTCGAAGGGCCCACCGGCATTGTCACGAAGGAGCAAAAATTGTTGTTTTGCAGTCGGTGTCAACCGTTGAAATGCTGCGAAAACATCTTCGTCTGTAATATCATCGGACGGTTTTGGAATAATGAAGAGTGGTTTCTCTATCAAGATCGCGTCTCTTTCCTTGATCAACCTCGTAGCGAAGGCACCCCACCCTTTCCCAGGCGAGGAGGGTCGTAGTTCGAAGGGCGCATCTCTAGGTATTTGGAGTCTGCGATAGGCTAGAGGAGTAAGTTACCCAAGCAGACATTGCACCTAAGTTATGGGTAGGCTCACGATGGTCTTGGGGCATTTTTATTTATTGGTATGTTTGCGGTCCGGGGATTATGGGATGATGAGGCGGGATGGCTTGAGCTTTGTTGGTAAGGTGCCTCACAAAGACTCCAATGCCATGCCAACAGTGATACAAACGGGATGTGCAATTTACGGTAGCATGCAGATTTAATTGCATTTCTAATCAATAGGTATTAACGCACAACTCCCAAGGGATATTGTAAATGAATCTTTTTACCAACTTTAATGTAAAAATCATTTCAACCATTTCGAAAAATCCGTAGTAGCCCATATCATAGGTAACTACTTCAGGTGGTATAATAATAGACAGTTATATACAAGAGAGGAATTCTAAAAGATATAGTCTATAATACATTTTGGTCTATTTAATTAATCGAATGATATTAGACAGATTCCTGAGCCTTGGTTGGCTCCCCAGGCTTAGTTTTACCTGATTGCTCTTGAGCGCGAGCTTTCAAACTGCGCCATTCCACGAAAACGCTGCCGAAGATAGTGATACCACACGTAGATATCACCATGTAAAATACATCGATTATAGCTGCATTATAGTCGGAAAGGAGTGTATCTAACTCGCCCCCAGAAACCATATTCCTCAGCTCAGTGGCACCACCTCCAGTGACGGAACTGGGGTTAATACTGGGAACATTAGATAGCTTCGAGATGAAGCTGTTGAGAAAGACGTTTTCAGCGACTGGTAGGAATATAGCTGAACCGAGAAAGCGCGAAAACGTCACGATTGCGGTCCCGGTTGCGATGTCTGGCCTCTCTAGGACCGTTTGCACAACGTTCATTGGCTGCTGCATACCAACTCCAAGGCCAACTCCAAAAAGTATCTGGTAGCCAATCCACTTGCCATCGCTGATGGATGGAGTGAATGTCGTCAAAAGACCAGCTGCTATTGGCATTATAACAGAGCTAACTAAGAAGAAAGGGGCGTAGTACCCAATCTTGGAGACCATAATACCGGATAAGATGGAGCTGATAACGGTTGAGAGGACCATAGGAATCATCATAATTCCGGAACCAATTGCATTGGTGCCTTTTACGGCCTGGAACCAGATAGGGAGGTAGTACATTAGAACCATCATACCGGAACCATTGAAAAAACCGTACCAGACAGCGGCGATGATGCTGCGTTGCTTTATAATACGCGGTGGGATTGATGCACCTTCCTTCTTCCAAGCCTGGACGCCAATGAAGACGAGACATAGGACACCGCAGAGGACTAGAAGGACGATGATGCGAGCGTCGTTCCAAGGATACACGGCCCCTCCCCATTGAAGAGCCAAAATCAAGCAAACGATTCCCGGGAGGAAGATGAGGTTGCCGATAGGGTCTAGCTGTTTAACCTTCTCAACCCAACCTGTTGCCTTCGCGTCGAGCTTCTGGTTGGGTAAGTGCAGGATCAACGAGGTGACAATCATCGACACTGCCCCAACAGGAAGATTGATATAGAAACACCATCTCCATGTTACCCTATCGGTAAAGCTACCTCCAATAAGAGGGCCAATAACTGATGCAATTCCGAAGATGGCCCCGAAAGCACCTTGGTAGATCGGTCGTTGCTGTAATGGGACGGTGTGGAACATGATAACCATCACCCCCGAGAATAACCCCGACGATCCCATTCCTGCAATAGCACGGCCGAAAATGAAGGCAATAGAGTTAGGAGCCGAACCACAGATAGCTGAGCCAACTTCGAATAGAAAACAACCAGCCAGGAAAAGAGGCTTGGCAGGGTAGAATTTGTAAACTTTGCCCATGACAAGTGAGAGGCCGCACATCGTCAGTAAATAGGCTGAGCCATACCACCCAATGTCGTCTAGGGAGTGGAATTCGTTGGTTATACTGGGAATAGCCGTCGATATGATGTTTTGGTCCTGCATTAGAACTATGGGTTAGCAGTCGATCTGAACCCTGATAGAAAAAAGTGTCTTTCTAAAATTATATCACATACCAAAGTAACTAAGAAAACCGCCAAGTAAAGTGCCGCCATGATGACAACCCTCTTTTGAGGGCTAGGATACTCATTGATCTCTGGTTTGTGGTTCGCCTGCCCGGCGCCCTCAAGGGGTTTCTCTTCACTATTTGCTGTATCTTGCGACATGATGGCTTAAAAAGAAAAGCTTCTATTGACAGGCGACGAACAGAATAATTACCTTAAAACAAGATATCGCCAAGAAGCCAAGCAGCAATTTATACATCTAGAAAGGTTGTTGGATTTTCCCCTAATTCGTCTTATACGACCGGGACCCACACCGTAAAGGGGGCCGGATCCCGCTGCTCGGGACCCAAAAATTGATTTTTCGCCTCCGAGCACCGAGAAATATCCACAGTCAACTCACTCATTGTGCAACTCCACGAACTGCAACACTACCTCCTTTTATCTCCATAGAATTATTAAGTCTGGAAAAAATGTCCCAGTCTACAGTAGCGATGCCGCTCGGCCCCGAGGACGATCTTAAAAGTTACTCGTGCGTGATTTGCCGGCAGCGAAAGGTCAAATGCGACCGGCGCAACCCCTGTTCTAATTGCGTCAAGGCAGAGAAGCCATGCAGCTTTGTCGCCCCAGTGCGAGGGAAGAGAAAAAGAACGAAACCACCCAAAGAGAGTCTCCACGCTAAATTGAAACGGCTTGAGGAGCTATTGAAATCATACGGCGCGAAGACTGAACTGTCCGATTTCGACGACTCCGACTCAGAGTCGATATCTCACCCAGATGATGAGATAGCCAGGTCTCTAAGCCCAAGTCACAATGATCCCTTCTTCAAGCTAGAAGATGATAAACCGAAGCTCATAAAAAAGGAGGGAACGTCAAGATATTTTGATATGTATGTCCCTTATTAACTCTTTCTTCAATACCTAGTTCCTAACATTCATTTCTTAGCACACCCTGGGCTACTATAGGAGATGAAGTATTTACTATCTATTCCCCGCTTCGAGTGCCAGCTTTCTCTAAACGTTGCCTAGTTTCAACACCCAGAGGTTGGTGAGTCAACAGATGAGGCAAATTTCCATGAAAGTGGGATTTTCTTCGAGACGGAACCAAATTATGCCTTCGACAGCGTCGCAAGCTTACACCCTTCTTTGCCGATATTGGCAAAGATGAAGGAAGTGTTTCTAGATCGAATTGATCCTCTGATGAAGATAATCCACGTCCCTACATTCTGGGCCGCGCTAACAGACACACTACGGAATCCTCATAACCGCTCCAGAAGCTTGGAAGCATTAATATCATCCTTCTATCTGGTAGTCGTCACATCATTAACGGATGAGGAGTGCCAAAACTTGTTTGGGATAGAGAAATCGATAGTCAGTTCCCGCTACAGGCTTGCAACTCGCCGGGCTTTAGTACATGCTGGATTTCTATCTACTTCCAGTCCGATGACGCTCCAGGCGTATGCAATTTTCACGGTAAGCTATTACCATTCAACCTCCTTGCGCCCTCATTCTAACTCGGGAAGATGTGTGAAAGAAAAAGTTATAGACATGATACCTTGTTCGTATTATCAGGAGTTGCGATCCGACTGGCTCGGAAAATGGGATTGCATCGTGACGGTTCACTTCTAGGGTTATCTCCATTTGAAACTGAAATGCGGAGGCGGCTTTGGTGGCACCTTGTCCATGTGGACTTTCGCTTGGCCGACATCCTCGGCACGAGGCCTTCGTTAGATCTCGTTTCCAAGGATACTAAGATACCGCTAAATGTGAACGACGAAGATCTTGACCCAAATATGGTCGAATTACCCCCGGAGCGCAACGGTATAACTTCTGTTTCATTCTGTTTGATTCGATGCGAGATATTAGAAGCCTTGGAAAGATTTATGCCGTCATCTATCAATGGGGTGGTACACTGGGAGGCGCTCCGCGGATCAGACATTCCTCTCGCCGAAAAGGACCGCATCATAGATCAGATCGAAGATCATCTCGAAACCAAGTATCTACGGTATTGCGATCCGTTGAATTCGCTTCATACTTTCATATCAATCATGGTCAGGTCGTCCATCGGTAAGATGAGAGTATTTGGTCATAGCCCCCGGTCGTCCGCCAACAGACCTATCAAAATGCCGCAGAGCGAGCGCAACTTGGTATTCGCGAACTGTATGAAGCTTTTGGAATATTTAACCGTATTGCACGGCGGTCTGAATAATATGGAAAAGTACATGTGGCAAATCGGCACCAGCTACCTCTGGGGTACAATGCTCTACGTGCTCATCGAGACTCGGAGTCGCAAAAAAGGCCCCGAGGTTGACAGGACGTGGCAGTTGATTGGAGAGGTCTACTCACACTATCCCCAGATTTTCGAAGAATCCACCGGACCTGTGTTCACCGCAATAGGGAAATGGACATTGCAAGTTTGGAATGAGTGCGCCGCGGCTTTAAAAGCCGAAGGGCACCCAGAACCGCCAATGCCCCGGTATATCGAGAGAATCCGTCGCTGCCGGGAAACGTCGTCGGAACCACAATTCAAACCCAAAGGTCCGGCTGCGGATTATGGGCCTATTACCCCGGATTCATCTGACTACACCAGGATGCAACCTCAGGGGTATGAAGGAAACTTCGGTGATTTAGAAGCTTTTGGGCCTTGTGATTTCTCGGATCTTCTATCTCTCCAGATGGACTCGAACGAGTGGATACAATGGGATCAGATAATTGCAGAACCGAGCGGCTTCTCTTAACTTAACATAGTATGTTAACCCTTGATTTAAGCGAGCATGAGTTATGAACGGGGTCGAATGAGAGGGTTTTGGTATGCTACCTGGAGAATTAGGAGACGGGCGGTTGGATTGGAGCAACTGGATTACTCGAATATGTGTACGATAGGAATTCAACTATATACCCAAGCAGGTGTATTGTATTATTACCCTCGGGTTGTCTACAAGTTGAGCATATTAGGATCGTGGATATAAATTTGGCATAGCACTTTTCAACATTCACAGCTATCTCTAACTGTCCATGATTTCTCTTGTGATCCAGCCCCTATATGACAATTATTTAAGGACGTAACTAACTTGTTGGTACTGCACTGCAGTCCACACGAGTGACACCCATTGCATACGTTGAACATTGCCCTTTTCATTTTAATAACTTCATATATAAAGTAGAGCTTGAAGTTCCGGCATTTCCGGCAAATTTTCTCTATGGGCAATCATGCACTTCTACTCCGCCTGCTGAGGGTATATCGACGCTAGTGATTCACATGAGCAACCCCCTTGCAGAAGGGCTGAACAACGCCAACCGCGTGGAAAACGATGTTGCGGCTCAGCATCTTGCCCGACGGTCAATTCAGTCTAGGGGACTTGACCCGGTGGCCACCGCTGTCTATGCATGGTCGCCATGTAGGCACACTCAAGTACCTGACGAGACTGGATTTGGGTGGACAATAACCGAATTCAAGCCTGGGTCGGATCTAGATGCCCAATTTGATTCATTATCCCTAGACGATGCTATTGATGCTGTTCAACAGTTAGCTAGCATATTCACTGCTATATAGAGTTTTGAGATTCCTGAGACGGTAACCAAGTTCGGTGCGTTAACTATAGATGATAGCGGTGCTATTGTAGGCGGACAGCCACCGCTGCTGAAAGGTGCCCGTTTGAATTGGCTAACGAAGTCATGCTGAAACGTATCTCGGACGAGGTGAAAAGGTGAACTAATACTAAGTGATTTATAAAAAGAGAATTATTCATGTCAGTCTAATGCAGAGGAAAAGAATGCTGAAAAGTGAATTGGCTCACTGAGTTAATTGTTAGTAGAGGTACGCCAGCTTTTTTGACGCCTCCAAGTATGCTATCGATAAGCCAATTTGAGCGCTAGTTCTGGCTACGAAGTAGAGCTAGGTCTTGATTGGACCAAGTCTTCATCAGTTTTCCCCACATCCAATAGCTAGAAAAATTTTGGAGCTTTTCTATTTTATTTTTTTCAATTCGCAGACCCGCCGTCCGAGGGTAAATCTTCCATTTGCAATTGTCATTGGAAAATCTCCTTCACGCCAACACCGTCGCGTACGAGTTTATTCATTTGAAACAGGTAATCATAGAGACGGTTCAAAATGGCGACCAAGGAGGATATTAAGCCCAAGGAGGACGAGTTCTCTATTAAGCCAACCACGGTCACTCCGTCTGTTGACACGAGCACATGGCCGTTGTTGTTGAAGAACTACGACAAGCGTACGTGAATAAAGTCATGACCAAACTTAATTTGCGATACTGACATAATTGCAAATAGTTCTCGTCCGAACTGGACATTTCACTCCCATTCCCAATGGCAGCTCGCCGTTGACTCGAGACCTTAAGTCCTACATTAGCTCCGGTGTAATCAATCTCGATAAGCCTTCGAACCCCTCGAGTCACGAGGTTGTTGCTTGGGTGAAGAGAATTTTACGGTATGAATTTGTGCTCTACCCCGTGTAGGAAGACGACGAAAGCTGACTGCGAATATAGTGTCGAGAAGACAGGTCACAGTGGAACACTTGATCCCAAGGTCACAGGTTGCTTGATTGTCTGTGTTGACCGTGCTACTCGATTGGTCAAGTCTCAGCAAGGTGCCGGAAAGGAATATGTCGCCGTTATTCGATTGCACGATAAGCTTCCTGGTGGCGAGGCGCAATTCTCACGAGCTCTCGAGACCTTGACCGGTGCCCTCTTCCAGCGACCTCCTCTAATTTCTGCTGTCAAGCGACAGCTTCGTATCCGAACCATCCACGAGAGCCGAGTCATCGAGTTTGACAATGATCGCCACCTCGGTATTTTCTGGGTCAGTTGTGAGGCCGGAACCTATATCCGAACCCTTTGCGTGCATATGGGTCTCCTACTTGGTGTTGGTGCACACATGCAAGAACTGCGACGTGTGCGAAGTGGTGCTATGGACGAGACGAAGGACCTTGTGACGCTTCATGATGTTCTCGATGCCCAGTGGATGATGGACAATACCAGGGATGAATCCTACCTGCGCAAGGTCATTGCACCCCTAGAGACTCTTCTTACGTCGTACAAGAGAATTGTAGTCAAGGACAGCACTGTTAATGCTATCTGCTACGGTGCAAAACTCATGATTCCTGGCTTGCTACGATACGGTAATTTATCTCTCCCCCCTTAGCTTGAATAAAACTAATACTCGATTATAGAGGATGGCATCGAAGTTCACGAGGAAGTTGTTTTGATGACAACAAAGGGTGAGGCTATTGCTCTCGGTATTGCCATGATGTCGACCGTCGAAATGTCGTCTTGTGATCATGGTGTGGTAGCAAAGGTGAAGAGATGTATCATGGAGCGAGACTTGTACCCTCGACGATGGGGTCTGGGACCTACTGCTACCGAGAAAAAGAAGCTGAAGGCATCTGGAAAGTTGGACAAGTTTGGACGAGCGAACGAGGCAACACCCGCCAAGTGGACATCGGAATACAAAGACTACAGTGCTCCGGCTGATGGCGTAGCAGCAACGCCGGCTGCCGCTGATGTTTCCATGACTGAAGCCCCCGCCCAAACTCCCTCAAAAGAGAACCCTTCTTCACCTGCGCCTGCAGCAGCCGAAGACGACAAGAAGAAGCGCAAGAAGCACGACGGCGAGACCGCCGAAGAGAAGGCCGAGCGCAAGAGACGCAAGGCAGAGAAGAAGGCTGCCAAAGCAAAGCGCTCCTCGCTGGGAAAGAAGGACGATTCTGACTCAGATTAAACAGAGACCTATCTAATTCTGGGTGGGGTTTCTCCCGAGTTGCATTTGGTTGATACCATTTGGTCGGTCAGTGGCTAGTTGCATGTATATGCCTTGGCTTGCGGCGTTATCTGCTGTATCATACAGTTTTTAAGGGTCTGGAAAATGGCGTTTAGGACCTCTGATTACCTTGTTTTTATAATGTCTCGAAATTTCAGAAGATGAAATGCGGAATGCGGATTCTGGAACATAGTAGATACCACGAATTATCGCCACTTGAACATGAAGTGTTTCATCCAACTTTATCGCTCTTAAATGAGATGCAGTGACCTGATGGTTTATGTTTGCCCCTCTTAACTTTCTAAGCTGGATATGTTTCTCGCATTTGTGATATGCTTACTCGGGCAAACTGCTAACGGACACGACAACATGGCTCTTGGCAAGCAACGTTCCGTCGTCGCGCCGCTGCATAATAATACGTACGTAGCCATATGCTCACGCGCTGGGGCGACATCGATGCTAAATCATCAGATTCGACCACAGAAAACTGACGATAGTGAGACTGCCAATGAATAAGTTGGCACGGAGAGTAGAATCACGGGGAATGACTTATAGCAGTAGGGATGTTCCTAGCTTTAATCGCAACGGCGCCTATATCTAGTATTGTGCTCTCTCACCGAAGCTTATATACGTCCGTACGTTATTCGATGGACGTATGTTATTCGATCGTCATGCTAGAGTCTCGTCATCGGCGGGGCCTACGTGATTCTTAAATCGACCGAATCCTTCTAAGATCGGGGATTGGGTTCGTGGTTCTGGGCACAGCATTTTAGACTCCTCGGTCTGCAAGTCGCACACGTGAGGTAGCTCAAAAATATAACTCCTTTTAAGCATGCTTGTCTTTAAATGTCTGTTGGGTGCCAGCTTCTTCACGTTGTTCGAGCTCGTGATCTTTTTGCCCCGACAGTGTTACCGTAGGTGGCACATGAGCACGCGCTTATGTGGATTTAAATTCGCTTGTGTTCTCGCGTGCCCTATGTGTTGAACATCGTCTGGGTGGCGCTGTGGTGTTGTGCGAGTCGAGTGATGTTGTAGATCAAATAGACTTTTTATTTTTAATTTTTTATTTTTATTTTTACTACGGTTGATAATACGATAATCCTTTCATTAACAGGGACATTTTGTGTATACATACCGACATGTGATATGAATGTTCCAAGATTTGGTTATGAAGTGATCGACATTGATGCCTACTTGGCTTGAGTAATTCCTATGTTAGGTACCTAACTCATGATCATTATCTCTTACCTAAGGCGATATCTCAGTCTGTACAGTATTTGCTCAACAGTTTTTAGATAGGGGGAGATGGTGTGCACGAACCACGTCTATTGTAACCGTGTACAATACAGTGTCGCCTACCCCGGAACAAGTATGTGCGATCCAGACGGCCGGAGTCAAGTTAGTTTATACGTATATGTGCGACTTCTGTTCCTCAAGCTCGCTGATTAGACTAAAATGTACGTAGTTGTGAGACCATGATTATGCCTACTAGATGATCGTCGAACTGCGGTGTCGTTCAAACATGTCTGAGAAGACATCTGCTTCTCTGGTAGATCAGCCTGCGTGGATGGTGGTTCAGGGCTGTCGGTACAGGGGTATATATCAGCCTCAATGTTGCATGGACCCGCACTGATATTGATCCAGAATTCCTCAACATTGGTTGTTCGAAGATCGAAACAAAGTTCAGTGAAGATCATTAACTATATTGACTTTATACTACAACATCACTAGCACGAAGAAGTCACTTTCAGGGGCATGTGTGTATTAAAATAGTTTGCCATTGCCATGGGTAAATTTGGCACCGGTAACTGTCGGCAGTTGTCGGTAACTTGGACGACTTGCCTTATTAACCCTTAGATGTCAAGTAAAATTTAGGTCGAAGAATTCTTAGTCCATGCAATGGTTTTGATATTCAGATGCCTGTTTATGTTACTTTGAAAGCAGGCGACCCGCTGTTTCCGTCTCGTATCCGACTGAGAGTCATAATAACTCGGGGATAGGCAATATAACTTATGACGACGCATAAATCACACAATGTCACGACCTCCTGAACATCTGAATCTGCTTTGAGCAGATGGGTCGACTTAAGGCTCCACGACAGCCACAGATGCATATCCGTAGAGGCCAAGCCGGCCGTTCTACCCGGGCGCTTTCTTTTTCTTCGCAGCGTCCTACAGACGGACATGCGGTTTAGTAGAATGGTTCGACACCGCCAGTTACACGGGGATTTAGGCTACACCATTGGCTATATCCATTTTCTCTGTCTGCTGTGATACTATACATATGCTTTAGATCGGGAAGAATAGGTCACGACAGCAGACTTGCGTAGAAGAATTAGACTTACGGGGGCCATGTTCTACACATACTACCGTTTCTCTATAAATGGACGAGCGCCAGTCGAGCCCCTCCAGATCGACATGCCAAAGCCGAAGCGAGATTCGATCCAGTTATTTGGTCCATAGATCATCTTTCAGTCACGTATCAGCTCCGTCTACAAACACTGTCCCTGCTTTTAAGGTTCAGCCTTAGCACCAGTTTCGTTTCTAGCTGGTTTGCTCGATATGCAAGTTATTAAGGATGAAGCTCCTTAGTATGCTTGCAGCCGCCGCGCTGTCATTCATTTTCACTTCCGCGTCGGCGATACCCGTACAATCTCTCAGAAAAGCAAGCGATGATCCAGTGTTTGAGGACAACTTCGCTGATCCATCAATAATCCAACACGAAGACGGCACCTGGTATGCTTTTGGCACGGCTGCAAAGAATAAGCAAGTTCAAGTAGCCACAGGAAAAAGCTTCGACGGGCAGTGGAATCTATTAGAGGATGTCGACGCCCTTCCTCACTCGGCTTCCTGGACTACTGGACGACACACCTGGGCCCCTGATGTGCGTCGCGCACGCAACGGGAAATATGTTATGTACTACAGCGGCGAGGTAGCTGAGGATTCGGCTCATCACTGCATCGGCGCGGCAGTAGCAGACGAAATCACCGGTCCATATATACCCGAGGAGGAGCCTTTTGCTTGCGACCTCTCAGCCGGTGGCTCTATCGATGCGTCCGGATTCCAAGACGACGACGGCAAACAATATGTACTTTATAAGATCGACGGAAATAGTGTCGGCCATGGCGGAAGCTGCAGCAACACTAAAAAGCCGATCGTACCAACGCCTATCATGCTCCAGGAAGTCGAAGAGGATGGTGTGACAAAAGTTGGCGAGCCCGTCCAAATTTTCAACCGCAGCGACGAGGATGGTCCATTAGTGGAAGCACCGAGCATGTTACGTATGGACAATGGGCTATACATCCTGTTCTTCAGCAGCGGTTGCTACTTAGAGCCGAGCTACAACGTGAACTACGCGACGTCGACAAGCCTGAAGGGGCCATTTCAACGAGCTCAGCGCCCGATAATAAAATCAGGGGAGTACACGTTGCAGGCACCCGGTGGCGCCACTGCAGTGCACGTTGGGGATAAAGTTGGGATCGCTTTCCACGCAGACTGCCAACAAGGGAGATGTATGCACACATCACACACGGTTGTCGATGGTCGGGAAGTAAGAGTACTGATGTAGGCCACTCGACAATTTATCGTCCCATATTTCCGCGAACACGATGTTAAAAGGAGGGGCTGTGTTGGACTGGCGCAAAGTCTTGATGCAACTTTTCTTTAATAACCAAGTGAGAGTAACCACACAAGGGGAAACTCGAGGTCAGATGTTGGAATATGGCTCAGTTGATGCTTCTCGCGCCTATGCTGCTCACAACGCTCTTTAGATTAGGGATAGACTTGGAATATTTTGTATTGATTTTTTGATTTTTTTTCTTGGATTCTGGATAGAGGGTAAATGATACCAAAGCGGATAGACCCTATATAAGCGTAGTAAATCAGTAATATCACAGGTTCCTTTGGACTACACGCGCATCCCGCTTTTTACCTCGGTGAATCGTGAGTAGATAGATAATATGAAATTTGAGAAGTTCTTCAGAGCTCATGAGATTGACGAACCAAGATCGGTCTAAGCTAAATGGAAGGTAGAATAAAATCTATTTTTATGCATGCATTAAGGTACATGCCTGGTCATAAATTCAAGCACGGACCATCTTCAACTTGTACTTCCCCTATGTATTAAACTAAGCGCCTCTTTATTCTCTGCAACCTTCGCAATACTTTTGGGCTGCACTCTGCAAGCCTTTTATCACAGTCACATTTTCCACACCTACAGTAGTATGTAGAAGATACCATGTGCTTACGCTCCGGTAGGGCTGCCCATATCTCTCCGTCCAATCGTATTATCTCCCGAATATTTGATATTTCTTCCGAAGCGCCCCCGTAACCTTCAGTACTTTCTGTTGCAACTCTACAACAAATTGTTCGTCATTACGTAGCATAGCACACTGAATAACGAAGCCCCTAATGCGCAAGTCGGAACATTCTTGGCTCGAAGATATTCGAATCACTTCAGGAAAACCCTTCTAAAGCGGCCATGACAGTTATAGGTTCATATCAACGACTATCCAATATATCGAATGGTCTATTCGATAGCTACTTGACCAATTGAATAAGAAACAATTATAATTCTTCTTCAACGGACCTGAGCTGAAATTAGGGCTTCTCCGTCCTGTCGGCCTCTAAATGGGAGCCAAATGGCCGTGATTTTTTGCCGCCAGCGGCCTCATTACCGACCCACTAGAGCTACCGGGTAAGATTACCGAACAAATCACGGCGCTTAGGAACTAGAATTTATAGGTCATATACTTGTCCTATTGGTTCGTCCTCTTATAGGATAATCTTTAGAGGTAGGTCTATCTCGCACTATCTAAGATCGGGTCTTTTCAACAGCGTAAGAATCATCGTTCGCATACTTCGAGATATATCATCCGGGGTATTGTCTCCTTAGTACAAGGGAGGAATTATGGGTATAGATGCAATGCTACCTTTTCGTGCAAGCTATCGGCACATTTACATCTACATAGGCGCCGGCTACCACTAGGTTGGTAGTAGTGTAAAATCGTCTGCGCGCGATGCATCGCTGTTAACGTCTGTCTCCTAAGCTAAAGAGAAACCAGCTGAATCTAATATATTATTCGGTCTGTCCCGGGCTCCTCATCTCTTAAGCAGCTCATCGAATGTTGTACGCTCCTTTTCCATCTTAGGATCATTTCTATTTCTACGCTCTCTAGTGGGCTTATCCGAAACCTTGACCAGCTGGCTGGCGGTATTAACTTTATGAGATTTTAATATCATTATTCACTATACTTTTTATAATACTTCGTTCTTTATCGACGCTCCTTCATTACGAGATACCCTCCTATTTGCCAATATTTGATCTCCAGGCGAGATGGCTCCTCTTATATTTACTCTCATCTTTACTCTCTTTGTACGATATAGCACTGGATTGCAGGTTACGCCGAACTCGCCCTGCGCCTCGCTTTGTGTTGACTCTACCGGCCTCGACTTTTCCGATCCTAACTCATCAAACACTGGCAATTCGGATATTTCGTGTTATGATACGGAGTACTCTACTTCGTCTGCTGGCAAAAAGTTCCAAAAATGCATGAGTTGCCTTCAAGATAGTAACTTTGCTCAAGGGGATGAAAGCGACCAGCTTTGGTTTTTATGTAAGTACATCACAGACTACTTGATATTCTCACCTAACTAATACAACTATAGATAACCTCAGATATACGTTTGACTATTGCATTTTCGGGTTTCCTAATGCCACAGGAGTAGCATCCACTCCATGTGCGACATCTACTGCTTGTGGGGGGCTTAAAGAGGCTTTGACAGACGGCAATCTTGATCCTAAGAAGAACGGCTATTCGTATTGTAGCTCAGACGACATGCCCAACGCTGCAGTCTCAGAGTGCAAGGCTTGCGTAAGCGTTCTTGATGACCAAGACTACTTAGCCAACTGTAAGCCACCCTCATCTTCACGTAATACCCTAATGCTAATCGCTGGTATAGTCCTCATCGCTCTTGACGCAGGGTGCCAACAGCGGCCACCTACTGGAACTCTAATTGGTCTGAATGATACAGTCTTCACCAAAACCACGATTAGTTCTGTCGATCCTTCCATCGAAAAGTCCGAAGATAAGAAGCAATCTACCCTATCGGTAACCCAGATAGTGGGGATTGCAGTTGCTGCTATTGTCATCGTCTTAGCCATAGCTGGCTTTTTATTCGTACGTTGCCGTAGACGTCGCAACCGCCGTCTTCTACTTGGAGACGTCAAAGCATCAACAATGGCGCAGAAGAGGAACCGCCATCGTACTGTTTCTACACTATCATTTCGGTGCCAAACACACTTAACTCCTAGGTCGGCGGCATTCTTCCCAAATCCGTCTGACGGCATCATTGAAGAGGAGAATCCTTACGCAGGCCCACTCTCTGCCCTTGCTTCTCACCCTGTTTACCCGGAGTCACCAAGACAGACTTTGAACAACAACACGGGTCTCAACTCTTTCTCTAGGTCAGACAATAAGGTCATACCACACAACATTGCTACGGCCATACCCGCGATCCCAAATAATGTACACTACTCAACTTCGCCTAAGGCCGCGTTCTTCTCCCCCACCGACGAGCCTGCTAGCACCACTAGTACTAAGAGCACTGCACAACTTCTACCTCTAAGGCAGTATAACCCTGCTGAGTACTCAGATAGCTCACCACAAATGGGCACCAACCCCAACACCGTATTCAGTAGTCCAATATCTGGCTCTACTGCTAGCCCCCTTATAAGCCGAGCCTGGGAACGGGGTACGCCAACATGGGATATGCCGCCTCGCAGTTCCAGCCGACCGACAGGAGGCGGGGCCTGGGAAAGGGTAGCCGCCGGTATCGCGGCGAAGAATCGGAGGACTAGTAATACAGGAAGTCCGGTAGAGACTAAGCATATTAATTTCAACTTTCCTCCTCCGCCGACAGGGCGGTAATCTATATATACCCATATACCATGTACAAATATATGTAATAACTACCTAACATTGCGGCTGCTTGATAATATGCCAGAAATGAACATGGAAACAATATAACGGGGCTTTGGCTCTAGTTGCTCCGCAATACCTACCTTAGGTACATAAAGGAGTAAAATAAAATAGAATATACCCCTATTTTCTAGATGCTGCTCTTACGTTATGCCTAAGAATAAGACTTATAATAATTGTAATTCTGTAGAGTCCATTTAACCCAATACGTAGACACGGGGTCAGCCGGACGAAGATTTCATTAGTTCCTATTCTATTTAAGACTTGACCGATCGCCCACGTATATACACTTCCTTGATATTCCGGTCATCGCCAGTCATGATAAACTTATTAAATATCGTCCTAACGGAGTCTTCATCCTCTAGTATAGTCATGACACCTAGCGCATTCGCGTCGATGAATAGGGCATCGAACTCCTTCCCAACCTCGAAGTTGCCAATCCTGCTGTCGAGACTGCACACCTTTGCGCCTCCTAACGTAGCTAGATAGAATAATTCCCCTATATTAAGCCCTTTGTGCTCACCCCCGCTCATTACTTCCCGCGCATTCGATGCTACGAGGGCTTGTCTCATTGCATCTAGAATGCTGCTTGAGAACCCGCCCCCGCTGTCGGTTCCAAGTCCCACTTTGATGCCGCGCCGTAGGAACTCGCGAACTGGCGCGGCCATAAATCCCCCACCAACCGTCATGTTAGAGACGGGACAATGCGCAACACCACACCCTAGCTCCGCGACGCGGCTCATTTCATGCTCGCTCATATGACAGCAGTGAGCGAGGATCGAGCGCTTGCCTAGCAGCCCATAGTGCGCGTATAGGTCCGCTTCGCTGTCCTTGAACTGCGGAAACAGCTCTTGCGTAAACTTCATCTCCTGCTCGGCCTCGTTGAAATGCGTTTGGATCGGTAGATCCGGGTTCGCCGCCGCAAGCACGCCGAGCCCCTCGAGCAGCTCCGGCGAACAAGAAATGGCAAAACGCGGGGTCAGCACGTGTCTGAGCAGCACGCCTTCCGGATCGATACGCCGCACGTGCGCGATGCAGTCTTGCGTATCCGCAAGCGACGCCGCGGCGTTCGCGTCCCGGTAGTATTCCGGCGCGTTCCGGTCCATATTGCACTTGCCGACGAGGGCGCGCTGGCCCTTCTCCAAGCATATATCCGCGAGGATCCTGGTGGCTTCCGCGTGGAGCGAGCCGTAGTACGACGCCGTAGTGACCCCCTGCTTTAGGAAGCCGTCGACGCAGCTCGAGTAGACGCGGCGCGCGTACGCCGGGTCCCGGAACCTTGCCTCGTTGGGGAAAGTGACTTGTTCTAGCCAGTCGAGGATGTGCATGCTTTGCCCTAGGCCGCGTTGCGCCCATTGTGGCGCGTGGTTGTGCGTGTCGACGAATCCTGGGATTAAGAATTGGCCGCGGGCTAGGTAGCGCACTTCCTCGAGGGCTGAGGAGGAGGAGGAGATGCCTAATGATGATAGTATTGAAGGTACTTTATCCTTGGGAATATCTTCTACTAGGTTAGTTATCTTGCCATTGGCGTCAACTACGAGTAAGGCGCTCTCGAGTATGATGAGCTCTGACGGACCGAGTGAATGGATCACGGTGCCGTAGAAGATTTGATAGGCCATTTCATGCGTCTCATTCCGTTACCTGAGAAAATCCCGGAAGTTACAAAATTATAAGTCTCTTTAACAATATAGTTATTGGATTCTATCTATGGCTTTTAACAAATTAATGTCGCTTGGAGTGGTTGAGAGAATCTAAGTTATATATTCCATTAACGAGGAGCTTTTGAGACATATCATATCCTGCCAGCTGAATATTTACTGGCAGTCAAGTCTGGCAGCTGTAAGATATTGCTATTATGCATGATAGCTTTATTCATGATATTTTAAGGATGAAATTACTGTTATAATAGGTACTAGATGAAATGACAATGCAGTAGGAAGGCCCTTATAAATAAATAATTGTATTTTACTTAAGCGGTAATGATTGAGTGGTAATTAGGTAGAGAAGCCTATTTGTCGGTTTCAACCCTGGGTAGTATAAGATGATTTTGACTTGGGTATAATAAGCTATTTTGTCTTACTGAATTATACCCAACTTAAGAAGGCTAAAGAGCGTAAAATCCCAGCTGGCTCACTCAGGTTGGTTACATTAATATAGTCTTTTTAAACCGGCCTTATTTGTGGCCATAGCTACTGAGTTTTCCCGCTTTCTTTTCGCGATCGTCGGAACCCCGCGACGATAAGAACGTCTCACAAAGACATGAGACATACATAGTCCCGTTTTTATTATTTAGATGAGAAGTTATCTTGATACTCTATAGTGACTGATACGATAGAGACTGTAAAGGCTCGCTTAGCATTCAATAACTTAGTAAGATAGAAATGTATAAACCCAAAACAAGTAACTACACAATTCACACTCTTCTCATCCAAGGTATAGAAGTGTATCTGAACAAGTATTTCAAGAGATTGCCGGAGGTGGATCCCTGCCAACTCCGGTAAAGGGAACCCAGCATTAGACCTCAGTGAAGGTACTTCCGATTGTCGGCTTATGCCCTTTATTTACATGTACTTTCTTGGAAGGCGTTCTTAATTGCTGTGAAGGTGGAGTGAAATCAAACATTTGATATAGGTACCTACGTAACTAGTAGACATACAAAGAGACCTGTCAAATATCACAAATGCTATGACGAAGGTAGGACCTATGGGTCTTGGATACCTGGCCCGAGTCGAACCAGAATAAATGGAAGCAGCAGTACATATGTTACCCTGATACATGTAGGCGTTTGACGTGGCGACAAGCAGTAACCGACTGTTGTCGTACGGGCGCCTCGCAGTTACTTAATGAGGTACCTAGCAAATGGCAATTGCCCGTTAACTGCCCTAGAAACAGACCTCAGGCATGCACATATGCAGGTGCCTAGGTACCTCCTACCTTAGGTAGGTAGGTACGTGTACATGCAATTGGCCTAAGGAAGAATATTGGAAGAAGTTGGACCGAACGGAAAGTGCTATCTTCATTTTGAAACTAAAATTACATACGCGCACACATCAAATCCACAATCGTCTCTTTTTCTTGCACTTTTATGCAACACCAACAACATTTACATACTTCTGACGCGAACTTTTAACCAATCATGGCCTTGGACATGTCAGTCTACATGGCTATGGGCGATGAGGATATCGCCCTCGCCTTTCGGTTAATGCAGGAAGATGCTGAGCAATTCATGTCTACTTCCACTAGGAAGGGAAAACAAGTCGAGGGATCCGAGACAGACGCCCAAATGGCCTTTAACCTTCTTCTTGAAGAACTGCAAGCTGCAGAGACCTGTCTTAGCGATGAAAGAATGACTAGAAGCATGTTGAGAGCAATCCAATCTGACGGCGCCGTCCTTTCCCAGGCCTTTGATGAAGAAAATGTTGCTCAAGCTGACCATGAAATGTCACTCGCTTTAAGCAATGGACAAGATGAGGCCGTAGCCCAGCGAGCTACCCCTGAAGCCATGAGCAGTGATGAGGAATTCCTTGAGAAGCTTTCGGTCATTTACAATACTGGTTTTGATCACCCCACGAGTGGCATTGTCGATTACGATGACGATGATGATACGGCCACCATCAGCCAGCCGGAGAGTTCCTCATGGGCTGCTTCACGCCAACCTAGTAGACCACCAAGGACTTGCGACGCTTGTGGAGACCAAAAGCACTTCGCAGAGCTAGCTCGCGTTCCCTGCCGCCATGAATATTGTCGCGAGTGTCTCACACGTCTCTTCCGAGATGCCTCAAACGATGAATCCCTCTTTCCTCCGCGATGCTGCAGACAATCCATCCCCTTAGTTAAGAATCAGGTATTTATTGACAACGACGTAGTCCGGCACTTTCGCCAAAAGGCTCTCGAGTTTTCTACGCCTCGTCGAACATACTGCCATAACCAGAACTGCGCCCAATTTATTCCGGCAACTAATTACCTAAATGATATAGCGACATGTGGCGAATGCGGGTATCGAACCTGCATGACCTGCAAGGGTGCTACTCATAACGGTGATTGCCCAAATGACGAACAGCTTCAACAAGTCTTTCAACTAGCTACCGAACAACACTGGCAACGTTGCCAAAACTGCTGGGCGATGGTTGAGTTGAACACGGGATGTAATCACATGACGTAAGTTCGCGATAATCCTTACTATTAGATTCGTACGATGCATACTTAACCTTCAATAGCTGTCGATGCGGTTTCGGATTTTGCTATGTCTGTGGTAGTCGCTGGAAGACTTGCCGATGCGATCACTGGGATGAGCATCGTCTGTACGCACGTGCTGCTCAGATTGATGCCCGTGGCCAAGTTGAGGATGCTCCGGACGATGTGATACCCCGTGGAAATCTGATACCTCTTCGACTGAATCCAAATGGTCAGATACCCTTTCGGCACCCGGTTGCCAATCAGCAGCATCAGGCTTTGCAGCGGACAGCTCAGCAGTATGCCTTGGATCAAGAGCGTCGTCAACAGGCTCGGCAGGAGGTCTTGGATGAAGAGCGTCGTCCACAGGACATAATACACGAAATTGAAGAAGAGAGTGAAGAAGAGAGTGAAGGTGAAATAGAAGAGGAGCCCGAGGTAGTGGCACAACCAGTGGTCCAGCAGCCACGAGAACAACCTCCGTTTCAATTTCCAGTTCTTGACATGTTTCAACGGACGCGAATCCAGCAACTCATGGAAGACCTCAGACATAACCACGAGTGTCAACATGACCGATGGTTTTCTAAGAAAGGGCCTCGCGAATGCGAGGAATGTGGCGACGTCATGCCTATATTCATCTACGAATGTCGACAGTGTCATACTATGGCTTGCCGCCGCTGTCGGTACCACCGGTTGTAAAGACGAGAGGCAACATGTTCACGAAAGCAGCAGTCTCACTAGTACTTTTGAGCTGCGGCTTGGTAATCGGAGAGATACCAGTTAACTGGGTATTTCTAGGTCTACCATCTCACCTCCAGCGACCTAGAGGCGAATGACAAGAAAAACAAAAATTTTCATGGTGCAATTATGTACCCACAATATCCATTGTACAGATCACTAAGGAGTCAAGCTACATCTAGCATGGCATAGAGATGAAGTCGGAAATATATGTTTCGACTGGCTGTTTAGCTATTTACGAGTTAGCAGAGCATGTAGAGAGTGTATAGGGAGGTGAAGTGTAACGAGAGTACTAATAGGGGTAGAGTACTCGCTGTTAGTTCCATACAATCCGTAGGAACTATGAAACAAGCCTTAACTGTGGCTTTGATCAATATGCAGATTCTTCAGTTTATTTTATCATTGTGTGACAAGCATAGGTATCTCTTAATGAGTGCCAACTTTAGTTCGCCTTAACGCCGTCGGCTTGGTTCAAAGCCGTTGGTGTAGGTGCCCCTTTAGGAACGCAAAGGCCATCGTATAAGATAGTTACTAGAACCTACATCTGGAGGTGTAATTTCATATATTTTCCTTAAATCTAAACACAAGTAATTGCATCTATGGTATATATTAAGGTAAGTTGGATTGCATCCCATGTTGCAATCCCATACAATGCTTGATATATCTAGCAATATGTCCAATCTTCTACAAACCTCTAGAACTCTTAAGTCTTTCCTTGAGGAGCTTGTAGCCGCCGTGCCACTCCTCATCCAACCCCGGTAGCGGCTCTTTTCCAGCTTTCACCGCGTCACCGTTGACCCAAGTTAAGACTTCTTCTATATAGGCATCCTCCACGGCGAGCATGCTGTGGAACTTATCGTCGGGTTGGAACCGGGCTTTCCTTTCCTTATGTTCTTGCTTCATAGCCGACTTAGGCGGGAGCTTGGCGTGTCCTGCAAAGACTTTGGCTGCAACCTGGGCTTGGAAATCAAAGAGCGAAAATGTCGACACGTAGTGCGAGACCCCTATAAATGCTAGTGATGGATCTGGGATATAGAATATGTCCTTGTGTAGGTTATGCGTGATGTAGCCGTCGGATGTTATGAGCACCTTGTCGTCAGCGTCTTGCCACGGGAGTTGAGGCTGTTCTAGATCCCCGAGAAAGGGGTAGGTGGTGATGTACCCCGTGGCGATTACGACGCGGTCGATACCTTCTATAACTTGCCCGTCGTCAAGTACGGCTTTGCCGGGTATTGCTTGACCGGAACTTAACTCCTGGGCTTTATCGTCTTCGGAATTCTCATCGATGACGAACTTGGCGACCAGTGGGACCCTGGTGACGCCTTCGGGGAGACGCGATCCAAGTACATCATACTTGCTTACTCGTCTACTTTGAATTATTTTAGCTCCCAACGCAGCCGTCTCGTTTGCGATATCAACGGCTGAAACGCCAGCGCCAATTATGAGCACAGTCTGATTGGCGAAGGGAGCGGGTGTCCGATATTGCTTTGAGTGGGTAATTCGGTCCGGGAATCTTTGCTTCCATGCTGCTAATCCCGGAATATCTGGGACGAACGGGGTATGGTAGTGGCCACTCGCCACTACGACTGCGTCAAACTTCCAGGTCTTCTTCGTCAGCGTGTGGCCAGAATCCGTCCTCGTAAATGTGCTTGTCTTCACGGTCCATTTGCTGTCGCCTTCGGGCTTGGACACGCTTTCCACTCGAGTGTGGAAGTGTACGTGGTCGTTGACGTTGTGCAGCCGGGCGATATCGTTGATATATGTGTTGACCACCTTTTGGTCCACGAAGTCCTCGCTACCTTCTGGCCAATGTAGTAGACTGCTTCGCATGACAGGGGTTGGGATGTTGTTTTTCAACCCGGCGTAGCTGTGAAAATGTTAGTATCACGTGTGGGAATTCAATTGATTCTAACTCATTATATTATGAAATCTTCATAATAACTCGAAGATGGCTAGGGATAAATTCTGGTATGAGTAGAAGAGAGAATTATAAATAGTATGCTTTGATACGTACCAGGGATTAGGCGGAGCATGTATCAGCGCAACTTCATCTGAGCTTAGTCCTTCCTTCTCGACTTCTGACCAATTCGGAGCAGGAGGTCTAACATTAGGGAATGGTGGGGCTCTGTCTGCTTGAGGTTCGTAGTCCCATACGCCGCCGACTACGCCGGTCCGCTCGAACGCGGTGACGTTGAACCCGGCCCGGAGGAGGTGGGCCGTTGACACCACTCCGCTTATGCCGGCACCGATGACAGCCACATCTTTGATGTCACCGAGAAGTGGACCGTCCTCAGTCTTACTGTCATTAGTTAGGGAACCCATTGCGATCGTCTCAAAGAGAGGGGTGAAAGACCACAAGACATAAGGAACCGCGCCGAGATATGAATAGAAGCGGAAACTACGGATAACTGTGGAACATAGTGCTGTTGATCACCTCATTTTCTACTTGAGATAACAATCTGCCCATTTCAAAATGCTTTTGGTATGATTATAAATCGTGGGATTCCTCTAGGCTAGGTGAAATGAGACCATCTGCCATACCGATTACGTGCTTTTGGAGAAATGTCAGTATCACAAGCGGACCACGTGGAGGAGCATGCTACCCGACAGGGGAAGTAAGATAACAACAGCCTCAAATGTAAGTCAATGGTCTTATTTCGGCGTATTTTTAGTTAGATCCGTACCTAACTAAAATCTCGAGGAATACGATATATTATGTTTAGCCCGGTATGGCACAAGTTTAGGAATTCGTATAGTTGACATGGTTTATATTAGAAGTACGGTCTAGACTTTAGTAGCAGCTATCCTAGTTCTCTAGGCCGCTCCTGCATTCAATAGTTGGGCCTTTTTAGCTACTTCCCGATGATGTAGCGTCCGTATCGTGAGAGAAGTGACGATAAGACCGGCGGCGAGGAAGACCATGGTAATAAACCCCTTGTGATACTGAGGTCCGTCGACTTGTTGCCAAATAATTAGTGGCAGCCACGCCTGGACTACGTAGGCCATCTCGTTCATAGATGCTACTACGAAAGCTCGCTCCTCATTATCACCACTGCAGATCTCGTGTGCCCACGCAAAGGTCAAGCCACTGATTCCTCCCCCGATCATACCAATGATGTAGCAAAACCACTTCCAACCAGTAGGAATATTCCACACGGCGAGACTAGTGTTGGTGATGATATTGACCACCCCTGAGAATACCATAGGCGGCCATCGAGCACCTTTGAAAAGAGAATCGGATGTCCAGGCATATATATAGGTGAAGATCACAGCGATAGCTGCGGCAATCGTAGGATACGAATTGATAGCAGCGATACTGTATCCTTCTTGTTTCAGCCAGAGCGCGAAAGCTGGCTGACTACCATACCCTACTCCATTATTGAAGAAGATGTAAAGTAGGGTAAGCGCGTAAATGTGCCACGAGGTGAAGATCTTCTTGAACGTGGCTTTTGTGTATTTCCCCCTGTTGGCTCGGCCTTCAAACTCCATGCGCTTATTTGCTAGCACTATCTCGTCCTTCGTCAACCACCAAGCGCGAGTGATTTCCGGTACGTCTGGGAAGAAGAAAAACCCCGCTATGGCAATTGGCAGCGATATTATGGTGTTGATGATGAAAAGCCATTGCCATCCCCGGTAGCCACTTGTACCATTTAGTTGATACACAGCCGTCATCAGATAGCCGGAGAACATGCTACCTATGGAGCCGCTGGCGTGGAAGATACAGCTTCTCTTAGCGAGCTCATCTTTCCGATCTGTTATAAAGTTAGCGCCTAACAAAGAAAGTGGGGATATTCGTGACCGTGCTCGGGTTTATAGTCCATAGGAGAAAAGGGGTTAATGGATATTATATAGAATTAACATACTAAGAATACGTTAGCATCGCGTTCAACATCTAGAATCTAAAAAGGGGTCAAATTATGGCAATACATACCACCAACTTCCGATAATGTACTGAATGCCTGGATAATAGCTGCTTTCTGCAAGCCCAATGAAGAATCTAAGGGCGTAGATTTGTTCGGCTGTTTGACATTTTGAAAGCAAAATCGTCAAAACTGACCAGACCACTTCGCAGGCTGGGATAAATATTGACGGTCGGACCTTAGTTAGGAGCATGTTACTATTACCGTTAGTAAAATCAGAGCTGAAGTTTAGAGAAAAGGGGTTCCAACCTTGGGATTTCACCAATAACATAGCCAACTGTCCAACATGTGACCATGTAGTTGAGCTGATTACCGTAAAGACCTAAATCTTCCTTCATACCGGACACGAAGGCACTGTTGACATTAACTTGATCGAGATACTTGATAAAGTATCCCAATGAAGCGAATGTCAGAATCACCGCGTCAAGCTTAAACAGAAACCGTCTCTCCTCGGGGGACTTGTCAAACGTGTCCCAGAAATAGGACCGCCATGTCTGTTTTGGCTTCTCGACGACTGGTGATAGTGACTGAGTATGAGTTGAGTCAGCATCGCTATGATCCGTGCTCTTAGCCGCCACGTCGCCGCCGGCTTCGGCTATGACCTTGTTCGAGGAGATCTCCTTGCTTTCCATCTCGTATTACTCGAATACACTTTCTACGAAAGGTGAAGATTCAAACCCAAAAGTCAGAACTCCCGGGGCATTCCGATTTAAAAACATCCGGATTATCTGAGGCTATACAGGGGTTACGCACGCTTTTCTCCGTGTTGAAAAAAAGTCCATCCCACGCCTCGAGAAACAAGGATTCCAGTGTGCCATCTCACATGCAGATTCCCCTGTTCATATCGACCCAGATCGATCCAGCAAGAGGAAGGTCTGATTTATGATTATCAATGAGGTCGCTCTCCCTGTCCCCTGTATCTCTAGGACTCGGTCATGGACCGTGGTCGCGAACTTCCGTCATATGGTGATATCTGTATAATGTATTTACTTTCCGAGCGGCGTGTTGGGGAACTACACTCTTCCATGGCTCATGCGACTGTATGTGCTGCAACAGTGCGGGGTTGGATATGTTGTATGCTGTTGCTGCTAAGAAGCGAGTGAGATTGAGGCGACAAGGTGGTGGTCACCTCAAACATGGCTGCCATGACGCCATGTTATAACCCCACAGAAAGCACCGAATAGTACCACATTACGCATACGACCTGCACTCGAGACGCAATGCTTCTCGCATCATCCTTCTCCAAGATCACGTATTGATAAGGGACTCCAATGACGGCTTTGATAAATCGCGGGGAACAGCCTACTCCTCAGTAGATGCTGCAAGCAACTTCGTGGCTATTACTGCTGATATTGTGTCAAAGCAGATACGGCTTACCAATCCTCCTATCCTGACAGTACAGCTTGCCTGTTGAAATGGAGAACTACCTTTCGTAGGATCATTGGGAAATGAGGTCAATGGTTGGGAGTCTCCAATTCCATGATTATAATGTTATATATTCGTAAAGGTCGTACGAGACGGTGGTGAGGGGGTAATAGTATAGAAGAAAGACAAGTCTACCAAACAACTTGTTCAAACATTATCAAGTAACTACCACTACTACTATATCAAAAGTTCCGTCGATATCTAATATTGTGACAATGGCACCTGCACCAATTGATGAACGTATCAAGGACGTTGCGCCGCCACGTAAAGATACGCTTGGTCTTCCTGAGCCCGCTCTCCAGCGTCTAAAGAAGGCGGGTATTGACCTGTCAAACGGCTATCCCTATCGCCCGGCCAGGCCACTCTACCTTCAAGATGTCTATAACATTAGAAGCAAAGAATGGAAGCATGAAGACGCCGGAGCGCGTGCGGATAAGTCAAAGTCGGCACTGCTCTCTGCCGCCACTAAAGTCACGGACCTCACTGCTCATATCGGAACTGAGATTGAGGGATTGCAATTGAAGGACCTTACAGATCAGCAAAAAGACGAACTAGCCCTCCTCATAGCTGAGAGGAGCGTCGTCTTCTTCAGGAATCAAACGGATCTGTCGCCTCAAGATCAGCTAGCTCTTGGAAAGTACTATGGAGAGGTCGAGGTTCACGTAAGTGTTATTCTAATACAAACACCATCAGTGATGTGTAGGTACCTAATATACATATGCTCATTTCCGAAACAGCCCCAAGTAGCGCAAGTCCCTGGTAACCTAGGCGTAACTGTTATATGGCCCGATCTGCAAGCTACCGAACGGGTGGCTAACTTCAGAAACCCTGGAGGAGCTTCGCGGTGGCATACAGATCTCGTGCACGAGCTGCAGCCAGCCGGGATCACGCATCTCCACAACGACACTGTCCCACCCGTTGGCGGCGACACGCTCTGGGCGAGCGGATATTCGGCCTACGAGAAGCTATCGCCGGATTTCCGCAAGATTATCGACGGCAAGCTAGCCGTGTACCGCTCCGCGCATGGGTACCTAGACCGGGATCACCCTGAGCAAGGCCCCAAGTTCGTCGAACGCGTGCACCCGCTCGTTCGCGTGCACCCCGCCACAGGCTGGAAAGCTCTTTGGGTTAACAGAGCCATGACCGATCGCATAGTTGGCTTGGACCGTGCGGAGAGCGACGTCATCTTGAACTACCTCTTCGATGTCTTCGAGAAGAACGTGGATATCCAAGTGCGATTCCGCTGGACAGCAGGGACCAGCGCGCTCTGGGATAATCGCATAACTATTCACAACGCGTCGTGGGACTATAATGGCAAGTATCCTAGGCACGGAACCCGTGTCACTTCGTTAGCTGAGAAGCCATATTTTGATCCGGCGGCGCCGACTCGGCGCGAGGCTCTGGGGCTCTTGGATGAGAGCGAGAAGCAGATTGATGGACCTGCTTGAATGGACAATGTACCTGTAGTCAAACGGAATGGAATAAACCAATATGCCTCATAACGCCATTCTACTAGAGCAACGTTTGTGGACAGTCTGAGTTATGAAAGTTGACTGACGATGGTTTCAAACGAGCTCGAATTATGGAGCGTAGAAATTTGACGCCCGGACATTCTAGCTACACTGAGCTTTTATCAAGCCACGCCCAAGGCCTAGGATGTAAAGGGGGTAGAAGTGATGAATGAGTAATGCTGTGTTAACTGAAATTCGAAATTAATTCACGACTAATTCATGGCCTCTTCTGTACGGTTCGGTAGAGCCCAAGCGAAATAGATAATTGCGAGGAAAGTATTCTGGTACCCTATTCATGCCTAAGATAGCGGAGTGCACTATGCAGGCTCGGCCCAATTCCTATAGCTTTCCCAGAGCAGCGAACTAGCATACGAGGAAACGGATTACCCCATACATACGACAATGCTTCAAGTCGGGGGCATCGTCTAGGGACATCGTTTAGGGATGTTATGGCCAATTCACATGATATGTCTTCTGATTTCTGACCACAATGGAGTCTCAATAGGCGGATGAGCCGAGGAGATGGCAGTGCTTCATACTCGTAATTAGTAACCATGCTGGATGAAAGCTACCGGTACACAGAATGATCATCAAAGGCACCTACTTCGAGTTAATAATCTCCACGAGGCTCTGAGGCATATTTTCAACTCTTGGAATAGCTAGAAAGCCCGAGTGGCTGAGTTAATACTATAAAGTGTCTGCATGAGATGAATTAACGAGTTGCCTCCATTGATTGGAGAATAAGAAACTGGGTAATTGTAGATGCAGGCAGCTTCGCCATCTGAACACCAATCATAAAGAATGTGAGTGGCTGAGGCTTATGTAGGACCTAAAGACTTCAATTTTAATGGTGCTTACGAACTAAGCATTCAATAGAATTGAATTAGGCATTCAACTAGGCTGCAGCGCTGAAGAACTTTCCGTCTAGGCTATGAAAGAATTTAGGGTGGTAGTTGTATCTTCACAGCCCCGCTGGATGCCTCCATATAGGGGTCGGCTTCCGCAAAGAAACGGGAGAAAGCTATCGAAAGGTCGACAATTAAGGGTATTCAAGTTTCATAAAGAATAATTTGAAAAGGTTCTAAGCCCTTTTACTTATGTTTTAATATAAGTCCTGCTCTATCCCTTATCCCTACGGCGGCCTACGTTACCACCTCGATCGTGGAACGACTTCATAGCAGTCAACCGATACCAGTCTAAGTTGTAGGAACGTTAGCTTGCTACCATGGCTGGAGAAGATATTACAGAGAAAAATGCACCTACAGCTCAGGACGAGCCAAAAATGAACGACAAAAACCCCGAAGGCATAGAAGACGCCGATAGCGAATCCGCTGCTACATCAAGCAACTCGACAAATGGCATAATGACGCCTGCTACTACAGAAGATGAAGTGTCCCAGCCAGAATTACCCTCCTGGTTCAAAAGTTGCATCAAAACTTTCGAAGAACTAGCAGAATGCGATATTCCGTTGACTATCAATGATGCATCAAACAATCAAGCTCCCGAGACTGAAAAGCCTGATCATTATGTTATTGATTCTGTGATGTATGAGAGCCTCTTTGACATCGTGTTTCCTCGAGGTACGAAGGAGCAACAAGACGATTCAGATATGGAGCCACCTAGAAAGTTTTGTCATGATGCTATGGCACTCCGGATGCCACACGAGTCCCACGGTCAGCAGTTTCTAAATCTAGTGGTACAGCGCTTTGCAAGAGACATTGGCGCCGATATCATCACCTTGGGATTACACGATTTTGAAAACCTTGCGACTCATTTTGCCACACTATCGGGTCATTCCCTTCCCGAGGGTATGTCGACATTTAGAGATCTCTATTTTGAAGAACCTGAAAAGCCGTCGGAGACGCCGAAGTCCGATGAGAAACCGGGTACTTCGTCATCAGATCCTGAAAAGCCGAAGTCAACGGATACAGAACCAGAGAAACCAGAGAAACCAGAGCCCGAAAAAGAAGCAAGAAAGAAGCTTCCATTTCCGTTCGCGCAATTGTTTACCTCGACATTGGATAAAAGGGGCTCGCAGGTAGGTACCCCAGAAAATAAAGAACGTCCCATAATCATATTACTACCCGAAGTCGCGGACGACTTCTACAAATCCCCTCGCAATGTCTTGACTCATCTGAGGGATGCCGTCAAAGAGGCTAAGGATCAAGGAAAAGAGATTGCTGTCATTGCCATTGATAACCAGGAGGATCGGATATATGGTTGTTATTATTGGGGACCTTCACCTTCAGATGATGACGGGTTCCTCTCTGATCTCGGGTTTAATCCAGTCAAGGCGGTGCAGATAATAGTGCCGGTCAAAACCGACTTACAGAAAAAGCTACTTGAACAGGACCACAAGAAGACGACACAGAAAGTTAATATCCGGAAACTACAGAGGAAGGTCCAGGAAGGACAAAAAGTCCCGTCTTTCTCGGGATCGTTAGAGCCACACGTCGACTGGAGACTCTCGGAAGAGAGTTTCGCCACAAAACGGCTTAATGACCCTAACTTCAACGACCGCGAAATTGAGTTAACGGCCAGTGCCTTGGGCACCAACTCAGATATCGAAAACGTCGAAAGGGTGTTTGCGAGACTCAAGGTGCTGCACGAGTGGATGGAAGAAGAAGAGAAGACACCACCGCCGGGACAGTGGGATAGCCTCCACGAGGATGCGCGGAAAGCAATTGAGACGATTAAGGGTGATTCCTGCAAATACAAACATGAGAACTCATTGCTGGACTCTATTGTCAGCTCCGGTGGGTTTCCTTACTTACTTACTACCTAACCTACAGAACTTTTCTCCTATGACTAACAACCATCTACATAGACACCGTCGAACAGAGCTGGAAAGACATCGAAGTCGACGAAGATACCAAAAGCACCATCAAACAACTCGTAGACCTAGCCAGCTCCGACCCAAAATCCCAATATGGCCTCTTAAGCAAGTCTCGCATCCGCGGCGCCTTGCTCTACGGCCCGCCGGGAACAGGAAAAACACAACTAGCCCGAGTCCTGGCGCACGAGTACAAAGCCGTGATGATACACGTCTCCGCGGCCGAGCTCGAAAGCAAGTGGGTAGGGGAATCCGAGAAGCAGATCAAGGCGCTCTTCAACCTCGGTTCGATGGTTGCTCCCAGCATCATATTCATCGACGAAGCGGATGCCCTGTTCCGGAAGCGCGGCCCGGACGACCGGAGCTGGGAACGGAGCCGGCTCAACGAGTTGCTGAACCAGCAAGACGGGTTGAAAGCCTCCAAAATGCCGCCGTTCTTACTGCTCGCCACGAACCATCCAAACGACCTCGACGACGCCGTCATGCGCCGTGTACCCGCACGCTTGTTCATCGGCCTACCATCGCGCTCCGCCCGCGAGAAGATCTTCAGCATATTCCTTCGCGACGAAAAGGTAGACCCGAGCGTGAATCTCTCACAGCTAGCCGGCCGCACCGCCGGCTTCACCGGGTCAGACATCAAGACGATCTGCACCCAAGCAGCGCTTATCTGCCAGGACGAACTCGACAAGGCCGAAAAGTCCAGCGAAACCCGGGTGCTGACCAAGGGACACTTCGACGCCGCGTTGGCGCGAACCGGTCCGACCGTTTCCGACGGCGCCGTCCGGCAGATCCGAGACTTCGCCAAGAAATTCGACCCTTCCGCAGTTCAGAAGATGGACAGAGCAGCAAGCAGAGCCCAAGAATTCCCCCTGCCGTCGCCGTGGAGGAACATTGCTGATCCAGGGCTTACGGCTCTAGATGGCATCTGGAGGGGGGTATGATAATATTCCAGGCGGTAAGAGACCTAAGATGAATGACTTTTTGGATGGATTTAGAAATCCGCCTGGGAACGTAGATTTCGAAGACGAGTTGCTCAAGTTTAAGCAATACGTTGGATGAAAAGATGCGTAATAGAATGTGGTAGGACCTGTAGCGTAGGATTAATTCAGTACCTAGGTACCTAGGTAGGTATACAGGTTAGATTAGTTGAGCTTGGGTGAAGAAAGGCACTGCATTTGGAGATAACAGAATACAGCAGTAATTTTTAGCCATCAAATTTCAGCGTCACTTATCAGGGGTATCCATACAAATCTTTATTGGAAAATCCGTATTGGTTTCTGGTCATCATATTCGTCTCTATAGGTAGTACCTACATTCATATCTAATCCTCTAAGCAAAAGTAATGGACCAATCGGCGCCGATCTTGGTACCAATACGTCCTATGACCGCAAATGCGCCCCTATTACCGTCCGCCTTGTAGTAAGTAAGCGGTACTGAGACTTTCTTGCCCTCAGACTCAACAATCACTTCCTTCTTGCTAGCCCAAGACGAAGGCGCCCCGATGACGATGACCTTGTCGACGGCAACGTTGCGCATCCGCTTTAGCCAGTCTCCTTCTTTAATGCTCTGAGAATCACGACCTTCCGCATCGGTAGAAGCAAGCGTTGAGCCCTCGAGCTTGAACTTGCGGTGGATGTATTGCCCCTTTTCGTAATCGAAAGAGTCACCATCGTCGACGTACAACTCTCCTTCTGCTTCACCGTTCTTGCCAACGGCTACGACGAGGGTATAATCGTCGAACTTCATGAGCTGGGAAGAACGTCGTGGGATGTCACGGCGGGGGAGGATGTGACCACCCCGTATCAAGACAGGGATAGCCTCAAGGGGTGCATCCACGGTTAAGTGCTTGCCCTTGGTTGTGGGTAGCTTCTTGTAATTGAAATAGTCATAGTAGGCCTCACTATCTGGGATATAAATCTCCGTAGAAGCTTTGCCCTTCTCCACGATTGGCTTAACTAGGAGACCTGTCGATCCAACGAAGAACTGGTCGTCAATGTCAAAGCCACCTTCCTCGCTTGGGTGCGTCCAATATAGAGGGCGTATAATGGGGCTTCCGTCACGGTTGGCGTGGTAAAAGGCAGTGTACCAAGCTGGAAGTAGACTATAACGAAGGCGAAGAGCAGAGGTAATGATAGACCGGTGCGGCTCCGCGAGTAGGAATGGCTCCCGGCGTCGAGCATCAATATGAGCGTGTCCTCGGAAGAAGGGGTAAAAGGCGCCAGCTTGGTACCAACGACTCTGTAGCTCTAATTCCGGATTGCCGAAGAAACCGCCGACGTCGGCACCAGAGAAGGGGTATCCAGAGATTCCTTGAGCAAGGATCATGGGGATAGAGGCCCCAAGGTGTTCCCAGCTGGCCTGGTTATCACCAGTCCACATGGCTCCAAGACGCTGAGAACCAGCATAGAATGACCTGGTGAGTATGAATGGACGTCGCAGCTCGCCCTTCTTTCGGGAAAGGAGAGCCTCATATGTCGCATTGTGGAAAGTCATTCCGTTGACGTTATGGACGTCACGATGCTCCCAATCACCATAATGAAGGTTGTCTTTTGGCATGGTAACCTCGGGTCCATTAAACACGGACGGTTCGTTCATATCATTCCAGATGAAGGTATTCTCCATAGTACCCTTGAACGCATCATAATTGAAAAGGGATGACCACCATTTGATGGCAGCAGGATTGAACGCGTCGATCCAGTGAGAAGATCCTGGCCAACACCAGCCATCAAAGTCATTGCCATCCTTATTCTTGACGGCTAGGCCCTTCGACTTGAGCTCGTCAGACACATGATAGCCGCCCACATTTTTGATGTGCGGATCAATAATGGTGACCAATTTTCTTCCATGAGCATCCAAATGCTTACCCATGGAAATCGGATCCTTGAACATGTCCTTATCCCAAGTAAAGTACTTTTTGTCGTCGGTATACTCGATGTCAAGCCAAATGACATCATATGGGATGTTGTACCGATCCATCTTACGGTCGACTTCCTTAACGTCGTCGTCCGAGACATAGTTCCACCGACATTGGTGATACCCAAGGGAGAATTCCTGAGGTAATGCGGTAGTACCAGTAAGCTCGGCATAGCTCTTCGTTATATCGTGGGGAGTTGGTCCAAGGAAAACAAAGACGTCCATCAAGCCGGATTCCGAGATCCAATGAGTTTGAGTGTTTGTTTTGGCACCAATTCCAAGAGCCAGGGGATTCTTGGATTCCTTAGTTTTAATGATGTCAATCCAGGTTTCGGCGGCATTGAGCCAGAAAACGCCAACCGTAGAGTCCTTTCGCTGAGCTTGCATGAAAGGGATCGCACCATATAGGGTCATTGGGCTGTCCAAGATGTACTCGAAGACATCAGCATTGTACAGCCTGTAGGGCTCCGCATAGTTGCCTTCGCCGCCACGCGTCTCTTTTAACGACAAGGGGCCGGCGTGTTCCGGAATTCCATAGACATGCTCGTAACCAAAAAAGGTGATATCAAGTGCAACACTCTCGGGGCCGCGGGGCTTGGAGTCGGTGTTCCCACCAAAGGCCTCGTCCCACCAAGTGCTCTCGTCTTCTGACGGGGCTACTTCAGGGGTTTCTTCCTTCTTTTCTTCTTGCGATTCCTCCCCTTCTTTCTTCTCGGGTGTTGGCTTCTCGATCTTTGGTCGCCAATGCTCCAAATTCATCAATCCTCGGTCGTTAAACTTGATTTGAGTGACGCCGTCCCGTTTAAACTCGATCGAATACGGCTCGTAGGTTATATCAGCCTCGAATGCGGAGTTAGGGCCGTACTGGATTTTGATTCCGGACTTGCTCTCGTGGGAAACTTTGGCATCCGTGTCAACGTCCAAGCCACCGACGATAGCCCATTTCTCGGCTTCGTTATATCTTTCTTTCCTGGCTTTGCTATTGTGCCTTAGCTCGATGTCTTTCTCTTGCCTCTTCTGCTCGTCAACAGAGACACGTGCCGTACCCGACTTCAAGAAAGATACAGTGAGAGGGAGCCGAACAGTGTTTCCTTGTTCGTCGATAGTCTTCAGGATTGTAGCTTGGAATTGGCCATCTTTGAACGAGGCTAGTTCGGGAGAGATCTTATACGGTGCTTGCCAAGAGGATCCCAGGGAAGCTGCCTTGTCAGCGTAGTCCCTACTTCTCTTGCAGAAGCCCGACTGGTGGCATTTCTTGAAATCGTTTTCCTTAACCGCCACTATTTCCGATTAGCTACCTTGGGATATTAGTTTAGTCTGTGGTTAATATTTTACCTCCTAGTCTAAAAAGAGAGCATAGGACAGCGAGAAGGCACAAGAAAACCGGCCATCTGGAGGATAGGCGACTTGTACCAGGACCGGCCATATTTGGTCCCTTGGCACGGCGTCCCTTATAAGGGTTATGAATGTAGAGGAAACCAGCAATAAGTATTAAATAAAGGATAGGACTAAATTAAAGGATGTCATGGATATAGGGTCATGAGATTAGCTGTGAGATTGCTTTGCGGAATCGCAAGCAATTGTATTTTATGTGATTTAATTGTGGGAGACCAGAGAAGTTGATGCTAGCTGTCCGTTCAAAAAGACAGCTCAATGCTACTTTTGGTACAAGCTTCCCCGAATTTAACCAAACACTGGGGTTAATCTTCCCCACTATTCCCATCATTATCTCATTGGAAGCAGTGGACCTCTGAGATCTCTAACAGCCCGATAAGCCACAAATGTACCTAGCCTAAGCATTGGCTTCTCATCACTAGCCACACTACGGACAATATCGGCCAATTGTTCAATTTGTTTACTTAGAAATATAGAAATACTCATATAGTAGTGGTTTGTTGTAAAAAATGCGGTCATAACCCTTCACTTATTTTGTCATCACACTTTCTATAAGTTACACATGCACATAGCTATTATTTTAATAAATCCTAAAGCTCCTAGTTGTGATCATACATACATAGGTAACGGTTGCTTCTGTACACTCTCTTCATCCACTCTCCTATTTAGACACATTAGAAAAAGTTGACCACCAATCATATCAATGGTTGCTCCCACATGTGTATCGACCTGAATATCCTCAAGAACCCCTGAAATACTTAGTCGGCTACTATTCTGGAAATACATTAGGTAGTTGAGGAAAAGCACCCTGTTCCATTATCCAAGATGTACAAGCCACAGGATGTTTCGAGACGCCACAAAGCCCCTGTTTCGGTTCCAGGTCCAGGTCCAGGTCCAGTTCCAAATGAGACCCACAAGGTTGAAAACCATAGCAAACCCAATCGCGGGCAACAGCGACCGCCCAATGTGAGATTCTTAGGCCTAATACCCCACTATAGCCGTCACCCCACTCTCCATCTTTTCTTCACAATCTTTGGAAGCGCCGTCCTCCTATTTCTTTTATTCTTCCTTTTTCCCTGGAAGACTCAACCAGATCGTCAAGGTTGGACATTTAGGCAAAGCATCAAGCACGACTTAGACAACCTCAAGGGATCTTTCTCTCCTTCTACTTCGACGGTCACTACTACCACAACTCTTTACCAAACAGTACCTACCCCGCTATACTCTCAGGAGGTTGTACCAGAAGCCAAAATGTCTACCGAACAGACGTGAGTTACCCTACCCATTACCCTATTTGAAGGGTAGTAAATGCCTTTCCACGAAGTAAATCTAATAAGATATTTATAGTTTCATTGCTATCAAGCCCGACGGCGTCCAGGTATTTCAATTCACCTATACGGAAGCTCTCGAATATTTCCTAACCTTTAATTCTAGCGTGGCCTTGTTGGTGCCATTATCTCTCGCTTCGAGAGCCGAGGGTGAGTTGAATAACCCTATCATATTCTCAGATTACGATCTAACTGTAAAATAGCTTCAAGCTTGTCGCCATCAAGCTGGTTGCCCCCGGCAAGGCCCACCTCGAGAAGCACTGTAAGCCGGTGCCATCCTACCGAAGCACAACATTTGTGAGCTAACACAATCGTAACAGATGCCGACCTCGCGGACAAGCCTTTCTTCCCTGGTCTAATTGAGTGTATGTCACTATAGCAGTTATAGCGCCTTTCATCACGGCTAACCCAAGCTTAGACATGAACAGCGGCCCGATTGCCGCCATGGTCTGGGAGGGTCTTGATGCTGTCAAGACTGGCCGAAGTACGTTCAAACCCTATATCATTAAATGTACCAACACTAACCATTACTTTCAGCTCTCCTTGGTGCCACCAACCCCCTCGCCTCTGCCCCCGGTACCATCCGTGTAAGTAAACAAAGTTTTTACGATATTCCAATCAAAGCTAACAGCTTGTAGGGTGACTTCGCTCTCCAGACCGGCCGCAACGTCTGCCACGGCTCCGACAGCGTCGAGAACGCCAAGAAGGAGATTGCTCTGTGGTTCAACGAGGGCGACCTTGTCAACTGGGAGAGCGCCCAAGCTAAGTGGATCTACGAGTAGAAAAAAAACTATTGTGATAGAAATCCGCATGACGTGAGGGTAGTTTGATCTGGCTTGGACAAGCGAAACAGACAAAATCATGTAGTCGGATCAGACTAAAAGTGCACATTGCAATAAACCAAGAATTATAGACAAATAGAAGCCTCTATCCGTAATGCTACGTTTGCATGTTTAGACGGGAGTGGCTTTATTCCTAGCTACGCTTTTTCCACAAGGAGCGCCTCGCGGTTACAAACCCCCTGGCTAACCAAGGGGTCGCCCATAGACTGATTGCTATCCTAGGTATTAGCAACGCTTTTGTTATTGCGTAGGCCGCTGCAATTTGTATACCAATCTTATACCCCTTTTCCGTATTCTCGGCTGTGACTGTATCCTTGACCTTCCGCCAAGCCTTTGCACTTTTGCCCTCCCCAGCTCCATCTACATGTTCTTCACTCATAGATATATCACCAACATCATCCTCACCTTTCCGCCTCCAAGACCCAAACCAACTCCCCCCACTTCTCCCTTTCTCCTTCTCCATCTCCGCCTTTAACCTCCTCTCCAACTTCTCCTCACCCTCCTTCCCCCCATCCGCCTCGTCTCCCAGCCCAAACCAGCCTTTCTTCCGAAACCAGCGCATATACCGCGCCAACCCCTCCTCCGCCCACGCCGCCCACGGCCCTAGCACCCATGCCGTCGGCATCCAGTCGGCGCGGTGGAAAGCGTATGCTAGCCCGAGCAACGGGACCGCGGCTGTGATTTCGTGTAGCACTAGAAACGCTGCTACATGCGAGAACGGCGCCGAGCGCAGCTTTTCGAGATACGGCCGGAGACGCTTGGGGAGCCAGCGGCTGGTGCGCGTGAGGATGGCGTCGAAGCGTCGGGTTTGGCGGGCTTGGGACTCGGAGGAGGGGTCCGGAGGGGAGGATTGGTTGGTGGATTGGAAGCGTCTGTTTCGTGGGTGAGGTGTAGTTCGGATGCGCAGGGCGTGTATAGGTGTGGTTGGGTTTGAAGGTCGGGAGTGGGTGGAGAGGAAGCGGGCTTGTCGCAGCCAGCGGGCGTGGATGGTGGATGACATTTTGGACGCTCTCTGTTTAATCGTAACGCGGATTTTTGAAAATACTAGATCCGTAGGAAGTAAGTCCCTGGGTTCAATTTATATCCGCCGGGGAGCACAATCCTACCGTAGGATGTGGGAGGAGAAACGGCTTTCCGTAGCTTTAGAAATTGTTGAGATGAAGCTCGAGTTGGGGATATCTACGGAATAGAATATCTAGAATACGGAATTGCATGTGGAGAGCGGCGATGTGGGGCTAAGCAATGACGACTTCTATGCCACATTGCGATCCTAAAAGCTTGGTAGGATGCAATATCAAAATGTAGATACCTAATAAGCAAATAAGAATAAGGGGATATAATCTCTCCCTTTTTCAAAGGCCTTGTATTCTTATTTCAGGTATATAAAAATTCCGTAGGACTTATAGCGGGAATTGCGCGCCTAACCCATTAGCCACCATGCTCTCCGGCTGTAAACCCTTACCCTCAGCCAAAACTCCCGCCTTGCGCAAGATATTAACACAGCTCTGAATGACCTTCAAGTCCACGCCTTCTGTCTTAGCAGCAAACTCTACCGTGAGTAGCCACTCTCTCGCATCTGCCTCCGAATAATCAAGCTCAGTGCTGATATACTTGACTGCCTCATCTTGATGCGAGGCGAAGTAGTTAATACCCTTATCGAGCTTCTTAAACAGGTCGAAGAGTCGCTTATCCGGGTTTTGCTCCGGCAGCAGCGCCGTCGACGCCACGATCTTCCAGCTGCTCCACGGCGTGTAGATATCCCCGACGCGCCGGATCTCCCCGCTATCGTAGTACCGCTTCGACGTGAAATGCTCCCACATGAAGAAGTCGGCTGTGCCGTCGTTAACCGCTTTCCGGAGGTTCTCGAAGTTATGCAGCACTACGAAGTCTGAGTACGGCGATTCACCAGGCTTCAACCAGCCCTGCTGGTCGGCTAGTACGTAGCCCATTACTTGGCTGCCAGAGCCGATGCGTGAGATCCCGATCTTAGATCCCTTCAATGAGGACACGGAAGTGATCTCGGGTCGTTTTGCGCCGGTCGAAATCGCCCAGCCTGTATATGAATGTCAATAAGTCTCACGTAATTCATATAAGACGCCACTGTGGTTTAGTTAGGTTAGGTAATTTACAGAGAGGGGTTTCCACGTAAGTCCCGACGATGCGGTAGCCGCCATCACCAGGCGTATCTTCCTTGCCAAGACCCGCAACCCAAGCTTCCGTCAACCCAATGCCGACATCGATCTCGCCGGACCGGATAGCCGTAATCATATGGCCCGTTCCGGAGGGGAACGGAATCAAGGTCGCTGTGAGACCGAAGTACTTCTGGGCGAAGTGGAGCGGCGTAGAGAAGTGCTCCGGCACGAAGCCGATCCGGAGGGATTGAGAAGATTCTGCCATTTTTGCCTTTTCCGGTTACACGGATTGCCAGGTACCTATTATAATAAATGGGCAGCTCAGCAATTACGTAGGTAGGTAATTCCAACAAGAATATCCACTAATTGAAAAAGGGAAAATGAGTCGCAATTGTTTAAGTTAAGTTGAGAGACAAACCGCGCATAACGTTGACGTGCTTAATGCATCAATCGGGTCGGCAATTACACGCAGTTGCGGGTATGCGCGGGACGGCCTATTGCGGGGCAGTATAAAGCTTGTTCCGTCCTCTGATGCTCAGGTAATTACCTAGGTACCTTACCATAACCTTAAGATACACCAATCCACCGTAAAATAGTAATATCGAAAAGCAGACGCATACAAGCGATTTCATTCCTTTAGAATAGCAAACAATCATGTCTTGATAATTTGAAATATATCCATTATCGCACTTGAGAATTCCTATGCTTTAAAAACTCCATACCCCTACCCCACAACTTGCTCTCTCGGCTTTCCGCTACTACTAATTCACATCCAGCCACATCCATACTAATACTACGTAGGAATAACCTCACTTGGGCGGCGCACTTAGGCTTCTACGAGCCTGCGCCATACTCGAACAACGGGCTATTTCCGTGGATTCCTTCTTATACACATCCATCTCCGTAAGTTTAGAGGGATCTCTAAACGCTTTCACATTGTTCCAAGGGTCTTCCTCCACTCTTTGAGAAAGCCACCGGTCCATCGGGCTCACGCCTTCACGTGATGGGGAATGGCTCTTAGGATCATATGTTGCCTGCCATGGCCGGATAACTTGTTGAAGGCTTTTGCTGTCTATGTTTGGATTTGAGTCTAAGGGCGTCGGAGGGCGAGCATTGCCACGATCATTGGGGCAAGATGACGATGCCATATCTTCTGATGTCTCTTCTGCGGGATGTCTATATTATTAAACATGGTATTAGGATAGATTTTCCTAAATGCTGAATATTTGAAATGTCATAGATACCTACCTACCCCTGGATTCAAATAACCAACGAGACTGGCTGATAGATTATGTTAAGATATGGATTTAACAACCGGTTATAAATATTTGAAAACGATGAGATATGTCACGGAAATTCTGCTTGCCAGTTGAAGTATATAATCTCATAACTTATTCAAATAAATAATTCCACCCAGAGTACTAAGCCATCCATCCTACTTATACACGCTCTAGGTGGGTAATTGGAACATTACTACAAATATATAGAAAATTGGCCCATACAATTCCATGCAGTATATTCTCCCAATATCATTGTGAGAAATATTTTTACTTTGGACGGATTCATAATAAGTACCTAAGGCTTAATAGCATATTCAAGGTGTTGTGGACATTGAAACTGGCCCTCAATTAGATTGAGTGAGTGTCGGTGAAGATCGCAATCGTATGTATTAGTAATGAGTGATGCTATTTCTAGATTACCTTGCCGGGCCTACAATGTAGATTACCCTACAAGACAGGTGCATACAATTGCGTACTAAAATTACGATAAATCAACATCCTTCAATTCTACCTTATAGCCTTTACAAAACGTTGATGTTTTCCAATAACAACAATACATAGTTACAAATATATTAGTATATTTGACTTAGTTAAATTTAAAGGAATTGATTGATTTTAAATTCAAGAGAATGGGACCGTATTTCGTAATGTGGTTAAAAGGGTAATCTGTAAATAAAGGGTACCAATCTAGAAATAAAACTATACTAATCTGCGAATAGTGGCATGTAATCTACAGATAAGGCCAGCTAATCTCATATTCCTCGACCACCACAGCGTATTTGACAATTATTACCTCTATCAATCGAATCAGCTTAACAAGACCAATCTAATCATATTACAATCGTATAATAATGTCGTGTTTTAGGTAAGATATTAGAGAGTGACAAGAAATAGGTAGCCTGGCAGGCCTGGTCAGGTGACCTCAGAAACATCCCCACGATCTCTCAGTCTTTATTAATACATCAATTAAAATCATTTAAATCAGTTAGGTCGTTAAATCATTAGATCATTAAATCATTAGATCAATTAACCCATTTGAATCATTACTATAACCTCTTTTTCGCATGTATTGGCCGTGTTTTGAGAATGTTACGAAACAGAATGGGGCCATGTCATTTTACTAATAATTTTGGTGGTCGGGTGTAATCTACATTGTAGGCCCGGCAAGGTAATCTAGAAATAGCATCACTCTTAGTAATATTGAATAGGGCTCAAGAAATTGGCCTTCTGGTAATATTTAACGCTCTATGTGTCCTATTTCAGGTTTCTAATAATCTGGGCCTGGGAGATAAGGTAGGTCATTGGAGGCGCATTTAATCTGAGAGGACATCGAAATTGGCCCTCATCTAGCAACAAAGCATTACCAGCTAGCTTGAGCGGCTTTTTAATGTGCAGCCTTTCAATGGTTGGATAGGTACATATAGGTGCCTACCTAAATACCTAAGCATCTAAGTTGTATAGCCCTTAGGCAGAACTGAAACGCTGATAGCCTGTAATTTGGTATCTATTGGCTGAGAAAAGTCGCCAACAAGATGTTAGATTTTATAGGCCGAGAATATTCGCCAATTCGGTGAGCAAACCCAGACACTTCATCCTTTAAATGTCACAGTTCCCATCGATTATTAGTTTCTAATTTTCTTCTTTCTTCTTTCATCATCGTAATATTCAGTGTTGCCAATTTATAGATTTAAAAGCGTACTTAACTCTCTAAAACCCAGGTGGTCATACCTCAGCAACATCTCACTCCCCATTAGCTTCTTCACAGTTAAAGCACCTCTCCTTTAACGGTAGTAATTGCCAGTTTAGAATCTCAAATCAAATGGAGGAGCCTATGAAACTCTGGGTTTCCCTCGTCTCATAATTAAAGAATCGGAATTATGGAGAAGCAAATAACAACCTGACTTCACCCTGAATTTCCAAGTGTAAGCATGTTTTCACTCGAAGTCACCAATCCCCGAACCAAGTCCCTACACGCTCTATGCCCGTTCTTCTCCGCGAGTTTTATTGCCTTGCGACATTGCTCAATAGGAAAACCACCAAGACTAGCGTTCCAGAGGAACTGGATCATATCCAGCCGGCCGCGCTCGGCCGCGCCTTCTAGTGGCCATCGTCCGTCGAATGTGGATGGGGGATCATATAAGGTACTGAGATACCTATCAATTAAAAGTGCAGCAATGTTACAGTTACCGCCCATCGCCGCGAACTGCAGAGTTGTACCACCACCACGAGTCGAGGGCTTCCCGTTTATATCCGCGCCATTTCGAAGCAGCAACTCGAACATATCAAGATCGGCAGTTTCCGCTGCAGCTTGTATGGGAGTCTGTCTTATCCCATGGGTAGCTTCTTTGTTGACACGGGCGCCTCGGTCTATGAGGAACTGCACCAGGTTCTTGTTTCCCGTCTTGATTGCTCTGAGTAGCGGTGTTAAGTTGAAATATTCCTCAGTTTGCATGTTCAAAAACGTAGGCACAAGTTCGTTAGGGTCACAACCCGCATGGAGGAGTCTCGTCGTAAACGGGAATTGGGGATCGTGGCCAGCTGCATCGGTTTCGATCGCAACTGTTAGAGGCGTATAATCTCTGGCCAGTATAAATTTGAAATCAATAGCCTTGCAGGTAAGAAGGATATCCAAGGATTCTATATCGCCGCCCTTGATTACCTTTGTGACAGCCCACGTTCCATATCTATGGATACATTCTTGAGTCGGTGGGACCTGTGTTAAGAGCATGCGAAGCATATCCGGGCGCCCCTTTGTGGCTCCTACGAGCGCATATAGGCTATCTCCATCTATTCCTCCTCTGCAAAGATGCCTAATTATTGAGCCTTCGCCTCGTGCAATTGCCACTTCCATCAAGGGAATTGGAATAGAAACGTCGAATAAATTCTGCTGACAAAAGAAGTCAAGTGTGCGCAGAGACGCCGACATCAGATTTTGCCTCGAGCGGGGGGTATCAGAGTTGATTCGAAACCTCGGGAAGGCAAGTCGGATATCAAAAAAAAGCGGCTTATTCCATTCATAGAGCCATATCATAAATCCATACTTATCATGTGCACGAATTTCATCACCTAAGTAAATTCCCGAGTCGAGTAAAAGTCTAATTATGTCTTCACGCCGATATTCCACTGCCACTGATAGTGAATACACTGCAGCCTCTGGCCTTATCTGCGTATTGATAGTTAATAGCTTTCTTAGATATGCAATGTTTCCTACCCTCGATGCGGCACAAACCACGCTCTCGAACCTACTAAGTTTAATAGGGCTATACATAGGAAGCTTATCGTCGAGGTATTCAAGCGCGCCTTTATCTTCCAGCTTTCTAATAAGCGCTTCGTATTTTGCATCGATTGCTTCGGCTAACGGTGTTGTATATTCCCATATTTGAGGCATATTACGTGGCTTATTGAATATGTGCCGGTTGTTGATTCTGTTAACACCCAACTCAAAATTGATTAACTCCGCAGACGTCTCGCAGAAACTAGGGTTTTGAGCAAGCACGAACTCGATAAGTTCGTCATTACCACCTCTAATTGCTGCGCTCAGGATTTGAGTTAACGATTCGGCATGATGGAAAAGAAGTTGAACGAGTCGAATATAGCCTCGTTTAGCAGCGGAAATGATTGCCCAATTCATCTGCTTTGGGAAACGACTTAGGTACTCCTTATAATTTGTTTTCTCACAGTCGGATATGATCTTAGTAACAGATTCCAGGGCGTCCTCAGCCGGAAGCTTTTCGATGATAGAAGGAAAGAGGCCTCCAGAAATAGCCTCGGAATAATCAGATGGTGCAAGTTTAGGCAGGAGCTTCTTGATGAAGTTTATTCCCCTAAATTTCCCAGGCGAGTTCAGGATCACAGAAGGAAATACCCTTCCGACTCTATCTATCAGAGTGTCCAGAGTTTTCATGTATTCCGAGTCGAGTACGAGGTCGCGCTTTTTCTGAACCAAGGACCCATCTGGACATTTTACATATACACAGACGTCAATTAAATAGTCCAGGGCGGTATTATAGGCCAGTTCTATCCAGTTACGTGCATCGGGGGCCGTTTCGTTCACATTTGGCATGAATCGAAGCAATTCGCGAACTACCGTTAGCTCTCTGAGTTGAGCCGCCCGCTCTAGTGGTGTCTGCTTTCGGTCCCCCGCGGAGTAGAACGTATTATTAACATCTACTAAGTGCTTTTCGAGAAAGAATCGAGTTGCTTGATAGTTCCCAGCTTCTATTGCTGCTAGGAATAGCTTTTCTGCAAGTCCTTTTGCAAAGTGTTCTGAAGTTCCCTGGAACCAGCGTGACAATAGAGAGTTGATATTGCTATTCTCATTGAGAAACCTGAACATCAATCTAAGAGATATACCATCTAGACCCATAAATCCGTTTGCGATTGAGAATAGAAGAATTCGATATAGTTCAACGTCAGACATCATAAACGAAGACTGAGCCAAACTGGTATACCCAGGTTCCTGTTGAGGTTTAGAAATAATGGATTGTAACTTTTGTAATGTAAACCATGCTTGGTTGACATTCCGAGCAGGGGTGTTCCCGTTGGTTTTCGACATAGCAGTAGCGACTTCGACAACAAATTTCGTTACTAAAGTTTGTGTTCCGGATAATAGCGCGGAGTCCTGCCATGGAGATGGGTGTAAAGCTAGAATAAGGCGTTCTGATGCAGAGTCCCGTTCGAACCGCTCAAACGGCAAGTCATTTATGGACAGTGTCCCAAGATAAAACCGACCTGGGGAATCTAGTCGCAAGGGAGAGGTTACCATCTCGGCACCTGGAGAAATGATATCTTCATTGGATTCGTCCTGAATTATGGCCTGCGTAACTTGTAGTTCGGGAACAATCGGAGGATCCATGGGATATGCAGGATTCTCGCCTTCGTTAAATTCTAACCAACCATTAGACATAAACTCGGGAGTGTGGAACGAGAATGACCATGGAGAACCACTCGGCAAATTTTGGGGATGTTGGCGGTCCGGGTCGTTATCATGTACAGGCCTAGATTGATTGAACTCGTCGTTGTCAATCAGATCTTGGTTGACGAACTCAGCTGTCCTATCAGGGCCACTCTGGTGTGTTGAACTTGTATATTGACACCATTCACCGCTTGAATTTTGAACTTCGATAAAGGTATCACTGGTCCTGTGACCATCTGACGCGTCAGACAGGTCTGTTTCTACTCTGCGACGCTTTCCAAGGCGGGTTTCTCTATTGCAGTGGCGTCTTGCCCGATGAACTCTGTCCACCGACACGGGGTGACCTGAAATAACAACTCTGGATTGAATATCCTGAGATGATAGGCGGTCGATTATCTCGAAGATCCCCTCCCATTCGTGGACTTTCAGGTTCTTGCGAGCGTTCCAGGCTCTGAATTGAGCTTCATATTGCGAAACGCTGGGGAGAGTTAGCTCGGCTACGATATTAGAATGCGTATAGACATACGTGGCAGAGAACCTATGATCCCTATCCATGGTTTGGACTAATTCGTCAATGGAGAGATCACGAGTAAGAAAAAGGTTTAGAATTGTCTCTTTATGACGGTCCCAATCGTTTTGGGGAACCTTACGTGCCTTGGTAGCCATGTTCATAGGCGAAAAGTATGAGTATAGGATAGATGTTGGTATCTAGTCTGGAAGAATTGAACTGACTTTCTGTTAAGGATAAGGGGGGAAACGAAAAGATACCAATCTTTATATAACCGAGTAGATACGGATACATATACCTACCGTGTCATGTTGTTAGATATCTATATCGAGGTTTCTTACCTTACGAACATAGCAGGACATCCCATAATGGCTCAGCCTGATCCGGGTTTGTCAACCAAGCTGCTACTGGATGCGCATTATGCGACAAGGCTCCAGGTTTCGTTATCCAGGCTTTGATGGTCAGGCTTTGACACCGACATTCTTAGCTTTCACATGCATTATTACCTTCATCCAATCATCTGCACCCCATCCTGCATATCAGCAGTAGGCTCTAGTCCTTAGGTTGAGGATGCCCTACAAGGCTCAACTTCGTTCCCGTGCTTACGGGGGTGCTTTGATGAAGTTCTTGATTCAAAAAGCTGGTTGTATAATATATTGATAAGGATATTTGTAAATAAACGTCAACAGTCAACAGGGTATCTCTTCGTAATCATGCCGAATATAGGACAAATTCCGACCGCATCGTAAAGGCTGCCACACCCCTTGTCGGCCAACCTGCCGATGACCCCCAACCAGCCAACCTGCACGCGGCATCCAGTCGGCGTTATGACGACATCAAATCCCACGCCCGACTCACATGGCTCTCAGAAGCGCACACCACCTGCATGAGCCAGCCAATTTGAAGCCACTCCCACTAAAATCAACACAAATAAATTGGGCGGCATCCCAATGCACCCATTACTATCGCTTTGCGGATCGACAACTTGTCCCGACGAGGCTACGACAGTCTGGCCTGAAGGGTATCTGATATTGTAGACCGGAGCAGACGTCAAAGCAGCAGGGTCTCCAAGCGTACTCGGACAGCTCGCCTGATTAGCCGCCGGCCAATCCAGCGTGCACACCTCGTCGTGGCCCCAAGCGCACGTGGAGTCGAGAATATTATACAGGAGATAATTCTTCGCAACCCAGCTGTCGGGACGCGCGAGGCAGCTAGCCAAGAAGTTCATGCTGTTCGCGGCGCTAAGCGGGAGCTTGCCTCCGTCGGTGTGGATCAGATCCGCGCACTCGGAAGCATCCACATTTGCAAAGTTCATAGCGACGGCGCCGCCGGCGGTGGGCTTCTCGGTCGCCGAGTATCCGGTGTAGAGATAATTCCAGGCGTCGTAGCTAATATCGTGCGCGCCCTCGGACCGGTCCACGCGCAGCAGCTTGACAGACCGGTCCTCGTAGCTCAGCGAGACGCAGATGCTGTCGCAGTCGACTGCGCTGGGCCAGTAAGCTACGCGATTGGTATTTACTTTGCACCCCAGCACCCCGACCGAGGACGAATAGCTGTCGTGAGGCGTCGCCCAGACGGCGCCACTGCTGCTGCCGTCCTGCGCAGCGACGAGCGATGCCGTCCATACGGACAGCAGGATCGCGGATACGGGGTGCATAGGTAGGTAGGTAGGTAGTTATATAAAATGAGCGACTGGTTAAAATAAGAGAATGACGTAATGAGGGAGGTAGTAACTAATGAGTGACTGGCCGCACGCGCGCACGCATCTGCGGCGGTAGCTACGCTCTAGCAAGAAACCGACATGAAGCCGCAAAGTAATCGGCGGAAAGAATATCGCAAGGGCGGAGAAGCGCCCAAACTCGCGATGTCCTCGTTTCCTCGTAAGATTTTCATTAAATGAAATGCCGTATCCGGTTAGTTCCCGATGTTACATTAACATGCCCGTTTTATGGGTCTGGACCCCTTTTTCCGGTCTTAGTTGAAGATTATTGGTTGAAGACTCAGGGTCTTATCTTAGTGTACCTATGTAGTCGCTATTTAATGCTTGCTATCACATCTTATGCGGTCTTTTATACAGTAACATTTAATTATGCCACGTTCTACATAGTACGTACATATGTACATAACCTAAGGATGTATACATAATATACATAAGCGCGCACATCAGCTTAGTCCTACGCATTTCATTACCTATTCTATACGAGGCTCACAATCAGCAGTCCATCGATGCAACATGACTGCATGGCTCTAAAGATCAACGTTGTCTACATCATATTAACGATTCAATAGATCATATATCACGTTCCATTTCATACTCGAGTATTATACGAAGATCAAGTTGCAAATTTTTACGGTGAGCATAGCAGAAACAGAAATACGTAAAAAATATGTGTATATTACCTATCATGGCAAGTGATGGGCTTCTATGATGTTAGTAGTAGGTATCTAGTTTCCACAAACCCCCTGGTAACGTAAAGACCAGTGTAACCATTAACAATCCAATCTCTTCATAAAATACCATTTCTAATCTGATGTTAAACGGTACGTAGCAAAATGAAAGATTCTGTTTAGGCCAGTATAGTCAGTCGAGATAATACAAGTTTAATAAGGTAAGTAATTTTTAAGTTAGATCCAAGAGATGGTTCGGTTCTCGGGGCATGCACGGCGAAAGTCTCTTTGGCGATGGCGTAGGGAGGTAGTCATGCACAAACGATCGGCGGGCTTTTAACAAATGCTGAAAACGGCGATGGGGCCCAGTAAATCTCGGCGACACGGAGCTAAAAAAAAAACGAGGGGGAATGGAGGGGGGGTTAGAAACAAAGCACCAGTATCTCCTCTCACAAGCCCGTGTGCATGAAGCCGGTTAAGTTAAAAAGATTTCGAAAAAATTCTAAATGTCTTTCCAAGGGGTTGTCAGTCTTCCAATATCTCTAAGTTCGTCTTGAATTCGTTAGTCAATGCTGCTGAATATGATGATGATGATGATGATGTCGTAAAGCTCTAGATATCAACAAAGAAAAGAAAAAGTCATCAAGACCCGATCCAAAAACGCCCCCCACCAAAAATTCCCACTTAAATCCCAAATGATATCATCCAAATCAAATAATCGCAGCTGTGTCGGCTCCGTCGCCGTGCAGAACCGGGTTGATCCGTTCGTCGAAGTGCATCTTGAAGTCATCTCCCAATTGCTTCCGTAGCGCTGTTTGGACTGCTTCCAGAACATTGGGGAAGACGCCGAAGTTGGCTGGGTTGTTCTCGTCGTTCTCACCACCTTGGAATACACCGGTGCGGACGAGGCATGTGTTCCATCCGTACATGTTGCCGCCAATGATGTCAGAGGCCGGGTTGTCACCGACCATGTAGATGTTTTCTGGAAGCCTCTCCTCGCCGTGGAGCTGCTCCATCCACGATGCGAGAACCTCATCGGCGTACTTGTATGTAGCAGTCTCGGGCTTTCCGTAAACGACACGCTCAAGGTCGATTCCGGTTAGGGCTCGGTACATGGCCTCAAGACCGATACGGAATGCACCCTGAGACATGCGAGGTGTCCAGTGTTCTGTGGGGCACAACAGGTCACCCTGCGAGAAGTAGATGGGGACGCGTTGAGAGACGGGGTCCTTAGCCATAGTACCTAGACGACCATTCTCGGAGCGTAGTACATCCATGATGATTTGCATGTCGGTCGCGTAGTCTCGAGAGTCGGAGAAGACTAGGATAGCCTCGATATTAGTCTTGGTAAAGTCTCGTGGCCGAGAAGAGGCTCGCTCTTCATCAGTGAACACTCGGTAAGGTGCGATAGTCGGGTCCCAAGCAACAATGTCGTTGGGGACCACGATATCCTTGAAGCCATATTCCTCGGCAACTTCACGGCACCTGTAGCCCTCGCCGCCGACAACTAAAACGGTGTTGTAGTATTCGGCAAGAGCGCTCATGGGAGTGTGTGATTGAATGAATTGTTCCGTGTTGACGGGGTTCTGTAGAATCTTTGAGAGCTGTTCGCAACGGGCCTTCTCGGGCTTTCCGGATCCGTTGGTTAAGAAGATGTGGGGAATCTTGATGCCGAGTTCGTTGTCACCGTTCAGGATCTCCAGAGCGCGGCGTCCTTCGGGAATGAGTCGGTCACCGTGGACAAGGACACCGTCAATGTCGAAAGCGAAAGCCATGTTCTTGGCTTTCTTGACCTTCTCGACTTCGACGCTCTGCACTTGAGAGGCCAAGATAGCACGAGATGGCTGGATGGGTGGCATACCCGGGCGTGTCGGGCGGCCAAAAGTCTCGTCTCCATCGGGATAGTGGACTGACGATAGGCGTGATTGTCTCTTAGATCGGGGAATGGGAAGAGAAGCGCCGAAGGAGTTGCGAGAGCCTCTTCTCTCCTTCATAGAGGGAACCTGGCTTAAGTTGTGCATGTATTTTGCGGCTTCAGAGATGGATGACCTCGAGGCAGGAACCTCGATGGGTCCTTCTTCATCATCTCCGGGGATGGGCAAAGAATTTGGGTCTGTGACATTGCCGTGGGAGTGTCCGTTGGAGTGTCCGTTGGAGTTGCCATGGCCATTGGAGTTGGATGTAGAGGCAGCAGCCTTCTTGTCCTGCATCTCAGTGGCTTGGGCAATGTCGAAATCTTCAAAGGTAGGCATCTTGAATATAGTCTTAGCTAGCTCGCTGTTTTAAAAAAAGGGACGATAGTTGTGTAGGTTGAAGTAGGAGTAGAAGAAAGTTTAATCATATGGGACCAGAAGAAGTTTGTGCTATCTAGGACGGGAGGGTCGCGTTATATCTAGTCATGGGCTCGTCCATGATGCTTATCATTCACCGTACTATCGCACCATAGCTCGCACTTTTCAACGACGGCGTAAAGTTCGGCTCTGGTACCCTCCATAACGTAACTACCTACACATAACTTGACAACGTAACCAGGTACGTCTCGTACCATCAGACAAAGGACCTCGTACATTGTCCGGTACATTATCGAGGTACGTTGTCAAAGTACGGTACGTTATCAACGAAGAGCCGAAAGATGATGTCTTGCTGGGTAAATCTACGGCATCCGCCGCCACGATGGAGCCTGTCTCTAAGCGGCCCCTTGCATAGGCTGCAGCTTGATGAAACGGTCGCGTAAACTAGTTACGATAGTTACGATGTTTTATTAGCAAGTAGACCTATTAACGTTGAGTTTAACGTTGAGAAACGTGGGTAAACGTTGTTTAGTGTATTGTTAGCCGTTTGATTGCTGTTATCAAGGTTATCAGGATATAATTCAGGGTTTAGTTACATGTTTAGTTACATGCTGGTATACATGCTGGTAGGGTCGTCGTCTTAGTGCTTGCCAATATGCTTCCGGTGTGCTGCCAGTTCTGCCAGTGGGATGCATGTCCAGCAAACACGCGGCCAACCGAATCAAACAGGAACCAGTAAAGATTAAATGTCAGTCCGAAAAGGAGCCGCAGAACCACCCGAACTGGATCCCGGATCCACACGGCCCACGTACGGTACCCGCTGTCATGCCTCACGCTGACATCATTCCGGGTCCGCTGCGCTCCGCTGTGTATCCGCTACAGATCCGCCCCTTGAGTCGGAAGGTGGATACGGCATCCTGCAGGGTTTTCTAGCGCGTTGCCTCATCTTTGCCATTCTTGGATGTTACCCACATAACAGCCTACAGACGTACAGATCTGTGGTGTTCCCAATATTTCTATGGTGTCAGCGAACGATTTGATAGGTGACGCCAACAGACGCCAGATAATGTATATTAATGTTAAGCAATAATCTTTCATAGGCTCTTCTTTATAAAGCACGTCCCTGACCGCTCTCAGCTTGCATTCCTATCCTACCCTAACCTATCCCAACTTGCATTAGGGCGACCCATGGATCTTCCCTTCTACATTAGTTAGGTACATAGTACATCAGTAACATTGTTAGTACATATCCAACCGATAACAAGCCGATAAAGCCGGTCAAAGCATCAATATTGAGAACAGGCAGTTGTAGACGAGCCGTCTGCATTTGTAGTTTTGTGGTAAAACCCTGTATGCAGTTGTATGCTACCCGAACCCATTCTTTTTATCACATATTATCACAAGTATCCCAAGTATCACAGGTATCGCAAGTACCTACATACATATAAGGTACCTAAGGTATCCCCTTGTCCCCTTGACTAGCATACAATAGCAAACCCTTTATAATCGGTAGAGTACGTAAAGTTCAACGCGATTCATTGACATCAGAGAAAAAAACCTTGCAATATACCTCTATAATAAATATGATTGGCTAATCTAATAATATAGAGCCAGTTTATCTTTCTTAGCCAATCTTGATGTATATATTGATACCGAAAATAGTGGGTTTGCTGTTATAGTGTATGCTAGTCAAGGGGATAATGTACACTAGGATGCATGTACCAAGGTATTATCACTTTCTGTGACCCACTTCACATGTCATTGATGGATATTCAAAAGTAACCAAAGTCAAGACTGAGTGGTGGCTTTCGCTGACGAGGTGCCAACTGTCGCTGCAAACAACTGGATCCTCGAGTTGCTGATCAGCGATCAGGCTGAAAGTGAAACCGACGGCCTCTATCAGACGTAAAAACTTTTCTCTCCGCTGAGTCAGGGGTGGTAAACGGCCAAGCGGGTTGCTAGGGATGATGCAATTGTGCAGCATCGTGTGGTTAGACACTTATACGCCCACATACATACACTACACTGCATCCATACATCCATACATACATCCATACATTCCATACGTCTAATACAACTTAACTTAGACCAACCTATCCACAAACATAAGGTAACTAAGTTTGAATCAAACCGGCCGTTTACGGGCTTACAACCTTACAACCTTACCTGCCTACCCGAATATTTCCATTCCCGACTTGCCAGCACGATAGTCAACAGTATTTACCAGTATTTACCGTCTCAAATAATTTCTTCCCTGACGCAATTGTTTCACGTCTACTCATCAACCCCCTTCTCACCCCTCCCATAGCCATCTATCACATTTCAGTCAAAATAACAAGTCTTCATCAACATGGCAACTCCACTCAACCAGCAGACTTTCACTCTAAACAACGGAGTCAAGATTCCCGCCATCGGCTTTGGTACTTTCGCAAATGAAGGCGCCAAGGGTGAAACATACAAGGCAGTTACCGCTGCATTAGAAGTCGGCTATCGACACTTGGACTGCGCCTGGTTCTACAAAAACGAGGCCGAAGTCGGCGAGGCTCTTCGTGACTTTCTCGCAAAGAACAAGTCCGTGAAGCGTGAAGACATCTTCATCTGCACTAAGGTATGGCAGCATCTGCATGAGCCGGATGAGGTTAAGTGGTCGTTGGAGAACTCGCTCCAAAACTTCGGCCTCGACTACGTTGACCTGTTCCTCGTCCATTGGCCTATTGCTGCCGAGCGTGATCAAAACTACATGCCTAAGATTGGCGCCGACGGCAAATACGTCATCAAGAAGGAGCTTACTGAGAACCCAGAGCCGACATGGCGCGCCATGGAGGAGCTGTATGAAGCCAAAAAGACGCGCGCCATCGGCGTGTCCAATTGGACAATCCCCGGCCTCAAGAAGCTGCTGCAAATCGCCAAGGTCAAGCCGGCAGTCAACCAGATTGAAATCCACCCTTTCTTGCCCAACGAGGAGCTGGTTCAATTCTGCAAGGAGAACGACATTGTACCTGCCGCCTACTCTCCCCTAGGCTCTCAGGATCAAGTACCGAACACAGGCGAGAAGGTGCGCACCAACAAGACCTTGATCGAGGTCGCCGAGCACAGCGGCCACACGCTGGCCCAAGTTCTGCTCGCGTGGGGCATCCGCCGCGGCTACGTTGTGCTTCCCAAGAGCTCGACGCCCTCGCGCATCGAGAGTAACTTCCAAATCCCGCAATTATCTGATGCCGACTTCGAGGCTGTCAATAGCGTTGCTAAGGGCCGTCACACTCGCTTCGTCAACATGAAGGACACGTTTGGCTATGACGTCTGGGCCGACGAGGCGAAATAAAGTAGTAGCTATAGCTAGCGTTTCTGTCGCGTAGCAGCGGACCATTCGATTCGTCGGTCCGACTGCATTTCTGTCGAGGCGGATGCGACATGTAGGGTTGTGGCGGTAGCCAACCGATGTCAACAATTGCACGTAGAATCAACTGCCCGTATCTGCCCTCTAATCAGGGGGGATGACGGATACAACCTATTCCATGTTAGCCTGCTAGATATCCTAATGACGGTTGCGTTGGAAGCATTTCGAAAACCAAACTTTAGGTTTTTTGGCGTTGATATAAAGGAGGTGAGGGATAAAAAAATTAGATGAATGGATGGGATGGGTGGATGAATTGGGGGTCGGAAAGATGGGGGTAGACTCCTTTCTCCGAAATGGTGGTTACGAAGTGCACGTTTATAACAAATTAGACGACAGTTTATGTTCTATGAATATATGTAGATGTTCCAAAGAAATTCAAATCTTGGCTGCAACGAGCGGAAACCCCCCCGTCTTTACTCCCACTCCCGTACCAAAGTCTTCATCCCGCGATTCTCGTCTAATCTAACCGAATATCAAGTTATGAATTTCATTTCTCCCCTTCTTTCTACAGCAAACCTCCCACGGAGGTACCTATATCACATCTATCTCATCACACGGCGCACAAGCACACCACCACCACCACCAAGTGGTACCCAGTACGTAGGTAGTAAGTAGTAAGTAGCAATAATAATAACAATAGTAAAATGGAAATATCAAATCATGACGCCCTAGCCGCCGCCTCGGCGAGAAAACTCCGATGGTACGCCGGATGGCTCCGCTTGATGTTACTCTTGACCATCTTCTTGGTGATCATGTTACTCTCGACGTCGACGTACTCCTCGAGCAGCAGCAGGCCCGCGTCGTCGTCGTCGCCGCTGCGCCCGCGCCCGCCCACGCGCCACCGCGAGCGGATGGCTATGGACCCCGTCGGCACCTTGCCGTCGACCGCGGAGTCGATGCCTTCGGCCCGGTTGGTCAGCGTCAGCCGGTAGGTGGTCTGCCCGGTGGGTCGGCGGTCCGTGACTTGGAAGGTGTGGGGCTCGTCGACGTTGGGGTTGTTGGAGGAGTCGGAGGAGGAGTCGGAGGAGGAGGAGGAGGGGGGAGAACAGGAAGAAGAAGAAGAGGAAGAAGAGGAAGGTGGTGAGATTCGGGTGTAGCTTATGAGTTGTGGACAGGTGATTCGGATGTAGATCTCGTGGTCGTGCAGCAGTGCGACGAGGACGCTGGGCTGCACGCCGGCGGGGAGGGGTGTTGAGATGGTTGTTTCTGCGGGCATGTTTTTTTTTTACGGAGCTCCTTTTTGTTTGAAAAAAAAAAAAAGAGAAATTATCCGGTCTTGATAATTTTGGTGTTTTTGTTTTTATTTTCTGTTTTCTGTTTTCCTCTCGGGCCTCGATGCCCTACTGCGAGAAATAATAATAATTGCTTATTTGGATATATATAGGAACTACCTAGATATGATATTTATGTTCTCTGCTCTCGAGATACTATCGCACTTACAATAACCATGAACACCATCACAAAGCTTTACTCAAGGGTAGTTGCACCTTGTTGTGTTTCCAATGCTTACCGGTAGCGTTGGGAGGCCAAGACTAAAAACAATCCTTACGAACTAACTATGTATGTTGCACCGGCACGTTTTTCATGCGGTGGTATGATCTTAATATGCAGTGTGGTCAAAATAAGGTGTTACCTAGATCTAAGTTTGTGATGCTCCGAAATCGAGATAAAAATCAGCAGGGCTGAACTCTACGGTGGGTCGTCGAGCATGGTAAACGCGATCTGGGTGCTGACGATGCACAAATGCTGAAGGCTTTTTCGTGCATCGTGACCCTTGGCTGCTTACTGAACACCCCCTCCCGTAGATCAAAGCGAGCGGTTCCGGACGCAAGGAGAGCCGGGGTGAAATCGAGCCTTTGAAATGTCGTGCATGAGCCCTACGAACGGAGGGGGTGGTTCGGGTTCACAACGTAAAGTGGGTTGGAAAAAAAAACCGTGTCAGAGTGGGATGGGAAAAAATCCCGTTTTGCGGATCGTGAACTATGTCACGTTATCTTCATTAGTATTCTGTATATATGGGTCTGGAAAATTGTTGTTGCAAGGCACCAAAACTAATAAACCGACGATCGTCAAGCCCCTTGCTAGTTTCTAAAGCCTGAAACAACTCGATTTATGTAAATGTTCCAAATACGGATAGAATGAAATTCTGGAACCCTTCTACGATGACGATGGTCTCATACTTGACTCGCATCGATCAGATGGATACAATTCCGGACTATATATATTCCCCGGTACTATTCTACCAATGTATCTCAATACTAGTAAAGCTGAATACCTAAAACAGCCTCGGTGTTTTGAGTTAAGCAGCTAAGGGTAGCCCTATTGACTATTATCATACTAGCCGCCGTATACGCCATATTTTTACCCATACACTACGAGAGAAATTAACTACTCTGCCTAACCCTTAAATCTACACTAAAGTTCTTCAAGGAGCACACATAAACGTACGATCTTCCGAAGTTGATCTTGGCGAGAGTCCAGCTATGCTGCAATATGGCCTCAACAATCCACTTCTGTGCGTATTCGTTTGTAATAAATGAGTTGAGTTTTCATAGACCGGGTGATCGGAATAGAAACTGAGGCTATCACCATAGCCTAACCGAATGGCCCACCCTCTATTAGCTCTCGTCATACCGAGAGAGGGCGGAAGTTTACGTACGATTCGACAAGGTATAACCTAGTAACTCGAAAGGTACCACGAGTCACAGAGGTAATTAAGGCTTGTATAACTGTAACCGCCCTAGCCAAGGTAACCTTGATAATACCTACGCAGACCATATAGAATACTCCATAAGGAAGATGGACTGTAGAGAATCAACTATAACGCCTATTGACTTCATTGATGCCTGTAATAATTCCTAGCTATACATGTTTTAACAGTGCTAGCTCCGGTTACCATATATCACCCTACCGCTGTGTCTAATATTTTCATCTCTGCCCAACAAATCGGTATCTAAGCCTCATTCAACATCTTGTTGTCGAACTTCTTCCCCCTGCCTTTCTGACCTCCCTTAAAATGCTTCTTACTCGAGCCGATCTGCACGTCCTGCGGGTCTATTCCCCTTTCCAATGCGATCATCGCTCTGGCCTTGCGTCCACTAAGCTGCTTAGCCGGACCTTGTTCTTGTGCTTTACCCTGTTCCGTGTATTTGTGGCTGAATGGCATCTTCAGGTGTCCCGCGTTTCCCGCATCGCGCGCGAAGAACGCTTTATCAAGCTTCTCCGACTTGGCGCCTTTTGGTAGGGCTAAGATCTCCGTATCAATTGTCGACTCTCCGTCATCTACGTCCAGTGCACCCATGGCTGCGGTTAGAGCTGTCCTGCGCTTTTCGGGCAGGTGTTCTGAGTCGTACAACTCGCGGTTGAAATCCATGCCGTCACCCCAACCGGGAGGAGGCTCAACGTATAGAAGCTTTCCGCTGACATAGTCCTTGAGGATGGTCCTGGCAGCTCTTGATTCGTCTGGTTGTCCCACACCTTGGGTTGTGAAACCTCGTGCTTTAGCATATGCTGACAGAAGCTCGCTGGCGGTCGGAATCCCCGTGCCTCCCTCTTCTAACGGTCTAGTCCTAATGTGAATGCCATAGATAGCTTCCAAAAATCGTTGCGGGATCCTGTGTGCAACGAGTGCAGCGGGACCCGTAAACTCTCGTAGTTGATCAATCGGCAAGACACCATTGCAGACGAGATCGGCTTTGGTGGTGGCGAAATTGGGAAACACAAGACCGGGACAATCGCAGAGGATAACTTTGTCGCTGAGGTGAATGGTTTGAAAGTGCTTTGTCTTACCAGGTGTTGCGGAGACGGACACTTTCTTGGCGCCAATGAGGGCGTTGATTGTTGACGACTTTCCGACGTTCGGATACCCAACTAAACCTATCTGCAGCTTCTTCTCCGGATCTACTTGTCTGTAAGCTTTAGAATTAAGGTAATGTGGTAACGGAAGTACATACCATCAGGATCATACGCATGTCGAAGAAATATGTCTTCTAGTTCCTCAACTGTTAATATCCTGGTATCATCGTCGGTATCTTGACTGGGTGACACTCCGGAATCTACGCCCCCTTCGTCACTCTCATCTTCCGAATCGGCATCCTGATTCGAGTTTTCGCCTTTAAGAGGCTCTTCCGGTTCGTCCTTTAGATCGCGCTCCTCATTTAATTGCTTTGCCAAGCTAGCGGAGAAAAAGCGATAGGCTATCTTCTTCTCTTTGAAATATTTCGCCCATGCTTTCCGTTGGTTTGTCGTCATCATATCTGCCTTGTTGACCAGCAACAGGTTTTTCTTGGCTGGGTCGATATCTTCAACATATGATTCAAGATCTTCGGACCAAAACATTAGCGGATTTCGTGCATCGACAATCTGAACGACTAGGTCTGATCTCTCGATGACACGCCATAATTGCCTCCAAACTTCTAGGTTACGCTCAAATGGAGTCATGAGTAGGTCGTTATGCTCTTGCAGCTCTGCCAAACCCCTTCTCCAGTTGAGGAAACTTTCTCTTTCGAGATGATCAAGCTCATCGGCGGTAGTTGAGGAATCCCACTTTGGTCGTCTGGGCACCGTTAATCTTCCTCTATGTTGAGCATGCTTCCCTATGATATTTCGTTCTTCGGTCGCTGTCAAAAGATATGGATTCCTCTGATCTGTATGTATAATTTTGACGTTGTTCATCTTCTCAGCGGTGAAGTCGGTACCGGCAAGCTCGGCAGTCGCAAGGAACTCGTCTAGAGCACCTTGCTCTGTTACGGAGCGCATCTTCACCCATGCTGCTTCTTTTCTGTCATTTGTGATATACTATGGCAGTAAAATGGTAAGCGACCGTCTTAATATAGAGACATAGTATTCATACCTCTTCGCCGGTTGCGTGGTTGATTCTCGTGACTGCTGAACCCTTTTTGCGATCGGATCCTTTACCCTTCCCAAAACGGTCGTTCATAAGCGTATTGCCCAACCCGACCGAGGTCTTGGACTTTGCGTGCACCATATTGGGCAATTGATTGGTATATGGTATATGATGTTGTAGAGTTGTTCAAATATATAAGATGTACCTTTTCCGAAACTCAGTCTTCATAAATTGAGGTCAAGGTTGTCGCTTTCAGGCGGTTTTGTAAAGTCTAATCGCTGAATAATCGAGGGGCAATTATTTTTTGCGTCACTCTAAGCTCGATAAGCCCCGCGATAATAATTTACCCCACCAAAACTTTTTCAATTCTAGGCCGAGCCCTGAAGTACCTAATCCATCCTGCCATTTACAAAGTACCTGACCTGGAACCTAACCTAGAACCACTCATCCTCTACCTCAACTTGTGCTAAACCAAAACCAAGAGATTCGCTTGCCTATTACTCATAAGAAAGACCCAAAAAGACTCCAAAAAAGAGAAAGATAGCGAAAATGCCGAAGGGCAAGTGGATGTACGTAAACTGATAAAATGATCATTCAGTTAAGCGATTAACTGCTAATGCCTTGACCAGCGATAAGAAGACGGCCCAGCACTTCACACTGGTTCATCGTCCGCAAAATGACCCGCTGATCCACGACGCCGATGCGCCATCTATGGTGCTGAATCCTACACCTCTTCCCAACGCTTCCAAGGTGAGGAAGCTTGATGACCTTGTATCTGAGCTAGGATCCGATGCCGAACACATCCGTGCCAACGAGGGTGAGGCCGCCAATCATGGCGTTTTTTTCGACGATACCGAATATGACTATATGCAACATCTACGCGACTTAGATTCTGCTGGGGGTGGAGAGGTTGTCTTCATCGAAGCAGACAATGGACCTAAGAACAAGGGCAAGGGAAAACAGAAGCAAAGCCTGGAGGATGCGCTGAGAAGACTGGATGTCGCAGATGAGGAGCGCAAGCGCGATGACCTTTTCGGCGATGATTTCTTGCCATCTAAGAATCTGCAACACATAACATACCAGGCGCAACAAGATATCCCCGATGCCATCGCTGGGTTCCAGCCGGACATGGACCCCCGACTGCGCGAGGTACTAGAGGCGCTTGAGGACGAGGCATACGTTGATGATGACGAGGACATTTTCGCACAGCTAGCAAAGGATGGCCGGGAATTGGAGGACACCGAATTTGATGCAAACTTTGACGAAGACGATGGTTGGGAATCGGACGACACCGCTAAGCCCACTAAAGAGTACAAAGACCGCTCCGAAGTGCCTGATCTAGTTCCCACTGTAAACGGTCAGGACGGAGAGGCGATTAAGAATGAAGACTGGTTAGAGGACTTCAAGAAGTTCAAGAAGGACCAAGGCAAGCCCGGCGCAAAGGTATCCTTCGCAGTCGCACCATCACAGTCAGAAGTGCAATCATCCCTCATGACAACAACCACCAACGGCGGCCGACGGAAGAAGCGTAAGGGAGCGCTAACAAGCCAGTCGGGCTACTCGATGACATCGTCGTCACTATTCCGCACTGAGCAGCTTGGTATCCTCGACGCTCGCTTCGACAAGATCGAGGAGCAGTACAACGAGGATGATTTCGATGAAGATGACGAAGATGGCGGGGCCTCTATGTCTCAGATCTCGACGACGTCTAGCGTGACGGGATCTGTGCGGGGTGATTTTGATAACATCTTGGATGATTTCCTGGGAGGTTACTCGATGCATGGAAAGAAGCAGTTGAAGAAGGGCAAGTGGAAGAGCGGCACTGATCAACTCGACGAGATTAGGCGTGAGTTAGGGCCGGCTAAGATCCGTGGTAGATACGGCCAGCCGCAAGCGTCCGGATTGGCATCGGCATCGGCATCGGCGTCTAGGTAGACGGATATATTCATAGATACCCAGGGAGATCCACGGCATTGACAACTAGGTTAAATAAATTGACTTATGGGGAGTAAAGAAAAAAAATGGCTTGAATAAAGTAATAATTGGCAACTTTGCACACTTGTGAACTATGTACCTATTCGTACGCTTTCGTACACTTTCCGAGGGAAGTATCAATTCGCATTTATCGCTACAATGTTATCACTAGCAAGGAACGATACTCGCTCCGATGACAACCAAGCTTCAGCCGCTCTTGCTGCCTACATAGACCAATACGTTTGACGACTCGGGCGCCTGTTCTGCAAAAAGGAGGGAAGCCCTGCAGTTGTCCTCCAAAAAGCGAACGGTCCTGCGAAGTCCGGTTGGTTTCGAGGCATCAAGCGTCCCGTGGAGGAGACATTACGGAATCTTTGGAAGCCCCCTCCGACATCTACTCGGCGGAAGGCTTCTCGCTCTTAAAGAGTTGGGTCCGCAAGTCAGAAAACCAGCGGCACAGATCATGGACAGCTTGAGGCAATTCCACCGCATGCCGCCCTACTGTGTCGTCCTCCTAGCGATGACCATTCATAGCGGGCGGGCGCTCAGGACCGTAAGCACCGGGTGCGTGCGGAAGTTCTTCCTCCGTGTCGTCGTCGAACTCTCCTTCATCACTAACCTCCTCATCACCGTCCTCGTATTCGTATTCGCTTTCATCATCGCCTTCATCCAGCTCTCCTTCTTCGTCACCTTCTACGCCTTCTGCATAGCAGCTTTCCACCGTGCCTTGCATGCCCTGGGGTATACCACGGCCTTGCTGTTGCATCTGGTTGATAATGCTCGTCAGCTTATCGTTCTTCTTCCTGATGTCCTCGAGGTCCTTCAGATGCCTATTGCGCTCCTCGGCCATCTTAAAAATATTCTGATTTAGGGCGCCCTCTTTCCTTTTGTAGGCCTCGTTCTCCTTCTCTAGCTTCTTCGTCTTTTTGGACATATCCTCCATTTCCTTGCGAAATGTTAAGAACAGGTCGTTACTATTATTGAGCGTGTCCTCGACCTCCTCATTTGTTAATGCCTTCGTACGGCGGGCTAGTGAGGGGCACAGGGCGCATACCTGCTTAAACTTCTCAACGTAAACGTTCAACTGGTTTCTTAATTCAGTTTCCGTCTTGGAGAACGTAAGCACTTGGCTGTTCAGCTGTCGCGCACGGTTGGCTTCTGCTTCCGCCGTTTTCTTCTGCTGCTCGTAACGGGCCATATTCCACTGGACCTCGATCTCCTTAGTTCGCATTGAAGAATGATAATGCAGTTCCCGTAATTCGTATTGGTCGATGAGAGATTTGAATCTTCCCTTGAACCTAAACCTTCAGTGTTAATACAGAGCGCGTCCGTGTAGATGGACGTTAGGGGTGGAGGAATGGCGCACAATTCTTCGGCTTTCATATACACAACCTGCTTCCGCGGGTTGTCTTTTTCTTCTTGATATCCTTCCAAAGTATCAAGTACTTTCTTTAGGCGTTCGTCAGACGAAGCTTTGAGGCGATCGTGAGTATCATTAAGAGCACGATGCTCATTCTACCAACCATCCCCGTCAGCGCAAATTCTGCAAATTTTCTAGAACTCAATGTACCTTAAGCTTGTTATTTTCTTTTTGCAGTTCACGACACAGCTTTTCTAACTTCTCCTTCAGGCTAATTTGCTTGCTCAGATCTGTACGGCTGGAATCCTTTTCCTTTTGTAATAGATCGGCGCGCTTTTTATTCCTAAGATTCTCGCGCTCGAGGCGTTTTAGGTTCGCAAATAACTCTGATGATCGCTTTGTTAAAAGTTCTATCTTGTCCATATCATTCATCTTGGTCATCTGGTTGTTAAGCTCGCGATTCGCCTTCCGGACTTCTCGGTCTAGTAGAATTAATATTAGCAAGGTCTTAATATCGTGAATAACCCTGTCGAAATTAGATCTAGCGAATAGAGAATTCCTCAGCGCATGCTATAGTCTATCGTAGTGCAGCAGGATTTGTACAACCGAGTTGGACTGCATATCGAAACCCGTAGATATCACCTCGAAATGCGCAGCGGCCTAGCTATTGGGTTTTTGGCATATAGTACCCTGATGGATGGTGGTTTCCCGTAGACCTATGACATCGCAAAATACCGGTATATCTCTTCCGGTTCGTCCGATGTTGCTGGGGCGCGCTATCGTGTTTGATGCCTTACTTTTATCTCTCTAGCCCCGGTCACGTTATCTCGAATTGGTGAACATTTTGCGGCAGTCGTGTAGTCTCACAATTCGAATTCAAAGGTCTCGTCACGTCCCAGCCCTTCTGTAGTCGTTCTAACGTCTGAAATGAAAAAGAACCTACCAATTTCCGCCTCTTGCTCCTTCTCTGCGGCTGTATCAACCTCCAACTGGGAAATTCTTGCGGCAACGAGTTTCGATGCTTCACTCGAGTCGAGGGCCTTTTTCCCCTTTCCTTTCTTTGCGGCATTTGAAGCCATGGCGGGCGTCGGAGTTGGGGCAGGTCGGGGCTCTTGAACATGAACATGATGGCTATTTGGTAATGAGTCGTCATGCGTATGAGAATGAGCGATTCCATTCGTATTAAGTACGGATGCAAGAGGGGCTGGGGTGGCAGATGCGGCACGATGGTTCGTTGTCGCCATATTTTTCTAAATGTATACAACTATGCTACAAGGGAGTGCCGTGTCAGTATTTCAAAGCGACTTATGACATAACAGAAGGTAAAGATGATTTAGTGCGAACTTACTGTGCTGAGTTGTTAGAAGACATTGGGATGGGTTTTAAAGCGATGAACTTATATAGCTGAAAGGATATTGTTTGGCTAAAAAGAGAAATAGAAGTTAGCTTTTTAGCTTTGGTTAAACGAACTCTGCGGATGTTGGAAGCGTAGTTCTACGAATGAATGCAGACTTTTGAGGGTTTGAGATGAAGCGCGGCGTTTTAGTGTCGGTTACTTAATCAACAAGCAAGTACGAGAGAACTCCGGGTTGCCGCCTTGCAACTGCACATGCGACCAAATCGAACTTAGGTAATCTCTTTGGGTACCAAGTACGACTAATAGTACCGCACACTGCAATATCACACGCACTAATACACGAATAAAACTCGCCTAGAAAAATTGAATTTGACACTAGCAGATCCGGAGCAGCGGTTTTATGTGGGGTTAAGTTTACTTAATTGCACCTTATATATGCTTAAACGCTATAGCGTTACGATCCGTCCAATTGCTTTTCAGCTAATGCGATTAAGTGGTTGTCGATAAGAACCATACCTCGGTATCCCAATATCTAACCTTTTGGCAGGGGTTAACCCGACATATGCGTCATCTAGCATAACCCGTAGTATCATTTGCCCTTGGAAAATTTCTAGAATACATACCGCTCGTATCTTTTAACTTTCTCTCCTTCAACCATCAACAACATGTCGCCCTAGACTCCGGCTGTTTAAATCCCTGTAATTACGGTTCATCATACAGGCTACTTCTCCTTTCGTTATCATTTCATCTCTTTGATATGATTGTGGCTGGTTCCTTTGATCATTAATAAGATGTTGCGTAACGTGGTGAAAGGTGCAGCTAGGAAAGCTGTAACGGAGCTGTCCCAGTATCCAAAGCCCGGCGAGAAACTCCATGGCTTCACTTTGTTAAGGACAAAGCATGTACCAGAACTCGAGCTAACTGCGCTACATTTACGACATGATAAGACCGGCGCGGACTATCTACACATCGCTCGCGAAGATAGTAACAATGTATTCTCAATCGGCTTCAAGACGAACCCCCCGGATGACACGGGTGTTCCCCATATTCTTGAGCATACAACATTATGTGGTAGCCAAAAGTATCCTATACGAGATCCCTTCTTTAAGATGCTACCCCGAACCCTGTCCAATTTTATGAATGCCTTCACTGCTTCCGATCACACCTACTATCCGTTCGCTACGACCAACGCCCAAGATTTTCAGAATCTGATGTCGGTATATCTCGACTCGACCCTACATCCCCTGTTGAAGGAGACGGATTTTACTCAAGAAGGTTGGCGCATTGGACCAGAAAACCCCAGAGTTGCGGAGAAGGATGGAGGAACGGATACCGAGGATAGCAAGCTAGTCTTCAAGGGTGTCGTCTACAATGAGATGAAGGGCCAAATGTCGGATGCAGGCTACCTCTTTTACATTCGCTTTCAAGACCATATCTTCCCATCTATCAACAACTCTGGAGGTGATCCGCAAAAAATTACCGATCTGACGTACGAGCAGCTACGTAAGTTCCATGCTGAGCATTACCATCCCAGTAATGCAAAGCTTATAACTTACGGCGATATGCCATTGGCCGACCATCTCAAGGAAATTGATGCCCAGATGAAGGCATTTGAGAAGATACAGGCGGATATAGAACATAAAGAGCCAATCGACCTGAGTGATGGGCCGCGTACCGTGACGGTACTTGGGCCGGTAGATCCTCTTGCTGACCCGGAAAAACAATATAAAACGTCAGTATCATGGATCACTGGTAAAACCAGCGACGTGTTGGAGTCCTTTTCTATATCTCTACTCTCGTCCCTGTTAATGGACGGATATGGATCTCCGCTCTATAAGGGGCTCATCGAGAGCGGGCTGGGTACGGATTGGAGTCCAAATTCCGGCTACGACGGATCAGCAGCTACAGGAATCTTCTCTATTGGTTTAAGCGGGGTCGAGCAACCTAATGTCGAGAAGATTAGGGGCGAAATTCACAACATACTGCGCGAAGTTCGTGACAAAGGCTTTGAGAGAACGAAGATAGAAGGATATCTCCATCAGCTCGAATTGAGTCTTAAGCATAAAACCGCCAATTTTGGACTTTCGGTGTTACATCGTCTGAAAGGGAAGTGGTTTTCTGGCACCGATCCCTTCAATTCCTTAGCATGGAACGATACAGTTGCAGCATTTGAGGCGAAGCTGGCTGAAGGAGGCTATCTTGAGGGGCTAATGGATAAATATCTCCTTAACGACAATACTCTTACTTTCACAATGGCCCCTTCGGAAACATATGGTGCGGAGATTGCGAAGGAAGAAGAAGACAGGCTGCTAGCTAAGATTTCCGAAGCTGCTCAACAAGCCGGTGGAGAACAAGAAGTTCGAAAATTCCTCGAGCAGAGAGAACTGGATCTTCTTGTTGAACAAAACAAGACAAACACCGAAGATCTAAGCTGCCTACCGACCGTTCACGTTAAAGACATCCCAAGGCAGAAGGAGCCTGTCATAGTAAGAGACGAAGCGGCACACGGCACTACTATCCAGTGGCACGAAGCTCCTACAAATGGACTCACTTACTTTCGAGCCATCAATACATTTGAAAATTTACCAGACGAGCTCCGATCCCTAGTTCCGTTGTTTACAGACTCCATCATGCGACTGGGAACAAAGGACATGACTATGGAGCAGCTCGAGGATCAAATCAAGCTAAAGACGGGTGGTGTTTCTGTTAGCTATTTGTCCACCGCATCACCAACCGACTTCCGCCAGGCTTCCGAGGGCCTTCTACTACGTGGCACGGCTCTTGATCGTAACGTACCCGAAATGTTCGACCTACTCCGTAAGCTCATCTTAGAGACCAATTTTGACAGTCCAGAGGCAGCCCTTCGGATAAGACAATTACTCGAAGCCGCAGCTGATGGTGTTGTGAACGACATTGCCTCCTCCGGTCATTCCTATGCTCGAAGGTATGCTGAGTCGGGTTTAACACGCGAAGGCTACTTGGCCGAGCAAGTAAGCGGCTTATCACAGGTTAAACTCATAACGTCGCTGGCTGGACGACCCGAGTCCGACCGATTCGAAGACATAATCGAAAAACTTAAACAAATACAGAAATTAGCATTAGCGGGTACTAACATTCGCACGGCGTTAACGTGTGGCTCTGATAGTGTTCAAGCCAATTCTTCCGCGTTATCCCGATTCTTGGCATCTCGATCAACTGATCCTGTCCAATTCCCCGCTACTGGAAAGCAGACATTTGCGAGAGATATCAAAGCATTCTTCCCACTTCCTTACCAAGTCTACTATGGTTCCCTCGCACTCCCAACTGCCTCCTATACGTCACCACAAGGTGCACCCCTTCAAATCCTAGCTCAACTTCTCACTCATAAACATCTTCATCACGAAATTCGTGAAAAGGGTGGCGCATATGGAGGCGGTGCTTACATGAAGGGACTTGAAGGAATATTTGGGTTCTACTCATACCGAGATCCAAACCCGCTGAACACTCTTTCCATTATGAAGAATGCCGGCCGATGGGCGGTCGATAAGAAATGGTCCGACCGAGACCTTGAAGAGGCCAAGATCTCAGTTTTCCAGAGTGTCGATGCACCCAGGTCAGTGAGTGCGGAGGGTATGCTCCGCTTCACGTCCGGTGTCACAGACGAAATGCAGCAGAAGAGGCGTGAACAGCTTTTGGACGTTTCCAAGGATCAAGTCCGCGAGGCTGCCCAGAAGTACATCGTTGACGCTCTAGCAAAGGGGGAGGAAAGGATCGCTTTCCTTGGAAAGAAACAAGAATGGGTGGATGACACCTGGAATGTGAAAGAGATTAACGTGGACAGTACCGAGTAACGAGTGAAGACAACGACAGACGATGGATGTAACAATTGCCTGTACAATATCTACATATACCCATCTCTTACGAATTAGACGGATTGTATATAGACCCAGCATTTATGGTCTGGTCTATCCCGACTCGACGGTAGTCAACTAACTGCAAGGTGAAATTTCATATCCAGCAATATGCAATTGTGAAATTCCATTTCAGCGTTCAGATACGATACGTCTTCTTGCTCGGTGTCTCTCACAAGAGACTCCACCATAGCATGGAGACCACAACAAGACGCGAGACCAAAACATAAGAGGTAAGGTCTGTGGATAACGCCCTGTGAGGGGCTGTTTGACACAAGTACCGACCTCCTACGCTCGTTCTTTCAGACCCGGATTCCTTAGATTTAGGATTCTGGACTATAGAACAGAGTACATGCTTATTCTACTAAGATGTAAAGAATATAGACTACCCCTTACCCCTTTCCCACCATGGCCATTACGGTATACTCAGGTATATATAAGGTACTCAATCACGAGCTCGTATCAGGAATCTATCACCATCCTAGAAATTTGTAAATATATATCGTTTCTTCACCTCGGCAAAAAATGGACTCATGCTGCATAGAACGAAAAAGTAAATATGTGACAAGAGTGGGACTTGAACCCACGCGGATTGCTCCATGAGGATGTAGGAATTAAGGTGACCTTAACCTCACGCCATAACCAACTCGGCCATCTTGCCTATTTTGCTTAAGAGTAAGCATTGGTCCACTGAGTAGACGAATTGATGAAAAGTATCTAGTTTAACTAGGTACATATAATAACAGTTTTACATTTGGGAATTAATAACGGCCTGGGTCGGTCACGTACACACTCGGGTCCTAGAAGACTACCATAGCCAATGATAAGATTGTAAAGGAGACTATAGACGCTAGGAAATCTCTGATAGTTGTGCGGTGGAGCTATGGAGGCCCACCAACTTAGCCATTAGATAGGGTTAGGACAATCGGGTAATTCGAATAGTGCCTGAGTACTACATGAAGAAAAATCAATTTTTTTATTTTTGATATCCGACTGATTTCTGTTATATTTTCCTATTGTTGAAGACAGTCTAGGAGTATTTATAGAAAATAAGGATAGTTTTCCAAAAGAATGATCCATCAAACCGAGCGTAATGTTTAATTTGAAGAGGTTAGCAAGTCTCTGTTATAATAAAGTATACCGAACTTCCACTTTGATATATCAAATGCAATTCCTCCAGGTAGTATTACATGACTCGTGCTCAAGAGGTCAATGTCTGACAATGCCACATACCGCAATGATATACGGACGTCGTTAAACTAGATATGTTCTTAAACTAAATGCCCATAATTTCTACTTGACCAAATAACGATAATCATGCCAAAGAGACTTACAGTCCCATAATATGCACCCCAATGCCTGTATACACTCTTAAGATTGCTTGTATCCTGGATACGTGTCGATATAATCTAAACACGAGGTATTCTACAGTCACAGGCCTGATTCGAACTGATAAAGGTTCGCCTCCAAAGATATAGATGAGTTTTGAGGCTCAGATCTTCACTCAAGAAGTCCTATAGAGTCTGGTTTGGTGGTCTAGTGGTATGATTCTCGCTTAGGGTCCACCCTGAACAGTGTATGCGAGAGGTCCCGGGTTCAATCCCCGGCCAAACCCTTTAATTTCGGTTCTTATCGCGCAGGATTGCCGGTAGTTAAAGCTATCTGAACATTTACTTTTTGCTGTATAGCTTTAGTGGTTGCCGACTACGTCAAAAGAGACAGCCTATATCCTTATATATCATACATACAATCCGGGCTTTGGGGTATCTGTTAATGAGGGCATCTCGACACTGGGTACTGGTTCGCTCCATTATAACTATAAGGGTTTTTTTCTTTTTAGAAACCGGTCGAGATTAATTGAAATATGTTAGTAGTATTTCAAGCTCCGTCCCAAGATGCGAGATTTTATTACAAGCATAAGTGACGTCTATCAAACGTAAGTAATCGGAACTCCGATAGTAAGTTTCCGGTTAAGCGGGGTGTGGGGGTAGGTACTCCGGCGCCGACCGGGGCAACGCCCGATGCCCCACTTTTAACATCTTCCCGGGAAACGTAGGAGGAAATCTTCGAACTATTGATTAGTCTTCTTAGCCTCTAACATAACTGGTGGGTTAAGAGTATGTAGATACGGGGAATAATATCCGTGACTGAAATATTAGTTACCTAGGTGCCTAATTCTTTTTTTTTTTTTCGGATAGCGAGCTAAACACTATGTTCAAAAGCAACATACAAATCGATGTTAATAATATTGTTGTCAAAGGTTTGAAGCGTCAGCACTAACTATACTACTATGGAATCTAAGGCCTACCCCATAAGAGATTGGTGGTAAGCGTTTATAAAGTCAATCCCTTGTGCAACACATATGAGGGTACTTAGTCCATCATTGATCGATGTGAGATCCGTCCTTTCCCGGTACCCTTACTCCTATAGTTTAGGTACTTAAGTTTTAATTTTCATTTTAATACCAACCTTCCGTCTAATGACTTCCATCTAAGATACGGAATATTAATACTATATAACTAATTTCTATATATTCTATATGTCCATGAATTCTCGGTCTACTTCCAACCCCAACTCAGGGGCTTACCTACCGCTCCGACAGTCTTGTGACAGATATCACGATAAGAAGGTCAGATGTCTGCAGCAACCGAACATTCCTCGGGTTGAACCCTCCTGCGTGCATCCGCTGCAAAAAAATTAGGGGCTATTTGTATCTATTGTGGTAAGTTTATGGAAACGTTGCCTGTTACCTACCATCGTTTTGAAAAAGATAAGTATGGTCTGCGCATAATAGAGTCTAATTCGTGTAACTATAGCTCCACAGAGACCTGGTTATCCACCGACGACATAGTTAGCTCTAAAAAGAACGTCGCGGCCCGTTTCACAAGGCTCAGTAGACGCCGATATTATATTCGCCGAGAACCAAACAGCTACCTTTCAGAACGTCAACAGCTTACCAGTTGGAAGAAGGATTAATGGATGTTTGGGTTCCATGAATACGGGGTAGACTCCTTCCACATTGAGCGAGAACAACTCTTATAGCGAACCTAGAATTACGGCTGGTACAGGAGACCCATTCTAACACTTTCAACTTAACGATATAGGCAATATAGGGCTACCAACTTTCCAAGCCCCAGCTCTAACTTTAGGCTTAGATGCACATATAATTAGTTCTTCGAAACTAGCATCACCACCTTCAACTCTTTCAGCAACTTACAGGCAATTTGAGGAGAATAGATGCACAGGTTCAGGATCTAGCCCAACTCAATTTATGCGTCTTACAGTCTTCAAGAGAAGTCGAGCGGGATCTCACAACGATGCAGCTTTCGATATCTTCACTAAGCTTCAACGATATATTTGAGGCTACGGAGATCTTCATAGAAATTTGTCATCGAGTTTTGGAATATCAGCTCGATCGATCCTCGTTTAATCACATGTCTGCTTCTCATTATAGGTATTCGCCTTTGAATGAGCTAGATCCCTCAAGTCCAACAAATCGCTGGAGTGACACAAGCTTACAACCAGACGGTGGTGCGCTACTAATGATGCTCGCCTTTCACCATAGGCTGACGAGTCTCTTTAAAACTATATCCTCTTCGATCTATCATCACTTACTGTCGACGGATATTCCTGCCAATGCCATATGGTCCAACACGAAACACCTCAAGAACACGCTACAAAGTGATGGGCATAGACAACCAAATAGTTGGACTAACTACAGCTTACCATTCCTAGCTACAATGTTCGGTACCAACAATACTTATGACTGGTTACTATCTTTAACTGTATAAATTGTGATGCTGGTTAGATTAATTCGTCATCTAGCCAATAGAATGAACCAGGTTCTAAGCCCATTCATCGACTATCCCATGAAGCCCGATGCAATACCTTCTCAAATTCCCAACACGCTTCTTGTTAGCGATTGCTCCAGCCCATCTTCTTTTTCAGAGCCTAGATATTCGGCCGCTACTCTCGGGGAGAACCCTTACAGTATATCCCTAGCTCTATAGGGCTATAGAGCTTTGATGGGGGGTAGATATTATATAAAGTAGCATATGCTTTGTCTAACTATGGGGGATAAATGGTCGGGGTGTTCTGCTGAACTTACCATTCTACCTTGTAAAGAGACAATCTAAAAGTGGAGTCTCATGCCTTGATGGCCTTCACGTCGTTGCGTTAGTATCGCAGCTTGGGGTGCCGAGTAAGTCATTCGAGCCTGAGGGTTAGCGGTTAGTATCAGCTATGGTCCAGCTCAGATTCTTTAGCCTTGGGTGTGACCGGAGACGCATCTCATTAAATTCCTTTCCGCTACCTACCCATTCATGGTCGCAACATGCATGATGCCACGACCAACAAGCATCTGTCGCCACTACTGGTTTGTATAACCATGCGAGCTGTATTAACTTGTCCCTGTTCATTCTCGTTATTAGGATTTTAGATCAAAGGGCGCTTTCAGTAGATAGTGTATAGCTCAAGCTTGCCGAGCTAGGTTTGTAGTTGATTGCGGGATAATGAAGCCGTTTCCATGCTTCTTGCTTCACTTTGTGGCATTCACATGTAAACCGCCATGAAAATAGATAGAAGTTCCATAAAAGCCTCATATTATACTTGTCTTTCGTATTGATGTAAGCTATTAAACGATGATGTCAGGTTCCAGTGGTCTGATAGTCACCCGGACCTAGATACGCGATATTGCACGACTCTAAATATAGAACTAAACCTTATGAGATCGTGAAAGCAACAATTGCTACTCGGCATTCTTGAAATTCTTTTCCCCTAGTCTGGTGGCGGTCAGTACTTCTATACTCAACGTACTAGAATTTCTTACGGATTACTCAATCCTCATTTAATTCAATCCCTGATAATGCGCCCGATCTCTTCCGGGGGTAAACCTTCCCTAGGTGGTGAAGTAATTGTAGTATGATGCGGCTGTTGGAGTCGGTTTTGCTCCATACTGCGTATACTTAATATTGCTCATTCTCGCTTCCTGTTTAGGAAAGCCGGAGCATTCGTAATGGAGGGTTTGCCGCCCCGGTCTACCGCGATTGCAACATTGCCCAACGTAGGGTCAACCTTCTAATTAGTACCGCAATTCTAGTGGGCATCCGTGGATCCGATCTCGACGAACTGCTGCATTGAGCGAAATAGATGTTCATCTACAGGATTTTCTGGATCCGGTTGGGCACGAATCGGGGAACTACGACGACAGCTGAAATATATATGTACTTCAGATAATATATCAAGAGCATGCGCAATGTTGCTTTGAGGCCCGATCAGGCTGCCGAATGAGGTTGCGTGACTACTGACTCCAACACAGATCGATCATCGTAATTTTGAGCAGGCTGGGGGTGGAGGCGCTTAATAAAGCATGGTTATAGAAGCAGTGTCTGTTCTTGCCAATGCTGGCCTTCGGAAGAAGCGTGTTGTGGAACGCTTTCAGGTGGTAGTATTGGCATAAGCCACAAGTAAACCGATAGGCCACGAGACTCGATGACGCTGCGGACAGGCCAGGCCGATTAGTCGTCTAAAAGGAAAACAAGCAAAATGCCGTGTAACAATATCATAGATTAACTGCAGGAGATGATGAGAAATGGCGTAGCTCCTGTTTAACTGCCGATTATTGAATGCGTGTTCCCGGGGTATCCCTCTGGAATTTCAAATGGCGACTCTCGT